AATGGTACAACACTACGTTTGCTAATGCTTTGTTACTTTGCTCAACCTAACTGATAAATTAAAGCTGCAATACACTATTATCGAAATTGTTCTAAAGACAAAACCAAAAGTAGACCAAATAAGCTTGCACCTTATGCAAACTACGTACTCTAAAGCAGTGGTTCTTAACCTTTTTAATATGCGCCTTCACCGAATCCTTCTTAACAGCTTTAGCGTCAACATTGACAAAATCTTATCGTAAATCATATGTCGGATGTGTGTCTTGACCTCCGCCAAAGCTCTGAGACCTACATACCGAACACTTGGGTTCGATCGAACCCAAGTTAAGAACCACTGCTCTAAGCTCGGTTGATTTTGTTCTTTTATTTTTGTTTCGGTTTCCTAAGGAGCATAGGCGTAGGCAACACTTCGTCAACTCAGTTGATTTTTATGAAGACAGAACCCTAATAATCCAATCTCCCCCTTCTCTAGTTCGAACGATTTTCTACAGGCATTTTTTGTCTCCTCTTCCTTTTTCGCCGGGGACTTTCCACCAACACCTGTTTAGTGATGTTATTTGCTGATATTGTGCCATAACCACCACTTTTTCTATGCTCTTATTTCATTCTTCACTGTCTGTAATCTAGCTCCGAGCCACACAGTAAAAGAGACTTCACATTTAGCTATAGATCCTTAACGATTTTTTTTTGACAATGGGGTCATCCATAAATGACGTCACACTCGTAGGGGGGAGGCGGGGGGACCGTAATTTTGTGACGGTGTGTGATGAGGGGGAGGGGGGGGGGGGGTTCAGATGGTGCGACGTCACACTTTTGCATTATAAAAAAAAGCAATACATTTCTAACGTTAGAAGACACAATTTTTGTCGTTATTTCGCGTTTTAGAAAACTGTTTTAATAAATTATAATAGGAATTGAATAAAATACTCTATGTTGACAGAGTTCAGACAAGATTTTGGAAAAGTATCTCATGTTTTAAGAAAAAATTTAACTGCAATTTTGAGGGGGGGTTGTAGGTTGAGGTGTGACGTCATTTTAGGGGGGGGGTCAGGCTTTTTGTGACGATGTGTGACTGAGGGGAGGGGACGGGGGTAAAAATCGTCAAAAAAGCGTGACGTCATTTATGGATGACCCCAAAGCACTTGAATTCCACATTGTCTTAGAGTGTTAAAACGCGTTTTATTGCTGCTGATTCTAATCAGAACGTCATGGACGCCGACCGCCCCACCCCCTCGCCCAGTTAGGCCTATGTGTCTTTCTAATCGAGGGCAAGCCCCCCTCCCCCTTTAACCGACCATAAATGACGCCGCACTTCGGAAAGCGGGCGGGGGGTGGAACTTTAGTGAGGATAAGGGCTTAAGAAAGTGTGATGTCATACTTTTGCACTTCAAAAAATTTTAAACTTGAATTTAATTTTGTAAAATAGTTTCTCTCAATAGGCTAAATCGTTTACTACATGCAAATAACGTGAAAATGTCATCAAAGCTTCATACACTTACTTAAAGTAGATTTCCTTAATATTGGCTTGGTTCTGGTGTCCGGTCAAAAACCCCCTGGACAAAAACCCCCTGGACATAAACCCCCCGACATAAACCCCCTGGACAAAAACCCCCCGCGACATAAACCCCCTGGACAAAAACCCCCCGCGACATAAACCCCCTGGGCAAAAACCCCCTGCGATATAAACCCCCCGGATAATAACCCCCGGACTGAGGTTTATATAAAGAAAAAATAACGATGATGTGAACCAAGAAATTAAAAAAATTACATTAAATTAATTTAATTTTTTACGACTAAGAAAATAGTTTCTACCTAAAAAAATGCTTTTCGAAATCAAGGAGTGACCTTAGTTGTATTTGATCAAAGATCGGGCACCGACAACACCTTAGATATAGGTCATCCACGTGTGTGAGCCGTGCGTATCAAAGCAACACATTCTTAACAATTCAAAAGATGTGAGGGATTCACCGGCGGAAGCTTGGTTCATATCCACCTTGGATACAGAACCATGGTATAAATATAAAATCAAATTTATTTCTCGACAAATCGTATATTTTCTGGAATGGAGTTCGTTCAATCCAATAAAGGAAATTTAAAGGCTATGTTTATGTCAAGCAAAATGATCTGGCGAACGGCGTTGTGTCATTTGAGTGTTCCAAAAGACGCAACAAGGCAGAATGCAAAGCAAACATAAAGATTCATGGTGAAGAGCTTGTTGGACGATGTAATGAACATTCGCATGGACCAGATCCATCTCAACTGGAAGTGTGTAAAGTAGATGAAACAACTGGCAGAAGAAACTGAAGCAACACCCCAGCAGATCATCACTCAGGCCAAGCTGCCCTCGGTTCCACACATACGGCGTAACATCAGGCGTCAACGTCAAACGTTAAAACACCCATTGTCTGATCCAAGGAATGTTGATGATATAATAATTCCTGAACAATATACAATGACACAAGATGGACAACAATTTCTTCTGTTCGATTCCGGTGCCAAACAAACAACTCAGTTGAAGGCTGGCACAGAAGTTTTCAGTCGCATATGGGATGTTGCCACCCAAATATTTGGAAATTTATTGACTTTATTAAAAAGGAACAATCTCTCCAAGAGGTTTATTGTACACAGATTAATTCAGGTCACTGTTTACCAAAACAGAAAAAAAATATATTGATAGCAGCTCTCGAATTTTAACTGTTGTTAAAAATTTTAATGAGTCCACCATTATTGAGTATTTGCGAGGCATCGCTCACAATCTGTCTTTTTAAAGTTATACTAAAAATAAAAGTTTTTTCCTAATGTTTGTTTTGTATTTTTATATTAATTTTGTTTCTCGTCATCTTTGGTTTTTCCTTATATAAACCTCAATTGGGGGGTTTTTGTCCAGGGGGTTTATATCGCGGGGGGTTTTTGTCCAGGGGGCTTATATCGCGGGGGGTTTTTGTCCAGGGGGTTTATGTCGCAGGGGGTTTTTGTCCAGGGGGTTTATGTCGGGGGGTTTATGTCCAGGGGGTTTATGTCCAGGGGGTTTTTGACCGGGAGCCCTTGGTTCTAAACTAACACTAAGATATTCTAATTAAAGATCTAGCTTGGCCTAATAGCTCATACAATTTTCATGCTGTATTAAGATACGAATTTTCTTCTTGACCCACTAAGCATTCCTTACAAATTCACTACAATAGATTTTATTTCGCAATATATTATAAAACATACTTTTTAAAATTCTATGGTAAACGCCTAATTGATTGAGGGTTTTCTCGTATGTGTTAAATCTTTTTCAGTAAGTGCGATCAGGATTAAAATAAAGAACATCATGTTACCTACAGTAAATTGTCTAAAATATAGCTTTCTGGTTAGTATTAGTGGATTAACGTTATGCTGTTACTCTGCCCTGATCATGATCCTGTCAATCGTCCTGCAATCTATTGTTTGTGATTTAGAAATTAAACATAGAAAAAAATCCAGAAAATATGAAAAGAGAACTGAGGGGGGAGGGGGGGGAGGGTGTGGATGCCTGTAAAAAAAAACACTGGCTATAGGGGGATCCGGACAAAAGGCCGACACGGACAAAATGCCGACACGGACAAAAGGCCGACAAGACAAAAGGCCGACATACAAAAGGCCGACAAGTTTTATAAATGTAATTATATACGACTTTTTAAGTTTCTCATAAATATTTTTAGGTACATACAATAGGATAAAATAAAACCACGATGTAACCAATTATTTGTTTCCGATATATTGGTCCACGTATAGGGAAATCACAGGGGTAGGTTTACACAAAAAAAATAAATAACGTACCAATTTTGGCACACTTGTATCACAATCACAACAGATTTAATGAATCCAGCTAATATAGTATACACTTTTTTTCCCGCAATTCGCAATAGACAAAACTAAAATATGATTCAAATTTTGTCTGTATTTAACATGTAGTCCAGTCAAGGCACGCGATTGTTCTACTTCATTCGGTTTCTTTGATTTCTTTGCAAAATACGGTGGTAACGCCACCTATCTGTTTATCCCTTGTACACTCCCGTCATCGCCAGACGCATGGACCCCTTTGTCCACCTTATAAGGATAGTAACTAGCATTGTCTCTTGGCGTTCCACCTTGTTGAATGCGGGCGGTGATGCCGGCGGCTTTTGACTTGATTCTTTGATAATTATCTCACCTTGATTACATAGAAGGAGCTATGAAAGACAGTAGTGACCACATTTCGCAATATTTAGGTGTTGATCCTCTGTGTTCAAGACACTCCCGTAATCTCCAGTCGCTTGACCCGATGGTTCACCTTATAATGATAGCAACTAGCACCGTGTCTTCTCTTGAACGTTTCACCTTATTTCATGCCCTATGTCGATTGTTATCAAGATAGGAGCTATGCAGTAACACATATTTTGCGATATTAGTATTTTTAATGCTTGTCGGTCTTATGGTTTGTCGGTCTTATGGTTGTCGGCCTTATGGTCTGTCGGCCTTATGTCCTGTCGGCCTTTTGGCTGTCGGCCTTTTGTCCATGTCGGCCTTTTGTCCGTGTCGGCCTTATGTCTTGTCGGCTTTTTGGATGTCGGTCTTTTGTCCTACACCCGGCTATAGGCCCTATAGATAGCCTATAGTTATAGGCTATAGATCTGAGCGTCTGTTAGAGCAGCGGCTGACTTGATGGAGATAAACCCAGCGAACGCACTGTTACGCGATTGAGACATTTGTAGGTAATAAAAAAAAGGGATATAAAATAATAAGAGTATATTTGTTGTTTAGGTTGGATTACTGTTAGGACCTGCGGTTTTCTTTTTTTTTTTTTTGCAAGACATTATGAGACTATAGATCTACATAAATGTCTAAAAAAAAGCCTTTCTTGGGAAAATAATTCACGAGAAAATAGTAGATCTATCAAAAAAAAAAAAGATTAAGAAAGCATTTGGATAAAATAATTTGGTCATCATTCTTTATGAAATTTTTAGATATGGCCACGAGAATTATAGAAGAAAACGAGACTTCAATCATGGCAGCTTTGTTGCTGGCAAAGTTGAGTGTAGTAGTAAAACATTCAATAATAACGGGAGAAGTCAGTGTTTTTCGGTAACAACAGCTACTGCATGCTGCCAAGTGGGATTTTAATAAACTATATCCTATTACTTAGTGAGTCATACTTGCAGATGTTGTAAACCAGGATTGAGCCTAGCATTTGTTGTGTGTACTGTTAGTGTTATTGCTACCGTTGTGGTCAAGCACAAGAGTTTTGTCAAGAGTAAAGAATAAAGATTCAAAGAACAACACCACGGCTTGTCTACTGACTACTTTGCTGTAGTTCTGGTTTTTTGATAGAGTCTAGTTAATAGTTAATATACTTTGTTGTGGAATCACCTTACCTAGCTAGCTAGTTTAGGGTGAGTATTTTAATCATTTAGGCCTAATGAATTTAAAATTTTTAAATTGAGTTATTGTTGTAGGTTCGTAAAATCGGCCGAGGCTAGTAATGTGCGAGAAAGGTGGCTCATTATTATGGCTTTAATACAAGTGTATAATTATATGTTTGTGTCCAATAATAGATAATTGGGTAATCTATCGTTTTGGGTACGTAAAATCGCCCGCGGCTATTAATGTACGAAAACGTTACCTCATTGTCAAGGCTTTAATAGGAGTATATTGTCATATGTTTGTGTCAAATATTATAGATAAATGAATAATAAACCTAAATCAATGGCTAAATATATCGATATAGGCCAGAAATTAACTTTAAACAGCAGTGTCTGAGAGCAAGATTTGCTATATAAACAGCAGCCATTTGTAAAATAGAGTGGCTTCCCCCTGATCTCCCGCTAAAAGCTTATAAAAATAAAACTTAAACAAGATGGCTGCTGTAGTAAATGAGCATGGTTGCATCTGTTGGAAACATCGCTAGTCTTCATTTATTACGGAAAAGTTTTAATTCAATTGTTTAAAAACAGGTACATAAATGAAACAAGGAAACATTTTTGTATTTTAAAAAACATAAATCCTCCTAAAATGTGAAATAATTATTAAAATTTAAGGAGTCACCTGGTTTTCACATTACTAATCGCGGGCGATTTTACGTACCCAAAACGATAGATTACCGATAATTGATTAATAAACCAAAAGCAATGTCTAGGCCTAAATATATTTTTAATATGGCCGATGCTAGCTGGAAAAAGATGCGCATGCGTAATGGATAGAAGCTATGACTTGCCTTTGCGGCGATGTTTTCGATGGTACTGCGCATGTATGTGTATTGTGTTCACAACCGCAGAACCCTAACCTTAACCCTAGCCCAAACCCTATCTCTAACCTTAACCCTAGCCATAGGTCACTGCGCATGCACAGAACTATCTTTTACCCACTAAGTGGAGATGTTGGGGCGAAAAACTTTTTCTGAGTAGTCATTTCATTTTAATATATCAATAAAGGCCAGAAATTAACTTTAAACAGCCTTGTTTGCGAGCAAGATTTGCTATCTAAACAGTGGTTTCCCCTGAATCTCTAGCTAAAATGTTACCGAAAAACTTAAACAAGATGGCTGCTAATGTAAATTAGCTTGGTTGCACCTGATGAAAACATCGCTAATCTTTATTTATTACTGAAAAGTTTTAATACAATTGCTTAAAAGGTAATCTTATCGTTTTAGGTACGTAAAATTTTTACAAATTGGTAGATTGATACAACTAATGATTTTGAAGCTATCATCAATTTTAGTAATCAGAATTACCAGTTTCTAATTAAGTCTGTTAATCAAAAATAGTGTACTTTTGACCTAATTTCTTTATTTATCTAATAAGCAGCACTTTAATGAAAGTAGCTCTGTTTATTCTTGTGTTAACGGGAACTTAGAATCAAACAACTTCTAAACTACGCTTTGTATGTTAACTAGCGAATAACGCCTCAACGGTTCAGAGTCTTAGCTTTCTATATATGACAACGTCTGAGAATAATTCTCACGTCCGTACTTGGGTCACTACACCAGAAATATCACCCCCTATAATGAATGTTATTTTATTATAATCTTTTTGCCGAAAACAAAGCGGGGAAAATGTGTACCTTGCCAAAATCCAATTATTTGACTAGATTTATGAGTCGTGTAGCGTCATATCTAATAATAGAATGCATTGCGCTTTCCTCATTGATGATCGTTTTTATCATTTTTTAAAGTTTTTATCATTTTTTAAAGTAAACATGAATTATTAGTTGTGATTGCAGTTTTTGTAACATGGCATACTTACCATCTGTCAATTTAAAAAGCATGGCATGTTAATTATGTACAAATATATTGTCATCTCTCAAAAATATAAAGTTCGATTTAAAAAAAAAAATGTTACTACCATTATCCGCCACCCCTAGGCCTATACAATACTATGCATAATTATTTTTTTAATTGTTTATTGATTGTGTTGAATTTTAGCTATCTACATTCATTTCTAAGATATTTTAATGTGCTTCTATAAAGTTTTATTGAAAAATCTTTAAAAATAATCAAGAAATCCACCCATGAAATATGGTCAGAGGTCTAGTAGTTTTTTTCTTCAATAGCTCATAATAGGCTGAACCTGACTTTGGAATTTTTTTCCCGTTATAATGACTTTGCACAGAAAGTTAATATATGCTAAATTGACTTAGTTTACTAGTGTGCTAGCTATTGTTGAATACTTTTTTCTAAAAAAAAAAATTTGAAATTTTTATCAAAATGCCTATAAACGTGAAATAATTACAAAAATTTGATGAGTCACCTTTTTTTTACATTACTAACCTCAGCCGATTTTACGTACCTGAAGCGATAGATTACCATTTATTTATAAGTAAAATACTATACTATAATAACTATTCTATAGACCTCTTCTAGGTAGGGCCTAATCAAACTTACTTAGATTGGGTGTAATAATATTATACCAGTGTCCTAAAATGGCACAATAATAGAAAATCTAATAGGCTTATCTTAATAAAAAAAAGGGGGAAGTTAGGTTACTTGTAGTTAATTAAATAGTAGTTCTTCTCATTAAATCTAAAATTTATTCAATTTTCAATGACCACTGAATAATAGACATCCATATTTAATCCATTAGGCTCTAAGTATGAAGCTTTAAGTTTGTTTTAAACTAAATTACTTAATTTAATATAAATTGTCACTCACTGCCATGGCATGACACACTTTTCCATGACAACGTATGAGGCCACAGCAAACCACAAATCAGTTCGACTTTTTAACTGACTATGCATCAGAGTTCCTCACTAGTGTTGAACCAAATAATGGTCACATGGTTTTTAAAAAATAAACAAAAATGGGTTGTGCTATGAACGCCGGTCTTATAAAAAAACAGCTCACAATATTTGATTTCTTTTTTCATAGACTAATAAAACTAATAATGTTCTACTTTCTCGCTCATTTTTGTACCTACACCATTGTTATTTTAAAAGTTCTATTAATTTTAATGAAACCAACTTTTGAATTTAGCCTCCATTCTCCAAACCAAATTTTAAAATGCCTTTCCTGGCATATATAGCCCTACCACCTGTGGTTTGTTTTTATAACGGGATAACCTCGCCATTTTGCTCGTGGTAAATATTTTAAACAATAATTCTAAGAACGTCACTGGAACTAAGACAAAAATTCGTCAGAAGTAATGCATCCAGTATGGACGCCATATTGTAGTTAGCAACTGGCCACGCCTCCAGGTTAGCGAGCAATACTATTAAATAGGCTAGACCTACTGTTTAAACAGATTCTATGAGATGATGAAATAATGATATAATTTCAATGATGATAAATTCAGCCTCCATAATCCTAATAAAATAGGCCTATGATGATAATATTAGACCTATTCCTGTAAGCGAGGGTGTTGGAGTAAAATAGTAAAATGCACGATTCAATATTTAATTCAAAATGCAAAAGATGTAGGCCTATATTGTAAATTGCAAGGACAAGCTTGTTGATTGTTGTTATTATTTGTTTAGCTTAGGTTTAGGTCTACTTGTTGACTTTAAAATAAAAGTATGCATAAAGTGTAATCTTTTAGTTTTTTGAAAGCTAGTATCTCACTCAGCTTTTTTGAGAACTATCTACCATGCTGTAAAATTTTATTTTTATCTTGCTGGTCTAATTCTTAAGATATTTATTTTTTATATTGTTGTACTGAGCAAACTTAGAAACATTAACATATACTACAGGCCTAGTTTTTATTTGATTTTTTAATTTTATTTTTGAAATTTAAAAAAAAATAAAAACGTACATTAGCCTAACAAATATAATATTTATTTCAATCAATATAAACAGGATAGACAGAAAATAAAAAGGATCAACAAAACATGACTGATCTGGTTAAACCTCATTATTGATAGCTTGCCTTTCTCACACATTTTATCCCATTCAATATTTACCGTGTTCTTACTTCTTTTATTTTCCTCTAGTTTTCAGCTTCTTCCATTCCACATTCACAACACATAGTCAACATTCTCACTAACATGATTCAGTCCAGTCTTTTTTATATTAAAAATTAATTCTTAGTTAAAAAAAAATTTAAGTGTAGCTAATCTTTTTATGGTTTTGGTTCTTATTCTAAACATTATTTATTATTTAATTGATCAGATACTTAACTATTTTTTTTAAGCTGTCAAAAAATGGCCTCTGCATTAAATGAGGAAAGTGTTGAGAAAAAGCTAAAAACTGTTAACAATACACAAGATAGCATACAAAGTCTTTCTCTATGGATCATTCATCACAAAACTCATCATGCAAAGATTGTAGAGTTATGGATGAAAGTTCTAAAAAAAACAGGTACTTTTGTTTTTTTATTAAGCACCATGCCTCTTATTATAAAATAAAATTCAGCCAACATTTAAAAGTAAATTGTTACTCTCATCTGTACAATTTTTATTAGAAATTCATGTCATGGACATATGTACTTTTTTATGTTTTTTTTCTCAATCTTTTCAGTGCACCCTTCTCATAGATTAACTTTGTTTTATTTGTGCAACGATGTTGTACAAACTTGCAAGAAGAAAAAAGCTTTTGTTTACAACACCACATTTAAAGAGCATTTAAGAGAAGCTGCTAGTTTAGTGAGGTAAATTTTCATTTAGTCTAAAATGTTAGCAGTAAACATGTCACTATTTTGCATAGTGAAAATAATAAAACACATATTACTAATTACCAAAGCTTAAATAAAAAGTGTCGGTATAATTTTTGTCTTATCTATTTCTTTAGAGATCACTCAGTCAAAGGGAAAGTTGAACGCATTTTTAACATTTGGGGTGAGAGAAATGTATATGATTCTGCCTTCATCAAAAGCCTTATAAATATTCTGAGTAAGTACAGATTTAACTTTGTCAGGTTTTATAGATAATTTTGATATTGAGTGTTATAAGATGTATTTCTAATTTATTTTCAAAAAACCATTGCCAGATGGGCAGTCTGTGAAAGCAAAAAAAGCTCACAAAGTAGTAGAAGAATCAAATATTGGACCAATCAGCCCTGCTGGAACACCTTTTGTTGAGTTTGAGCAGAAGGAAGTTCCTACAGAATCTCAAAATGCTGAAAACATAAGTGAAAGAGAAGCAGAAGAAAGTGCTCGTATTCTGGCGGAGTTCAAGGTAATCTTCTAGATGAGGTTCATTTAGTTAATAATATATATTTTTTTCAATAACAGAATTAATACACTTTCATTTAATAATTAACAGCCTCATGAAATGATTGATCAAATCACTGCATTTAGACGCCAAGAAACTGATATAAAGTTTAGAATGAGTCAGCTCACTCATTTAAAATTAGATGCATCTAGTATTGAAGCAGTTAAGCAACTCAAAGGTAAGTCTTTTGGTGCTTAGTTTAAATTTATTTATAGTAAAATGATCCTTTGGGACAGTAAAAAAGCAGCCAACACTTAAAAACCCTTGTAAAATGTGTCTAATTTAGGCTAGGGCCTGATATATTTACAGTTTTACGTTTCATTATTTTAAATCCCTAGGCTAGCAAAACAATTATCATAAACTGCCACCATCGATTTTGTGAAAAACCACATTTTTAATAAAAGGTTTAATATTTTAAAAGGACAAGAAAATTAAATGTTAAGCTACAAATAGTTTATGAAGTCTTGCAGGTTTGTGAACTAGTTGCTTTTTACAGGCTTTTTTAAATATGTAAAATTTTAATAATTTTACTTGCTTAAATTTTAATTTATTAGATCGGGCTCACGGCAATGATTTTTCTAGCCAATTTGAAGACTCTTGTACTAAACTGGAAGATTTGGTGAAGCGGCAGACTCAGCACTTAAAAGACCAACGTGCATTGCTTGAAACACTTAACACGAGTGAAACATTCTATGAAGAACAGTATAGAGAAGCTAAAATTGTTGCAAACGTAAGTTATATTTCTTATGAGCCCAATTTATCGGCGTAAAAACTAGTTACAAGTATAAATAAAGTTTGGTTCAAAGATATGACTTATTCATATTGTATAACCAATCTTTTATGGAAACAGAAATATTCTTATGCTTTTGCATATTCAATTTGTGCTATTAAAATCAATATTAGCTACTCTGAGTGAGTATTTATAACTAGCCTTCGGTATGCGTTACATATGAATTATAGGCCTATATATGTTATACATGTTTGAGAAAAATATTTTATACAATAGTTATTTGTCAAAACGCAATGTGCTTTACTAAACGTTGAACAAAATTAGTGACCATGCAAAGAAATAACTAAATAGCTAAAAATCCGACACATTTAAAATAACATAGGCTACCAATACCTATTAGAAAAATTTAAACCAGATTATATACATTATTATTCAACAGAACGCCATATTAAATGCATACACTGATTAAGAGACTTAAATGATATTCAGTTAAAAACCCGGCTATTGATTGGTCATTATGTTGTTTTTTAAAGTAATTTGTATTAGTTTGATCGAGAAAATTCTATATATTTCTTTGCGTATGTCTGGATAAGTAGATCTATAGTTCTAGATCTAAATCAAATTTGAATGAAATAGTTCCTTTCTTTATATTCTAACATCGGAAGATGACGCCATTAGTGTTGTGTTCTTTGCATAGCGTAAACATGTGGCATGTGACGTTATTGTTTATTGCGTTCTTGTCACAACTATAAACATTTTTCCGGTTGTATAATTAAAATTTATTTCTACATTCAAATATGGCTTTATTTTTATTTTCCTTCATTAAATAAAATTTAGTTTATACATTTAAAACATCCAACATATTATTTTCAACAAAAGTCTGTATCAAGTTCTCCATATATCGCTGAAGATACTGATATCATAGCCTGTGAAAATAATTTGCTGAGAGAGAGACAGACATGCGCTTTTATATATTAGGATGAGTAGGTACTCCAAACTGATTTTTCAAATCGGTCACAGAATAATGGCTTTAGTTTTTTTGCATAGTACTAATGATTGTAAGATTGTGGATACCAATATTATGTCGGTAGAAAAGTTATGCGCTTTTGAAACGTGAAGGTTTTTTTTTTACCTTTTTCAGCCTCACCAAGACCCGATTTTAACACCAAATAACTCAAAAACTATAAGTCGATTGACTGAAGACCCAATTTTTTTCAAACCATTATCACAAGTTTAACATATAAATGTTTTGTCTTAAAAATCGTACTTCACCACTTTCATCAAAATTGTGAACGGACGGAAAAAAAGGCAAAATCAACAACTTTCACTCACAAAATCACTAAAATTCTTCTATTGCATCCACAATATTCAACTTCAAATTAATTTAAAGAGGAAAATGTCACCTAATTATGTAAATTGAAATGAGTGTAGTGTTATAAATCATTCAGTTAAATGTCTAGGTTTGAGAAAATAAGGTATTGGTGGAACTTTTATGGCTTTACACAGCTTTAAGTCAGCATTTTAAAATGTTTAAAAAATTACTAAAACAAAAAGCTATTTACTTAATAAAACTACAGTAAACTTACTTAAAATAAAAAAATATTCTCGGTAAAATAATTTAGTGTTTTTTAGATTGGTGAAAAACATTAATACAAAAATGGCGAAAAACGTTAATAAAAATACACAATTTCTGATTTACAATTGGGCCAAGATTAAAAGTAAGGACCTATTTTTGACTGTTATTTGTTTCATTTTGTAGCAAATTATGACTCCTTACTGAAGGTATAAGAATTACCGGGTGATAAAGTATACCCATACATGCATAGATTACTCAAATTATATATTTAGCAGATAGTTTGGACATTTAAAATCAGTTCTTATTAGCGTTTTTATGACAATTTTCTGTACTTTTCTCTCGCCACGTTAATGGATAAAAATTAGTTCACCGTGACCTTTTACTAAACATATTCAAATTTTACATGTTAACACTAGTTTAAAATTAAAAATACTAAATAACTTTCATATTTTATTATATTCTCTTTAATATTGAACTATTTTTAATTTGATATAATGTGTAGGAAAAAATAGATTTCTATTCAAACACGCCAGGGGTCTCGACCGCGTCAGGCAGATTTTTTTTGTAAAAAATGTCATTCGTTGTCAAGCTTTACCATTTGTGCCATGTTTGATATCATAGACATATTTTCACATTTACATAAAAAAATTTGAGAAATAAGCAGTGTTTACTAAATAGTTTATTAACTTTTTATACAAGACTAAAAGTCATTCAATCCTGCATACGCTAAGTTAAGTTTAGAATTCATACGTCACATAGTGCCGAAGTGCAAAGCGTCGGAATGGGATACAGGGGTAAAAACGATTTTTTTTTGTCGATAAAAATCAATGCGGTGATGTTTTTCGAGCTAAAAAGACATATTTTCCCTTTACCAATATAAAAACAAACAACACATTATTGTAGAGCTTAATTTTAATTAATATTCGCTTAATTTTTATGGGAGAACTTTGTGGTGGATAATAGCACAGTTACTCATAATTTCCATTAAATAACAATTTTATATGTAGTTTTAAAGAAAGGAAATCTCATCAATATTATATGCTAGCTTTATCTGAAATTATTTTATTTCAATTGAGAACCAGTCCTTGAAGTAACTTAATTATTTACTATTATTTGTTAAATCGGTGTTTATGTAATAAGAATTTAAAAAATTGGATCAAGTTAATAGAAGTTCTTATTCTTGTTGTTTGAGAGACAACTATGATTCCTGGTTTCAGTATCAATACATTTTTATGATGTTTTTTTTTATTAAGGCATACAAAAATTTTGGTGCAAGAATCAATAACATGAAAAAGAAATTGGATGAGTTAAAAAGAAGTATGCCAGAGATAGAAAGTCCAATTCCATCACCTGATGTGAATGCTCCTTCACCAGGCAATACTCCACCTCATATGCCTGGATCTGGTTACCATTATAATTCTGGAAGTTCAGCTATGAAATATGAACCAACAATGCCACAAACTAGTACGTTTTTTTTATTAACTTTAAGATTTCATCTAAGTTAATGTTTAGTTTCTGAAAAAAAAAGACTTTTATTATTAAGCTCGCCTTTTTCCAATATTCATTATTTCTAACATTTTATTTGGTTTTCTACTTTTAATTCTTTAGTAGAAATTAGAAAACAAAATGTAGCTTAAAAATTTGAATAGGTTACAAAATTTGGAGTAATATATTTTCAATCTTATCTATTTAATATCTTTTTCTCTCAACACCAGCAGCACTCTTTGCTGTCTTTGTGCAAATTGTTTTAGTTACTTATACAGATACACATAAAAAAACTGGCTAACCTCTTCAGAGTGGTGCCGATTTCAGCTTATAAAAACAGTATCTGTTAAGTCCTTTAAAAAAGATATAATTATAAATCTTAAAATAATCACAAAGAATTGTTCTACAGAATTTAAGTTTTAAAAATGACATGGCTCATTAGAATTTTTAAAAGTTTGTTCAGGAAATCTCAAGTAATTTTATCAATTGCCAGGTCTTTATGGTTTACATAACTGTTTCAACACAAGCAGAAGTAGCAATTTTGTTTATCATTTTATTAGGTTGGATGTTTAACGGCACAGGTTCATCTTTAGTTGCAAATCAAATGGCTTCAGACAACACATTCCAAGGTGTGCATAATGTAGTTTCATTTGATAAATTTTATGCAACTACTTCTAGAGAGTTTGAAGATTAATATATTACATACATTTCTCTGCTGACAACTGATTAACACATATCATATGCTAACCTATTTTAGATTCTCCACCCTTAGAAGCACCATCTCCTGAAGGATCCCCTCCAGATCTTAATTTGGAAGTTTCTCAATCAAGTAAGATTTAGAACAGACTCTCAATAAAAAAAGTAAAGACTATGAATATAAGAACAAGATTGATTTTATTATTTCAATAAACGTTTGTACATGAATTATTGCCAATACTTTGACTTAGTATACTGGTCATTCATGTAGATAGACCCTTTTTTCAGACATAGGTAGCTGTAGACATAGATAGAATGCTGATTGTTGGAATTATAAAATCGTCTTTCCATCGTAAATTGTAAATCATAAACAGAAGAAAAAAGTTGGTTCATGCATGCAGTCATGACAGGAACTCACCATGAATCTAACAGTACCAGTTACATACTTTTTAAATTTCGCATTTTTATGTAGCAACTGTCGATCTGGGGTAAGGTTTTAATACCGATTTATAGGTATCTCAGAGATGGAGGTTTAAGACTTGGATCGATAAAGCCTTACAGCGGGTTCAAAGGGTTAATGCAGTAATTTAATCAGGGAGGGGATGGCCAAAGGCACTTCAGGTTATTAGTGGTGGAAATGTTTAGATCTAGCGTAGCCCATATTTCATTAGATTTCTTATAGATTGCTTTGTTTTTCTGATAATTGTATATACGGTTACTGCCTCAAATTAAGTATCTTAAACTTTGAATTGCAGCGAATCTTAGTCTTGATTCACGCCTGGCAAGTTTTTTTGACAGAAGTCGTCATGGCAATAGTTCCAATCCTCCAGTATACACACCTCAGATTCCACGATCTTTAGCATCTAGCAGTAAGATGACAAAGTTTAGTGAAGAGGATGGAAGCACAACACCTTTAGATGATGAAACACCAACAACTCCAGTTCAGGATGAAAATTTAGCTTCACCACCAAAGCGAAACACTCCACCAAAAAAAGAAAAACCAATTGACTTTTTGTCAAGGTTAATTTCGCAAACACAAAAGGCCCCTGTTAAATCTGGTCCTGCTAGTTTTTTGGATAGTTTATCACTGCTGACAAATATTTCAAAGAAGACAGATGAAAGTCATATAGATTCAACAAATCCTCAGTCATGGGCAGCGTGGAAGGCAAAGTCTGGAGATATGAACTCATCACCCACACAGCCTTCACCAGCTTCATATGTTCCTCAACCAAATGTTTTAACTTCACCCACACAATTTCCCCCAACTCCCACTATGGTTCCACCACCTATTCCTATGCCTGTCCCACCTCCACCAATCACCATGAACCTAGGTTTAAATATGCCCCCACCTCCACCACCTCCATTTTCATTAACATCAGTTCTACATCCAGATTTTTCCACACCACCTCCAGGGTTTCAACAAACATCTCCAGGCCAGAAAGAAAACTGGCCTGATATTGGAAGGAGTCAGGTATCAGATCACCCAAGTTCTGTTAGAGCAACTCATAATAACTCTGTCTTAAAGGAATTGATTCCAGCAGAAGGGTTTGAAAGTAAAGGATCCAGTCATTCTAAAGATTCGGCAACACTAATGGATCCAGATGCAATGGAAATTGTTAGTGACGATGAAGATTCTTTAGGAACTCACACAGAAAATGTAGGCGAGGCTAAAGCAGAATTTGCACAGAAACTGAAACAAAAAACCTGTGCTCAAAGTTCCCTTAAGTCTCATATCTTTGTTCCCAATCCAGAGAGGCCAAATCTAATGACTCTAGCAGTGCAAGATGATCTTGATGAGGAGGATATGATTGATGACAATACTGTTCATGAAGATGCCAATACCTGGTCATCAAAGACTCACAAGTCCTCTCATAAATCCAGGTCAAGATCAAGATCCAAAGACAAGGATAGATCTCACAAACATAAAAAAAAGAAAAAACATAAGCGGACACACAGTGATGATGAAGATTTTAGACTGTCTGGTGAAGATAGCAAAGGGAGTTCTAGTTTGGGAAGTGTGGTGAAAAAAATTGAAGGACGCACAAGTAATAGAAACAGTAGGGATAGTAAAGGTGATAGATACGAGGATGATAGAAAATACGAAAAGTATGATGATGAGAGAAAATATGACAAATTTGATGACAGGAAATATGACAGATACAGTGGCTACGGGGTCAGGGGAGACTATAAATCCCACAAAAATTTAAGAGGTACTAAAGATCCTGTTGAAGCTTATACACAAGCGTATAGAGATGCTTTTGTTCAGCAGTACGGGCAGACACGATTTAATGCTTTTCCTGGGGCTCCTCCTCCAATGGACCCCCAGCGATCAAGATTTGGAAAATATTAATGGTATTTTTAAAATATTGTAACACAAAATATCCATTTTTTCAAATGGATAAGTTAAAACATGAACCAGATTTTATCTATATTTCTATAGCTTGTTTGTGAAAAAATACAAAATGAGAAAACTCTTAGTACTGAAATTTTATTGTATTATTAAATTATAGCATTGTGATATTTCAATAGTTCTTCTTGATTTATTTGATAATCTTGATGGTTCTGCCATTGTTTAAATTAAAATATTTTAAGAATGCTAGTTGATCTAATGAGCAATATATATATATTAGGACTGATGAATATCAAAATTAAACATTATTTTTTAAACAACTGGCCACCATGTTGCATGCTGGGATTTTAAAACTACGGTTCCTGTATTATTTATATTTAAGTAACAATGACAATGTTCTCTTAATTTTTGTAATGCATTGTTTTTACATTTTAAGGTTTTATGATTAAATATGATAGGAATGCATGTTGCCTAGTGGGTGGTATTGATTAGCAATCATTTGCTCATATCACCTATTGTTCTTTTAATTATTGTTGCTTAGATATCATGTCCAAATTTTGCTTTTAGTTTCATGAAGATATTTACTGTATGATCATCAAAGTAGAAGTACAACATAGCTTTTTTGCTTCAGATGTTTTGAAATAAAACTGAAATGAAAAAAAAAGATTTTGTCATTCATGACAGAGGTAGAATTTTATGTTTGCTGGTTTGTAATATATCTGTTTATAGCAAACTATACTTTTTTCATTGTTCAGTTGATTCAAGTTTTGTACTGTATCCCCCCACATTTTCCTAATGACAGATTTATCATTGTTAATAAATTTTCTGCATAACATGGACACTTTGACTTTTTATTAATTTAGTAATTTGAAAAAGCATACTAATGACCCTTTTTGCTTTTACTTGAAGCCAACTTATAATTCGGTACATCATTTTTAAAATTTAATACCTAACAGGAGGGTATTAGTCCTAACCCTTCGCATTGTTAATGTAAAGTACAAAAACATTAAAAAATTATATTTTATGTTAATAAATTTTTTTTTAATAATAAACAATAATTTATTTTGGAGTTAAAGTCCTACATGCTAATTAATTTCCATTTGATGGCACTCATTTTCTGATAAAGGGGTCTCAGGACTTCATTGTTAGCAATCGTGCACTCTTCCACAAGATCATGAAAAATTTTTTGCCCCCTTGTTTCACAGATAATAAAAGTATTAGTTCCCTTTATAGGGCAAGTGAAGTAGAGTTCACTTGTTTCTGTGACCTTGGTACATGAAGAGATAGTTTGGGTGGACTCAGGGATGGTCTACTGACCACTCCATTTGTTTTTAGGTGGATATTTTGTCATTCATCTTGGTTTTTTTTAAATCTGTCCATTTGTTGTCAAATCTTGTTCCTTTGACTTTTTCAACTCCTAGTGAAGCATACACCATTTACATCATACCAAGCTTAGCTGTCCTTTGCTATTTTTCCATTTCTTTTTAATAAATGTTGTCTTGTAAGGTTTCTTTTGGTCCTTGTGAATTCCATGATATTGCTTGTTAGGTAAAACCAGTGTTTTTTTCCAGTCAACGTATGACGTATCTTGCTCCATTGGGAATTTTCCTGTTATTTCACATACTGTTGTGATATAAGTCCAAGGTATTATAAGTATTAAGTTGCTTTTTAAAGAATAGAATCTCGTAGAAAAAGAATTGTGCACCAAGTGAACGTCAAACTATATGTGTATAATGGTGCTGAATACTAGTACTTTATAAATTCATATGTGTTTTTGTGTGTTGAGAAATCGCGTCAAGTACTTCTTCCAGTCAACGGAAATTACTCAAAAGTTGACAGAAGGTAGAGGATTAGATCAGGGGTCGGCAACCTGCGGCTCTTTTGATGTCAAGTTTTGGCTCCATGCACAAATATTAATTATTTTATGTTATTTTCAGAAATTCGTAAAAATATTGTTCTGCAACACTCGGTAATGAATTAAATAATTGTCAACATAAACACTCGCGACTCGATTAGAATATTTAGTTACTCCCTATTTCGGTGTACTTCCTATTAAATTGTTCATCCCGAATTGAAACATTCATCTTCATGGTGGATAGCACAAAGAAACTAAACAAGGTAAATGTAAAACTGCACGGAAAGGAAAACCAAGCCTATGCCTTGCTTGAGAAGTTGATGTTTCGAAAATAAATTACTTTTTTTTTGTTGTTGAAGACACGGAGAGCGGTAAATAACTTGATTTCGAAAAATATGAAACCAACGCAACTATTAGCATGAATTGCTTCAGCATTACAACAAACAAAACGAAGGATGGATTCATTGAGAGATTTGAGCAATTTAAAATAAATGCAAGTACTCTGACGTTCATAGCAGACTTTCTCAACTTTGAGCTATTTGGAATCGATACACATATATACACCTAATCCTAAATTTTGAAAAAAAAAACGTTTGTGGCTCTATAAGAACTGGTAAATTTTGTAAATTGCATTTTTTGGCTCTTCCGTCGGTAAAGGTTGCCGACCCCTGGATTAGATCGTTTAAATATATGTGAAATTTCGTTAATCTATTTGAAAACGTACTCCGGTTACCGGAGATCGATGAAAAGTTGATACAGAACTACAAATTTGATATGATACTTGTATATGAAATTTCACCAACCTAGCTGTAAAGGTACTCAAGTTGTCGTGTTCACAGACACACACATACATATAGAATTGCAAATGCAAATCCCAGTTTCTCCGACTCAATTACGCAGAGAACACCGAAATTTTGATAAATTCTACATTTATAATTTTTGCCTGATTAAAATAAGTTCTTTATACTCTGTGTATGATGAAGTACTGAGGTGTTCAATGAAAACTCGAAATTTTGTGATTTTTGTGCACGATTACAATACTTTCTCTATATACGAGAAAGTAAAAATGGACTATCTAAAACTAATAGTGCTAACCATCTACGTTTTGTACTTCATACTTTTTCTCACAATGCAGTCAGTTTACTATTTGTAAATCTTGCCTTAGTTTAACAAATTTAGTATCACTTCAATTCACAAAACTCATCCTACTGTGTTGCAACAATCAAATTCAGTTAAAAACAAAGACCACTTCCATATCCAATTTTATACCGATGGGTTCCGTAGACTTGTTCAATAAATAATATTGTCTTTCTAGCAATTTTGTTAGGATAGGTCTTGGTTTAAATGTTAAAATATGTTGTCTATAAACAAAGCCACTCGCCTGGGTAGAAAGTGTGGGAGTAGTTATGACTTCTTAAGATGAGGGAGCATCCAGTAATTGTGAAACCCACTTGACATTTTCTGTTCTCAATTGTAATATTGAAACGAATTAACTTATGCACCATATTGCCACATGCATTTTGTCCACCAAAGAACAATCTGCTAGTCAGCAATTGTTTGATTTCCCTTCTTATATTTATAATATATAGGGAACTGTCCCCAGATCATGAGCCTCATCTGCTGAGAGATTTGGGACTCCTCTCCCACATGACCAATACATTTCCTTTCACACAAAGTAGCTATATTAGGTTGTTTTCTTTGGTATATTTATCTGAAATTTAAAGGGTTACGGGAGGGCTGTGGGGTGTTGTCATTTGGTGAAGGGGTGGGAAAATAATGAATGCCACATTATTGGTTTTTGTTGAATGGAAAAAACTGAGAATTACATGAAGAGTATGTGCTTAAGATTTGAATTCTCCCAATAATTACACTGTAGAGCATTTGAAAATTTGCTCATAGTTGTAATAAAACAGTTAACACAACAGAAAAAGAACAAGACCTTTCAATAAGTCGTCCTTATTTTATTTTTGCTAGTACAAAGAGCAAATAGACTTCATTTTAGATAAAATTTTATTTTGTTTTATAACCCTAATTTGCTCAATTTTTTGAATTAAAAAAAACTCTTGTTAAAACAAACCCCAGGATAGCCTAATATTTGACTTAATTTTTTGTCATTAAAAGAGTAAAAGCAGTTTAATAAAACTTTATTACATGGAGTTCTATCTACTATACATTGGGGTATAAATGATTAAACGTGAAGAAAAAAGCAATCATCCACCAGAGGAGGAAAATAAAATACATCAATTGTCTTGATCAGTGAAATATTGGTACTGATGGCAGGCCAAAGAGAAGGGAGTATTGGTAAGCTTTGAAACAATCAAGCTTCAGCCCTACTTTTAATAATCTGCCGTGATTTTTTTTTAGACAATCAGGTCACAGCGCTCACAATTTCACATTCATTTGCAGCACTTGAGGTTGCCACTGCTGCACAAAACTAAATTTTTATATCTAAAATTAGCCATTTGAAAACAGGCAGATGTCAGGGTCTTATTCCTATTGGGTGTCAAGCTTAGATTTGTATCAAACTTTGAACAAATACAACCTTAGCTCATCAAGACTTGGGATTTATGGCTAACTTGCAAACTATCTTCCATACCCCATCATGCCATTTTACATAACATGGCTGAAAGATTTTCTGTCAACAACAGTGTGTATGATTTTATGGGGAATTACAAAAAGAAGTTAATCAATAAAGACATATTCATTACTAGTTTTCTTTCAAGGGAAGAAAACCTTAGGTTAGACTTCTTGACTGCTGTTAGACACTCTGGTACAGTACTGAGTTTACTGTGGCTTTGATAATCCTTTGAGGGAGACCTGGATTTTTTTTGCCTTTACTAAGGACCAAGAATGGGGCAGCAACCTTAACAGTTTGAATTAGTGCTGTGGTGCTCCAGTTCGCGGCTGTAAGTGGTGAGCTGTGCCTGACCGTGTGGGGTTCTAGGTCACCGGAGTTCCACTGGGACGTGAAGCATTTAGTGACCTAGTTAAATGGCCCCTGAGAGAGATGAGAGGCCGGGTACAGACGATCTCCTTGGTAAGTGGAGTCCTGTGACAGCAGAACATCCATTTGGGACCTGAAGTCATCTGCCATGAAACTGTCCTGAAAATGACATGGGCCAAAATGGTTAAAACTGAATTCTGCATGAAATTAAATGAGAACAAAAAGACATTAAACTATTTTACTTCCCTTACCGCCAGCAAAATACCTGGCATTTTTTAAAAATAATTTAAAAAACAATAACCACTGACGTGAAAAAAATATAATAAAAAAAATATACACAAAACTAGTCCAAGTTTATTAATCATGAGGTTAAATAACTTAATAATTTACTAATTATTAATAAAAAGAACACTAATCCCTGAAAAATGTGAACGAAACACCACTTCTAAAATTTTAAATGCAAAAAATAATTTGATGTAGTCACTGGAGCTACTTTCTTTTCCAATAGAAACTTTATAAATAAGGTAGAGGCATTTCAATTAGATTTAATTTCACTAATTATATTGCCCATAATTTTGAGAAAATTTTTAACTTTAGAAAAATCCTAGAAAATGAACCGCTAGTGATAGAACTAGAAAACAACGTAGATAGAATTTATTGTTTCCCGCTTCTGCCAGTATCTTCAAAATCTCTGTACAAACTAGACTTTCGCTACTATGAATACATACAAGTGCTATACACAGTAGGGCGACGGAGGACGCACCAGACTGTACCACACAAAAATTCTCAGGTGACAGCATAGACCTATAAAAGGGTTAAAGGATAAACTCTAACAAGACAAATACCTGAGACAGTTCTGGTTGTGACAGTCCACTGAGACCTGGCTGAGAAAGTCCACTAAGACCTTGGCTCATCTGAAACTGTTGGCTCATTGACATTCCTTGTGTCAAAGGACCTTGTGAGAAGTCCTTAAATATATTTAAATTAAAGAGAATCAGATTATTTATAGGGGTGTGAACAACAGTCAAATGTGAGTTTCAAAGTAATGTAACAAAATTCCCTCACTCTTTATCTTTGCTGTAAGGATTAATATTTGAAGAATAAAAATACAATTTGTGCTACGTACTTGACTTGCCTGACTCTGGGAGTTAATGCCTAAGGATCCTTTATTTGCCTTTTGTCTTCGGTTGCCGCTCCAGCCACGCCCACCCTTTTGACCCCCTAATTTGATTATAAACCAAATACATATTTTTGAGCATATTTAAAATGTTGACTAAATAAAGAAATATACGAGTCAATAAATTATTTTTCTTTTAAAGCCCAAATGTTGCAAAAGAACTAAGTTCAAAATTATCATTAAAGACCTTTACCTTGAGAAGCTTGACTGTTGAACTGCTGTTGAGCAGTGTGAGATAAAAACATGTTAACCGGTACCGGAATATTCATAGCTGATCTTGTGTATGCTCGCTCTGGCCCAATAAAGCCCAACTGATCATGAGTGCGCATCACTGGTTCTCTATAAGCATTGTTTGCTTAAAAAAAAATTATATACGTATATAGGCTGAAACCGTTAACCTTTCATGGAAGAAATATCTAATTTTAAGATATAAAGCAACAATCTGCTTAAATTAAAAATGCTTGTTCAAAATTAACAATCTAAAAATAAAATAATAGCTTCCTACCACGATCATAAGCATTTCCTGGGACCAGCAGCTCTCTTGCATCAAACATTGTGTTGCTCATAAAGCGACCACCCTAAAAAATGTTGGAATTATAAATTACTTTCAACCTATTGTGCCAGGAAAGATAATAGAAATAGTTTTCATTTTAAATAAAAAAAGAATTACAGGATTGGTGGTATTCACAAGCTTGCGTGGTTTACTTATGTTCACAAAACATTCTTTAAGGCTGGATAGAGGTCCTTCAACAAGACACTTTTGTTCTCTATAGTAAGTTAGAAGATGGCACCACAGAGTTTGCTGGAATAAAATTAAGTGTACATGTTTGAGATGAAATAAATAAAAAAATAAGAGATGGTCGAGTGCTTGACTGCTAGCCCAAAGGTCTACTTTGGATCTCGATCTGGAATCATGACTAAGTCCTTCCAGCTCTGGTGGGTATGCGACTTACATTAGGTCAAGAAACACGAACTCTACTTCACCTGCCCTATTGATCATACGATCTGAATGAGGACCTTTAATGTTACTAGACTAAAATAAACAAAAGCAAAATTATCTAAATATTTTTAAAAATGCTACCTAAATGAATTTAAAGATGCTTCTCAGCTTTATCATTATCCCTTTAAATGTTTTATCATGCAGAGTTAAACTCAAACTATGGTATTTCTTTTTTTTCCTTAAATTTTAAAGTGGCATACATGAATAGTTAAATTGTTTCAGTTTTCATTAAAAACAATATAAGCAATATTACAGATAAATATAACAGTATATATGTATATATACAACATACCCTTGATAAAATTTTTGGATTTCCAACAATGATAACACCATATCTGAAAAAAAATTTTTGCCATGAAACAAAGCATGTTAATTAGTGATAAAAGTAGTTTTTATTATAATATAAACATTGAAAATCTTAAAACATATTTTTTGGAATTTACCTGGCACGAGTGAGAGCTACATTCAAACGGCGTGGGTCATTTAAAAATCCAATGCCTTGATGCTCATTTGACCTCACACAAGAAAGTAGAATGAAGTCTTTTTCTCTACCTTGAAAGGCATCAACACTTGCAACTTCAATTTCCTATTAAAAACAAGTATAAAAACATCTTGCTTAAAAAATCATCAACAGAATATTTTGTTTCAGTTTAACACAAAAATGTTCATGACTAACCAGATAAAGTTTTTTGTTAAGAGATCCATTATACTGCATATGCTGAACTTGATATGCCCTCTGCCCTTCATAAGGGGTAATGATTCCTATTTGTTCAGGCTTCACTCCAGCTCTCAAAAGTTTAGTTGCAAGTTTCTCAATGTTTGCAGCTTCAGTTCTAGGATTAACCAAAATTTTATTGTAAGATATTTTGTTTACCTCTTGTGTAAAAAAATTATGTAATATTAGTACATTATTAATTTTCTGTTGATTTTACAGTTGCAAATTTCAAAAAGTTGTTCAGCAAGGTTTTGTATGGTTTTAAACATCAGTGTTATAAAATTTTGATTGTGATGTTTGTTGTTTTAAATAGTGCTGAAGTTTACATGCACATTTTTTTCATATATTTAGTGAAAAGATGACAAAAGAAATTGTATACCTGTTAAGATATGAAGTTCCAGAACTTGAAATTTCTTCAGTGCCAAAAGTACTATAAAAGAACATTGGTTTGTCTGGCTGAGGCCATGGAAAATCAAGTCCAGATCTAGTGCGATCAGCTACAAAAAGAAATTCTTTTCTTTAATAGAATGTTTCCACTAAACCTAACAGAAATAGTATTTTATTTTCCATAAACCTACCAGCAGTGACTCCATTTTGAAGGGACCCCTCATAAAAAATATTTGAAGGAAAGCTACTCAATGCTGGGTGCATGCGATACTGCACTTGTAGTCTGATTGGGCGAATTCCAAGAACAACAAGTCTTTCAAACAGTGACTGCGATAAACCAGCTCTAGCGGCCTTTTTACACATCACTACAGGACCAAGCTGACAGTGATCTCCAACAAGGATTAGCTGTGGACAGTTGGTTAGAAAACTGTTTAACCTGTAACATATAAATAAACTACGAGACATAAATTAAAAAAAAAAGCCCTCACTTGTCTGCATCCCAAGATTACAGGTATCATGCACTCCGGTTCTGTTGCCTGAGTGCTCTCATCAATAAGGACTGAACTAAACTGAAGCTTGGCTAAGCGTGGGTCACCAGCACCAACACAAGTACAACAAATAACATCAGCAGCCTAAAAATAATAATGAAGAATAGTATTAACACAATAATGATATCAGTAGAAAAAATATTCTACACATATGTACATCATAGCATAATTTACCTGCAGTAATTCTTTTTCACATTGCTTTTTTAAAGATCTGTATCTTTTCTCATCACCTGAAGATAATTCTCCAGTTTCATCTTTGAGTTGCTGCAGCTTGTTTAGCTCTGGCAATCTAGAAATAAAACAAGACATGGTTGATTATCAAAATATACATTATATTTAAATGCTATTTATACTGCCATTTTAAAATTGGCAAAACATCAAACAATTTTAAAGTTTTAACTATCTTACGTGTCCATATTTCGTATTTGGTTGTGCAGTGCCAAAAATGAAACTGGTGAATCAATTGCTTCCCTAGACTTAGCGCACAGTCTAACAACCTGTAGGTTATAATCATAACATGGACTGTTTTTAAAAAAAAAAAAATTAAAACACATCAATGCCATACAATAAGCGAAACTTGTTCAAGAGTAAGTTGTTGCTTTACTTAAGCACTAAATGTACATCCTGCAAGTACAATGCTATTGAAATAGTTTAGAATTAATATATCATAAGGTATTGTGTATAAAAAATTGTTTTATCTACTTTAATCCTTATGAGTCAGCATTTTTAATTTGAAACTAGTAATTGACACTTTAATAATCTTAAAGTTATTGAAAGAATAGACATTTACTAATTACCCTATTATTTATTTAAAAAATAACATTTTGTTTAAAGTTATAAATAAGAAAACTAACCTTTAGGCCAGTTTTATGGATCTTTTCAGTCAGCTGGTCCACGGCTATATTTGAAGGAGCACAGACAAGAACAGGACCATTGTTTTGTTTCACCATGTGATAAACCACAGTAGCAGATGTTACAGTTTTTCCGGTACCTGGTGGTCCCTAAAAACAAAAATCAGATGTTAAAAAAACAGTGGAAACCAGTCCACAATATATATAAGAAAATGCTGTTTTTTTTCTAAACAAAATCAGCTTATTTAGCTATTTTCCAGATTGAAAAGAAAAAGGTTAGTCATGAGATACGTTAAGTAACCATTCACACAATTATCAAAATGCTATATTATATTTAATTTTGACATATGGTGAAAGTTACATCATCAGCCCAAAATTCTTTTTTTCATATTCTACTATACCTGAATAAGACTAAGTGGACGCTGCAAAACAGTTTTTACAGCATAGACCTGAGAATGATTCAGCTCAGGTAAGCCAGGCGCAGAGAACCTTTTTGGAAGTGTACATTTTAAGGCAATGTCTTCAACTTCATGTCCAAGAAGCTTATGGTAAATATATCCCCAAACAGACGTTTCATCAACAGCAAATGTCTTTAATGCTGATTGCATTCTGAAATATTTAATTTGGCTATCAATTTAACTTGACATATTTTAGAATGCAAAAGCACTTGGAAATACAGAGCTAAAAGATGACCATTAAAATTTGCTTAAATATTTTATATTTGATTTGTTTGTAAAGCTGTACCAACATTACCAATCATATAATTTTAGATTTAAACGATTGTTTGTGATTGTTAAAAATTTAAACAAACATGTCTACTGTGATCAGGTGTGAAATACTATTTCAAGCTATTATTATAATGATATAAAAAGATAATAGAATATTTAACCTATCAAAAGATGTCGATTTCCAAACAAAATCCAAGACAAAGTTGTGAGTGCAGCTTTCTGGGACACCAGCATTGCTCTTCAACTCAATAGCTATTTCATCACTATGGTCTTAAAATTTGGTTAATTTAAATATACATGAAATATTGAGAAAAAAAATAGATCAACAAAAAAAATATGCAACAATTATCTTATTAGTTTCAAGGATACTATCTGGTATCTTGATAACATGTCCTACACCCGACCATGGTTTTTGTAGTTCTCCAACATAGCGAAGTTTAAGCTCGTCACCATGCATAAGTTTCATTTCTATAAGAAAAAAATATTAAACTGTATTCTTATGGGTTTCAAGAAAAAAATTATTTATAAAATATGTTGATCATTACAAAGTAACTGCTAAACCGGGTGATAAAACCTCCTTAATTTTTCTCTTATAGTACAATCAAAATATTCTTGTAGCTATCTGATATAAATGAAAGCTCATATTATAAAATAGCTTTAATTACTAGTTTAACAAGATGTAGAAGAAAGCTTCAAACAATAAAAAGGAAAGTATCAAATAGTAAATTATTTTGACCTATTAAAAAAAAAATACAATTGTTTCATTATTTCTCACTTACCATCATTAGCCTTTGATAGACAGAAATAAGCAATTCGCTTTTTATTAAGTCCAGTATCCCAACGTACTACAATGTTATCCTGAGTTTGGGATTCTTTCAATCTCTTGTCATAATCAGCCTCCAGTTTAACCAGAGGACCAAAAATATTCTGGTACTGATAAGCATCGTCATATCTGCAAGAAAAAAATTGATACTGAACATATGCTTTTACTTAAGATGTGTAACAATTTAGAGCAAGGCATATAACTACATCAATACATACCTCAGTTGCACCTGTGTAGGCTCTTCATCCAATCCAGTTCTTTCTAAATCTTCAAGTTTTGCATCAGGATTGTCCTAGAAAATGTGTTATTTTAATAAAGTCAACAACTTTTTTTTTTACAAAATTACTTAAATTGTAAATTTTCAATAACATTTATTAACAGCATGAGCTAATGAACAGCAAAAGTGTTCATTAGAGAATTTTCATAGATTAAACAAAACCTACATAAAATTTAGTATATAAATTCAAGTTTTTCACCCATGAAAGATATAGAATCAATTTATTATAATCAAATATAAAGTTTTATATGAATGTACAAATAGTCATAGCGTACAGTTCTTGGTGAAAATCTGAATTTGCCCTTGAAAGATAGACTGTTTTTATTTTTACCTTCCATAACTCCTCAAGCTTATTTATTTGTTGTGCTGTGATCTGTCTAGCTCTGAGCTGATCTTGTTCACTTGGCACTTTGACTAACCATGACAGAAATGATCGATCATTTATAAGAGGCTGCCACTGGCTAGGATCCCTAGGATAAAAAAAAGAAAAAAATTGGAATAAAAAAAATAACCAACTTTTAATTCCAAAAGCTTTTTTATTTATGTACCATACATACAACAACAAAATCCCAATAAATATTTAATCATAACATATTATTAGAGAAGAAAATAAAAAATAAAATTACCAATTCATGTCTTTGAGGTTACTGAGATTAGCGCAAGGATGTCTGCAAAGCAAAACCACCACAGACTCCGCCTTTGCTGGAATGAACCCAAGAAGGAAGACATTGCGGCAGCCACAGTTGTAACATTCAAGTACAGTCTCACCCAAAGGACCATCTTTATGCAAGGTGACTTCTTTTGTTTTAGCTCTCACAAGATGATTTATAATGTGGCTAGATAAAGATAAAGAGAAGGTAAAATACTGCTCGTTATAAAAGCAAAAGAAATTTATTTGATAATTTTTTTCAAGATTAATACCTTCCAGAAGTGTTTCCTCTGCCATTGCAAAACCACTTTTTACTTGCATTACAAAAAACAACACAAGCAGGATCATGAATTCCACAATAACTGCAATAATAATAATTAATCTTATTAGTTATGACATATACATCTCATAGTAGTGTCAAACAATGAGTTCACATTAATTAATAGTTGGTGGTTAGTAACAAACTTGAATATTATCAACTGATTTCAAAATCCCCAAAGGCATTTAAACTTGTTAATAATGCATTCCAATTTATTAAAACTATTTTGTACATAAAGCAAAATTAGCTGTCAAGTGCTGGACATATATAGGCTGTTAACTTGTCGTTGCAATACGGATACCAAGCTCATTCTATATACGCCTGAGGCCAATGGAGGTGTTAAAGGGCAATAGTCTTATTTGTCATAAAACAAAATCTATTTTAGCATCCCTATGAGTTACAATCTCTTGAAAAAAAATTTGTTTAGCTCATAAGAAAAATGAAGTTAATAACAATCGGTAGAAAAAAAAATTAACTTACGAACAAGCATGCTTGGGCAAATCTTTCATGTAAAATTGGTTTTCTTCTGGTTCTTCTTCAAAGTTCAGCTCACCCATGCCTTGTGTGATGTTTGCCACTGTAATACTGACATCTCCATTTTCCAGATGATCAATGCCATTTATCTATAAAACCATTACCAAAGTTCTAGACTTAAAGAGTTATGTACAGAGTAGCAGAAAAAAAATGAACCTTTTAGTACTGATTAAAGATAAATTAACATTGTGCTTATAAGTTATCTTTAAGCAATACACCAAAATCATTCAATTTTTTCAGCTAAGAATTCTAAACAGATCTTAAAAATAGAGATAATGCATTGATCAACCTAAATATAGAAAGTGATAGTGTGCTTATCCCTATACCTAGTTTTCTTATCTTGAGTCAGTACCTGGGTTGACGCCGAGGCATCCTATAAACATTAACTAAACTAATGAACAAATCTTAACTGCTATTAATTGAGCTCTCTATTGTCTACAGCATGATTATGTGGTCCCGTCAGTTATGCAGCATTATTTATTAGCAATGCATTACTTATAGCACAGCTAGCTTAATGTGTTAACTCATTTTTCTCTTGCATGTTTAACAGAAAAATACAAAACGACTACTCGAGAGTTTGCCCCAGAACCATTAGTCTAGCCTACAGAAAATGCAAAATGCTATTACTTAAATAGCTGCGCAATGTGCTGAAATTATCACTTTATAGCTGTGCAAATTACCCATTTAGCCTTATTTTTCTTGCAAAACTATCAATTCTGTGTGGTCATGCAGTCGTACTTTGCCTTTCTGGCAGATCATCAGGGGTTGAGGGTTCATAGTTAACTTATAATAGATCGAGCAAAGAGATCTAGTCTAAGTATAAAATATTTTTTTAAAATAATATTTTAATAGCCTATTTACATCTACGAGCAGACTCGCGCCGTAAGCATACATCGCTATTTAGATGTTTTATTTGCTACTTTTCAGTAATTCATAATTTGTGAATTCGACACTACTCCCTCTTTCCCCATTCTCCCCCCACCCCTCCTTGAAAGCGGCAGTCTGTGACGACAGTTTACAGACGACAATGAAAAGATCAAGGAGAACTTTGAAATTGTTTAAAAGCTAAATTATCTACCCCTAATAGCCATCACATTGTTAACATTCAGGGTGAACCACAGCTCACCAGACTGGTGAGGTGTGGGTGGTAGCGATAAGCCTAGTGAGCGGGGTAGGAATGGCTAAGCCCTTATGTGGTGGTGTCTTGTATGGTCCCCACGTAGAGAATTATATACATAGACTATTTAAGTATTCATCAGGTGAATCCCTGTCCCATCAAACAACGAAGATTTAGATGAAAATGGTCAATTTAGCGCTTTTTAAAATACATGTGCATCTTCTTCCGGCCAGAATCTGCCAAATATTTATTGCTTGTAGAGTAAAAAAATAATGTATCTTATAAAAGTTTATGATAAATGATACAGTATTTTCTATTCAGAGTTTACTACTAGTATTGTTTATGACAATCCACGAACTTGACCTTAATAGCATTACCGATAGAGAAACTTGCTAGTTCTATAATAAATAAATAATACAGGGTTCATGCTGCAAAACTAAAAATAAATTCCATGAGTTTTCCCAGGACATTTCCAGAAGTTTTAAATATATTTCAGGAGATTCTTAAAATAAGAAATCTGTATTGTATGGCCACATTTACAATAAGTTGATTAAGCGCAGACGCTTATGTTAATCTGTTCTTTTTCTGCAATTAAAGCAGTCTTATGCCACTATTGTACTAATTCATAGTTTAATACAGCTATAATTATCTTAAATAAAAGAAATTTATGATGATCTAAAATAACAATAAAAGCCATTTAACATTACAATTTAATGTTTCCCTTATTTATATACAGTTTTTAAAAATAGATTTTACACTACAACAAAAAAAAGTTACCCAATTTTTTCCACATTTAAATAATGTAAATGTAATGATCTAGTAGCCCACTTTGTTATCAATCTAATGATAATGTCTAAGATTCTTAAAGATGGACAAGGTATCAATTACTTTTTAACATTAAGCCTGAAATCATGTGATAGAAAATATAATTTTAGTCTAGACCAAATAAGCCGCCATGAGCTTTAATTAGAAGGAGTCTAATTATTTTGGGGGATTTTTATACCAGTGTCCGATAATAGAATCTTCTTTAAAAAAGGAGTGTTTCTCCCCTCCCCCCTCCTCCCATACAGGAAATGGTAGAAAGGTCACAGTGAGTTCATTTGAGGTCAGAATATAGTAGGCCTAGAGCGCACATCACAGCAAGAACAACAAGGCTATTTGAGATTGGCCATGGTCTCATTTTTATTTTTCCTAAAACAAGCTGTATTAAACATGAACTAGGCTTGGCTGACGTAATTGTCCTTCCAATGCCCAAAGCAACAAAATAACATAACGAATGTATTAACAATAACTTAGGCCTATTTGCCTTACAGCATTTGTATTAAAACAAGCTATTAAATGCCTTACAAAATAGTCCACTATTTGTAAAGGTATTGGTAAAATGGACACAAAACTAATGATGGGGAAGTAGTAAAATGAAACCACCGGTAAATAAGATACTTTGAGAGACTTTAAAACTTAGATTCGATTGCTAGTATAAAAAAAAAATGGTGATGTATCTACTAGCTTTCTGATGATGTCGCAATCAGTTTTGAGAAAACCAGACACATCATAAAAATCTATTTTATTCTAAGGGGTCATCCATAAATGACGTCACGCTTTTTTTGACGATTTTTACCTCCCCTCCCCTCCGTCACACGTCGACACAAAAAGTCAGACCCCCTCCCACTAAAATCACGTCACACCTCAACCTACAACCCCCCTCAAAATTGCAGTTGAATTTTTTTTAAACATCGATATTTTTCCAAAATCTTGTCTAAACTATTACAATTTATTAAAACAGTTATCTAAAACGCGAAATAACGTCTAAAATTCGTTTTCTAACATTGCTTTTTTATAATGCAAAAATGTGACATCGCAACATCTGAACCCCCTCCCCCTCATCACCACAGAATTACGGACCCCCCTCCCCCCTACAAGTGTGACGTCATTGATGGATGACCCCTAACTTGCTACCCACTATGTGACAATAAAGGCCTACAAACAACAGACAAATCCTACAAACAACAGACAAATAGGGGGAAAAATTAACATTTTGATAAATAATTTATGATATGAATTACCGAAACCAATTTCTGGGTCTGAAAGATTTATTTTATACAGACATCCCTGCAATTTACCAGATAAGATAGTGGTAGGCCTATATCCTGGGGTTATACTGTAGTGTAAACAGCGAGAGGAATCAACCATTTAACCATTATCATTAGTTAGGCTAAGTCTTTTCTTTATTAGTCGCATATTTTACCCACACACTTTTCAAATAAAAAATGAATAAATACCAACTAACTAGGGCCTACATGTTCATATTGTAGGCTAGTTAAGAAAACCAAATATATTCATTAAGTCATTAAGACAACAGAATCTAGACTAGATCTAAATAGTCTAGTTTTTAGATGCCCCTCATATTATATTAGATCTAGATTCTAGTTAAGTTATGACCTGTTAAGTCTAAGTTAAGTAACTTAAGTAACTTGAATTTGTGTTAGAATGAGAATGTTAAATCTAAATCTAGATCTAATTCTAATCGTGTATTGTAATTCTCAACATAAATATGATCTAGATTATCTAGATCTAGATTCTATACACAATTTATACATACTTGACTTTGATTCTGGCTAACATTTACATCTTGCTGATGAGACTGGGTTTGTGATTGTGTTTGTGAAGGAAGTGTAAAATCCGTGAACTCATATTCAGATCCTTGAGTATCCGCTCCTAAAAGATCAGTTTCTTCGGTCTCAAGAAACGTTAGAGTTTGTGAATTCGGTCCGTAGGTATCAACACTCATAGCTGTGTAGATAAAGCAATTCAAAATTTAGCACACATTTTAGATTAAGTGAAGTACGTTAGTTAAAACGTTGAATTCCCGTAGATCAAGAATCGAGATTTTTCTCACCGACAACAAAATTCTCCACGTGTATGGCGTTAACTGAGAATAAACATGTGACACCAACATTTATAATATAATATAGATGGTCTACCTGATATTTATTAATAACCGAGTTCTAAAGCGCAGTTAATTTGTATTAACTAAATCATAAACTGATCAGGTGGATAATCTTCTCGTCCAGGGCACTTGCGGACGTACAAGATTGGTCTAGCAAAGGCTGACGTCAGTCAAGCACAGGAAACAAGTGAAGTAAAGGGAAACAACAATATTTTACTATGCACACATTTTGATTACGCCATTCGTTTTAGAATTACCAGGATGGCATTTGTATATCTATATCTAATGCGCGGTTATTTTAGGAAGCTCCTGCTTATAAAAACTGGCATGTACTAAAATAATAAAATTATTTTCTAAGAACTGTTCAAGTAAATATTAGGATCTAGATCTAGATCTAGATCTAGAACTAGATCTAATAAAATGAGTAGACCCTCAAATGTGAGCGTGCCTTAAGATTTGTTCTCACGCAAATCCAAATAAATTTCTAAATGAATGGTTTACATTTTACATGTTAACCCCTTGCCAACTAGATCTAGATCTAGGCATTGTCATTATTCATTATGTTATGTAATCTAGATCTAGATAGACTAACCTAATGTAGTGGGCCTATAGTGGCCTATACTCTTCTATACTCTATTTGCTATTATAGATCTAGAATCTAGTCTATTATAATAATAAAAGATCTAGTGAAGCCTAGTTTTAGTAATCTTAGAGTAGACAAGTAAAGTAGGCCTAACTACACTAACTAGTACTACAAAACTACTGCACTTAGTTAATATACTATTACTACTTACTACTAATGAGCAGCCTCTAACCAAAAAACAAAATCCTAATAAAAAAATAATATTAATCTAGATCTAGAATAGATCTACTACTAACTTAAACTACTTATCATATGAAGAAATTAAGGGCTTTCACATGGCACTGTTAGTTGATGCATCCTGACCTATTGATCTATATTAATTATCTATTATAATTCTCTACGTGGGGACCATGCGAGACACCACCACGTAAGGGCTTAGCTGTTCCTACCCTGCTCAACCCCCACTAAACCCCATCACTTGAAATTTTCGGGGTGGCGGTCAACATTTTTCAGGGGGGGGGGGTTGGGCACACTATTAAAAGTGTATGTTTACAATATAAAATCCATCTCGTTTGGGGGTGGGGTGAGGGGGGGGGGGGGCGGTAGACTTTCAACAGGAGGGGGGGGGCTATCCCCCCCACAAAGAGATGCCTGGAAGAAACTCTGATCGTAGAGCCTGCTATTAGGGGCAGATAATTTAGTTTTTAAATGATTTGAAACTAAGAGGAGGTAATAACAAGTTCTGTTTGATCTTTTCATTGTTGTCTCTAAACTGTCGTCACGGACGACTACTTTCAGTCGCAGCATTGGTAGTGTTGAATTTAGAAATTATGAATTACTGAAAAGTAGAAAGTAAAAGAACTAAATAGCGGTGTATGCTTACGGCATGGGTCAGCTCGTATAGTATAATTAGTAAGTTCAACAACTTAATAATTAATATTACTTTATTAATTATTTTAATAAATTAATATATTAATTAATATTAACTATTAACTAGCTAGGCTTGACTTGGGTGGCCTATTTGTAAAACACTGTTATTAGTATTATTAGCAGTATTAGACTATTAGGCTACTGGCCTAGGCCTACACTATTAGACTACTTGGATTTTAATAATAACTAGCCTAGGGTAATGTAGGACAGCGTTGCCTAGGGGTAGAACGCTAGACTGCTAACATGTCAGTTCGAATTCAGGTTCAAGTCAGTAGAATGTTCCTGACTCCACCCAGCTCTGACGGGTACCTAACTCACATAAAAAGGCAGCTAGGCATAGTGATGAATACACTATCCCTTCATATGCCGTAGTGAAAGAAATATGTGAACTCTACTTTACCTGCTCCATGGATCGTCAGGTTCAAAAAGTTAACTAGAGCAATTTAAATACAAATTTTAATTAATTAAACTGAAGAGTAGGCTTAGTTAAGTGTTACGTTCCCTTTTGGAACCTGACAGTCAATGGAGCAAGTGAGGTAGATTTTGTGTGAACTCTGCATATAAAGGGATAGTGTGGTCAGCACTATACCAATTTGAGAAAACATAGTTATAGTAAGTTGACAAAATTTTACAAATAAAGATTTTTATTTTTAAATTTTAATATATTGAAATAGAATGAATTATTAATTTATTTTTTGAGAAATATTAGAGGTATTGGTAATGTTAAATAAATAAAGTTAACAAATGGGTCTAGAAATATAAATGAACTGTCATACAAAAAGTGAATTTTTGCTTCTTTAAGGGGATATGCTCAGTTTTTTTGTTTTTTTTTTACAATTTAACATCTAAAGCCTTTTGAATACTTTTACTGTTTGACAAATGAAAGTAAGTATTAAACAGCACAAAAAAAAATGGTTGAAAACAATTTAGGTTGTCATGAAAACTCAAAAAAACCTATTTTGAATTTTTTGATACTTTTAAAAACGCTAAAGCTTTTTATTTATGCACTTATAGCAATCAAATTTACATGGCTTATATTTTAGTATATTTTAAAACTTTTGTCATGACAACTTTTTGATATAGCTACTGCTCAGAATTCTTCAAGGTCTGAAAAATCACACCCTTGTTACAATGCAAGTTTCAAAATGTGCATATAAACTTTTTTCTATGAAAGCTATCACAATTCCTTCATGACAAAAGTTTTATTTTTGCATGCAGAACAACTACTGAAAATATGGTGGGCATTGTTTTATAAATATTACTAGCCGTCCCGGCCAGGCCCTGCTCTGGCTTCTGTGAAAAACCTTTCAGTTAAAGACCATTACCTGTGTGTTTAGTAATCATCATAAACCCGGCATTGCACACCCAAACCAAAACCAAAACAACAAAACGCAAACATAATGCTAACACAATTACAAATACAAACGAAAACAAAAACCTAACAACTAACCCAACCACAACCACAAACACCAATACGAACACAAAGAAAAAAAAACGAAAAAGCAAACGAAAACAAACCAAATCCAAATGCAAAACCAACCACACACCCAAAGAAAAAAACACAAACGAAAAAACAAACGAAAACAAACCAAATACAAACGCAAAACCAACCACAAACACAAATACAAACACAAACGCAAAGAAGATAAAACACAAACGAAAACGAAAAAAGAAAGAACAAAAACGAACCAAATCAAAACGCAACCACTAACGCAAACCCAACCTAAACACAAAGAAAACACTAACGCGAACATAAACGCACAGTGCTCAGAGTCTAGCCCGGGGCGGAATCGCCTGTTTCAGCCTAATAAACGACTATAGTACCCCAACTTATTCATAGTCTTTTGCACTCACTTTAATGAACGTAGGCGCGAAACCGAACACGGGAGGCCCGGGACCCCAAATAGCACCCTGTCTGGGCGCCAGAGGACGCACCATGACGTCACCGCCTGATTGAACTTAGTAAACGACTATAGTACATAACTTATTCATAGTCTTTTGAACTCACGTGAACGTATATACCATAGCGTACACCGGAAGGCCCGGGGCGCCAAATAGCACCCTGTCGGGGTGCCGGGGGACGCCCGGATTTGATTCACTTAAAGACTATAGTAACCTTTCTTATCCATAGTCTATCGCACTGTTAAAAACAAAATTATGCAGCATAGCGCTCACATGATAGCCCAGGGTGCCAAATCGAACCGTGCAAGGGCGCCGGCGGACGCGCCTGTTTCAATTTAGTGAACAAAAATGATAATACTCCAAGCTTATCCGTAAATGGAAAGAAATAAACATATAGGATTTGTAGGACCTGGCTTATTAAATGTTATTGATTTAAAAAAAAAATATTGAACAGTATGTTCAGTGTATAGAATAAATAAAAGGCAGTGTTAAAAATACCTAACGACATTGCACTTAATCAATCCCCGCTAATTATGTAATTTTTTTTTTTTTCTTAACACCAAAAACAAAGTAATAAAATGTAAATTCTTTCTTCTTAAGAATTTTTTTTATTAAAGGGAAGTAACTGTGCAGTCAATACATTTCCGACACAATTTTAGAAATTTTATAAACGTCGATACACTTTTTAAAATTTTTATGTCGCGTTCATAATTGAAAATTATTCTTCTAAGTAAATAGAATGAAAATTGTTTTTAAAGACTTTCAATGGTAATTTTTTGACTCGTAAATTTAGACTATGAGCACGATAAAAAATCTAACACTTAAATCCATAGAACTGTCAACGACAAACTTTTTTGCCACACGTTACAGAACTGAGCTTTATATATTAGATATAAAGTATTAGTGTTTTGTTTTTTATAGTGTTGAAAAACTTCAAACTGAGAAAAGTAGCAAAAAGTAACTGAAAAGTCTGAAAAGTCTGAAATGACTAACAGAAATTTGAAAGAAAAAGAAATCAAATTAAATAATACATCTTTTAGGCCTATAACATAGCTTTTGGCCATCATTCTACAATTACAAAACGATAAACTACCATTCAGCCCCCTGTGTTGTTAATATGTGCAAGATCCCTTTTTTGAAATGCAAATATAACAATTTGTGATCTAATTTATAATAACAAAATATTTTTGATTATAAGGCAATTCTTTTAATTTAAGGCTAAAAGTTTTAGACCTGCAAAAAACTACTCTAAATATGAAAATATAGACTCTCATTAAAAAATTGTGCTTATTTTTTCTGTTCTCAGTGCATTGCATCAAGACATTTAACTATTGAGGCTACTCACATTATCCTTAATTACCCCAAACTGGTTCATACTGTGAGTTACACAAGACGTCATTGTTTGCTACACAGATATTGTCTTGGTAAATACAATCTATAAAAGAATGAAGCATTTGTTTTAGAATTTTCAGTCAAACAAATCATCATCTTAGGCCAAAAAACCTACAAAATTAGGTTATGACTGACTTTTTCCTGACAGGCTCATGTGGATCAAAGGGCTGCAGCAACACTTTTATATCTCACTTGATTCTGGACATCTCTCTTAAGCTTGGCCCATGGAACTGCAGCTTTTGCTTCACTTCTTATAGTGCTACTCCCCCATTATCCTTTATCCCTGTAGGTTCCAGCTTAATGCCTACTTGGTAACATTTTCTTCAACTTTACTCTGTGTATGCCCAATCCATCCTTACTTGTGTGTTTTGAACTTCTTCTCAAAGGACTGCTGTCTTATATTTTGCCACAGAAATTCACTGGAGATTCTTTCTAAGATTGAGGCATTTGTTTGTTAAGGTTTGTAGCATGTTGGTGTGATTTTGGTGACCCCCTTCTCCTCTCAGGTCTCTGAACCATATACCACTATTGCCTCAACAGAAGTGTTCTAGATTGTAATCTTACTCAAGAGGGACATTTCATTTAAGGTGTCGGGAGTTAAAACAAGTTATTGATGCCCCTTTAAAAGCTTTTGCCTTTGTTTATCATGGTATCCAGATTTAGATTTAGATGGATGGGGAGTTCCTGATTTGTATTTGAGTCTTACTTTGAGGGCTTCTTCAGATAGCCTGTTATGTTTTGATTGAGCATGTTGTTTATGAGATGGGTTGCAGACTTGTTGCCAAAATCAAGATCTCCCAGTATTTTAGTAAGCTCCACTTGATTTCTTTGTCCTTCTTGGTAGTTTTCTGTTGAACTAGTAAATTGTCATCAAGAATATTGCTGGTTACAGCATGCATACCTGCCTTGCTCCTGTCATCATCCTGCCCTTTTACCTCACTTCACAACAGGTGGAATACAATACATTTGTTCTTGCCAGATAAACTAAACATAAGATGAAAGACAAATGTTTAAATTCAAGAGGAGTAAGTCCGTTATTAGTGTTATCAGCTTTTTTCTTCTCTTTCAGGATGATTTTTAAAGCTATGTCTTCAAAATCACAAACTACATTAACAGAAGAACAAAAAGCCAGAATAGAGCAAAACAAAAAAAAAGCTTTGCTTCTTAAGAAGGCAAGGGTAACCAAACGTCCCCATGAGGAAGGGCCATCCAGGTATCAACAATTTAAATTTTCCTTTTTATTGTTTGGATTTAATTGTTTGGGGTCGGCATGGTCGAGTCGGTAAAGCTCATGGTTGCTAAACCGAAAAGTCTCGAGTTCGAACCCTCGGGCAGATAAGGCTCGTTAGCTGGGGACAGCCACTCTTATTGGAGAGACAACTCCAAAATCAAACAACTGCTGCCTTGTAGTTTGTTCTTGATTGGACAAAGGCTGTGGAAGCAAACCCAAAAAGAACAGCAGGCTGAAAGCGGAGTCAATGGCCTCAATGGTGCATAACCAGTTGACACGTATTCTTAACTGTGATGGAGGCGTGGTTTGAGTCGGCAAAAGCTAACGGTTTATAAATTCGAAAAAGTCTCGAGTTCAAATCCTCTGGCAGATAAGGCTAGATCCCTTCCAACACTAAAAATTAAGAACGAAGAAGAAGAAGCTATTTTAAGAAATGAAGTTTTTGCTGAACTTTTTTTGCTAATATGTTACCATTCACTGCCTTTAACAAATAAACTAATGAACCCCATCATATTTTACTCTAAAGTTTAGTATTAGCCCATAGAGAAGGCAAATAATACAAATTAACAGCACATTCAGTATTTGGTTTATTTAGTAATTAAAAATCAGTTATTTGAAACTTATTTTGATATTATTAAGATCTAAAAATTTAATTTATTCAATAGATTTTTAAGAACTAGAATAAAAATAATGTATGCTGATCTCCTTATTATTTACCAGACTTGACTAAGTACTTGATTTATTTTTAGGGAGAAAGTGGTTAATAAAAACAGACTTAATCTAAAAAGTTAAATCTATGAATAATTAACACAAATAGCCTACCTTTTTGCTATTTCATAAAGTTAGCCAAATATTTTAATTCTTAAGATGCCTATGAAGAAAGTCTGTATTGATTGAAAAGTCTCATTAATGATAACCAATTTTATTTTGCAAATGAAGTTATGTAGATAATTTAGACAATGTCTTTAAAATTTATTGTACTTTTTATAAGTAAAGATATGTTTCTTAAATAAATCAGTGATATTGAGAGCAAAATTCATTGGACTCCATTGGAGATTGACACTAGAGCTGGATTCTTTTTAGAAGATGTGGATACAAAAACAACAAAAACAGATAGTATAAAGATCATTCATGAACCAGGTAAATTAAAATACCATTTCATTTAAAAATAGGATTCTAGAGAAATCTCCCCCCCCCCCCCCCTCCCTTCAAAACTAAACTCAGAGCTATTGCACTATTTTCTCAAATTCAATTCTTCACTTCGTCATGATCAATATTTGTTGTAGCAATGTTAGACATAAAGCCTTATTTCATTGCCCTCAGTAGATAAATTTAAAAAGAAATAAGTCATTCATAAAGTCACAACACTGCAGTGATTTGCCTCATCTGCCATGTCATAGCCTCCTAATGGTATTGAAACAACACATTGTCTGATATCTCTATTTCATTTTAAAGTAGATTTAATTATATTCCTTTAATTTCAGGTCCACTGATTGAAAGTAATTTAGTGTGTGAAGAATGCCAAATGAAATTTCAAGATTCATACTTATACAACAAATTTGATCAACCAGTGTGTGATAGTTGTCGGTAAGTTGTAAAATGTTTAGCTGTCTCAAAGTAAGCTGTTTTTTTATGCCCAGGTTATGTAAGATAATTATAGTTTAAGCACAGTTTATAGCCACATTCCTTTTTTCCAACACAGTTGGGCATAAAGCAATGCAGCAGAGCTATTTTCTTTTCTAATTTTGTTTTAACAATATCAACAGCGATGATGAAAAACATTCTCTTATCACAAGAACAGATGCAAAGAGCAATTATTTATTAAAAGATGAAGATTTTGATAAAAGAGAGCCTCCATTAAAATATATCTTAAGAAAAAATCCACACAATCCAAAATGGGGAGATATGAAACTTTATCTTCAAAGTCAGGTAAGGTTTGTAGTATTTTAAAAACAATTTGTAATTATTAATTATTAATTTTTAATCAATTATAGATACAGTTTTCTCAATTATGAAATAATCCTCAAATTATAAAAATATTGCACAAAAATTTTACAGATTTGGAAACGAGTTATGGAAGTGTGGGGAAGTGAGGAAAAGCTGGAGGAGGCTAGAGAAGAAAGGGCTGCTAAAAAAGAGAAGACAAAACAAAAAAAATATGATAAAAAATTAAAAGGTTTGTATTTTCTAGTTTAAAAGCAGACATTGCATAGCATCTAATATTTTTGGCTTTTCTTTTTATCAATACATAATACTATATTACTAACCATAAAAATTAATTCATTTAATTTAAAAAAAAAGGAACATACTGGTAGTAAAACTCAGATGAGCAATTGTTCACAAATGTAACATATAGCAACTCACCATGAAGATTAACTTCCACAGAATTACGCATGTCAGTAAGGAGTAGCTTGTGGCGGAAAGATCTCTCAGGTCATCAACATGAGTATGGTGATGAGGTTTATGATGAAGATAAAGATAGCTATTCTAAGACTTGTTCATCTTGTGGTCATGAGTGGACATATGAAAAAATGTAAATTGGTTTTTGTTGTGTAAATGTTATAGTTGGGCATTAGCAGTAATACTTTTTGATGCATTTTTGGTCTCATAACCCTTGTATTTGTATGGCATTCATTGTATTTGTATGGCATTTGTAAAACAATTTTTATGTAACTATGTGTACATTGAAGTCGTAGAACAGTGAATCTGATCTTAGCCATTTAGCATAAACATTATATTTAAGAGGCATTAAATGTACATTTTCCCTGTTAAGATACACATTTTTCTATTGTTTTTTAGGCATTACATTTGCATTTTGTCTGTTAAATTATACACTATTTTTATAATTAATATTAATAAAGCTAAATATAATTCCTATTACTATTTGTTTTTTTTACAAATATGTTAATATAGTTTAGTATCTTAGAACCATTGTTAATTTATTAGCACCTTTCACATAGCTGAGATGTTTTTAATTATAAAGGCTTGCATTAGTTTAAGTATTAGGTTCTTCTTGAAAATTTCTATTATAGGCCTATATATAAGTTGCGGGCTAGGGGGAGGAGGGAAATCTGGGTGAACGTCCGTGACAGTGCTGGCTTTTTTTTAAACCATAGTTTCATCTTTGTAAATATCCATATCCACACCAAAATGCTACCGCTGAATAATTATCCGCTCCAATGCGAGGACCCCCACCAGCATAATATTGTAATACCCTTGACCTCCAGTGCAGGACGCTCAACCAGCGCACTCCATATTCTAATGTAGTTTCTGTGAAAATCAGGACGCTCACCAAACCACAGTCGGAATGTATCCTACTATATTTACAAAATGTGTATGCCATAAACCATTTGCGAGATGTGTTGTAGAATGGACGAAGGGGAATGACTCAATATATTTGTAAAAAATAATCAAAGCTTGGTTATATCCCTTCTACCACCTAAATAAGGACCTCTGGAGTGTACTCACAAAATTTCTTGGCGATCAGATGAATGAATGGTGTAAGAATAAACAATCAAGCTTTGTTTATATATATGTATATATATATATACATACACACACACACAGATTGACACCTTGATAAAAAAGTGCACGGACATAAGAGACATTGAGAAATGAGGTCTCGATTAAGCAATGTTTAGCTTTCAAGCACAAGCAAAATTTGAGATACAAGAATACTGATTAGAGGTTTACACCCCAAAAACTGCAACTGGTTTTACTTCGGAGCTATTTACTGGCACTTGCCTAATTTAACATTCTGAAAGAGAGGAAGAAATGACCTTAAGGTAAAAGTAAGGAAAGAGGGTGTAATGAGTAAGTGAATTAAAATGACCAAAAGAGTTTAGAAGTGAATCTCCAATGCCGGTCCCATCTACCTTACACCTCCTCCACAAGCTTAAGTCAGTCTATTTCCAAGGTAAATACACTATTTACAATATATTTCTTTACAGCTCTATTTTTAAAACAATATTTTGCATTTTAAATAACATTCATATTCAAAAGCAACTGTGTTGGCTTGCATGTATTAATCTTTAATATATAATAAGTATTTATTACTGGCCATATTCATATTTCACAGAAACACTATATGTAGATAAAGATATAGATTCTATTAGCTTGGAAAAGTAAATCGCAGTTAAAGCACTTTCCTGTAGTCACAATAGATTGTCCTTTTATACATTTCATTTTTCTATTTTTTAAAATGGTTTTCAATCATACTTATCTTAGTATAAAAGAAATCACATTATACAGGACTATGCTACATGACAGAAATCAAAATATTAAATAAAAAACAACTCATAAAGTTTAAATCTTATTATTTATTGTTAACAGCAGAGTAAAAGTTCCATCTAGGATCACTCTTATTGAAACATACTAATTATACATTTGTTATGCTTGCTTTAGTGTTATAAAATTAGGGCAGTCAAATGCCAGGTTTTTTGTGTGTCCTTTCATATTTTGGTGTTGAAATAATTTAATCAAACATCATGACAGTCTCAGTCTAAATTAATGCATTTTAGTCAAACAGTAATATGCTTACGAGATGTTTTGCTGAACAAAATAACTACAATTTTTAAAATGCATATGATTACATCATAGACTGGTGTACAAAATGAACATAAATAACAAAATGTAATTTTTGTTTAAAAAATATAAAAAAAAACAATACTAAGCATAATATTGAAGATTTGCTTTCTTCTTAGCCTGAACTTCAATTATAGCATCCATGTAATCTTCATGAGTAAGTTCAACTGCTTCTCTTCTCATGGCTATCATACCCTGCAATTTAATTAAAAATCAATTTTTACTTCCAAGATTTTAATTGGAACTGTGGTAAAGCATAGCAGCATATATTATATTAAATGGTATTTACTTCACTTACTAAGTTCAAATGAAAATTATATTTTAAATAATTTAAAAACTTGCCTCAACATGAAAGTACATTTTTTTAGATACATAATCATAATGAAACGAATGGAAAATATTACAAAAATTATTTTTATCTCAAATAAAATTTAAAAAAGAAAAAGACTTACAGCTTCAACACAAACTGCTTTTAACTGAGCTCCATTGAAATCATCTGTACATCTGGCTAATTCTTCATAGTTAACGTCTTTACTTTAAAAAAAATTAGGAATTTAATAAGCAGAATATTTATCTTAGAAAAAAATTAGCTTTAATAACACTTAATGTTTCTTGGTAGAATGATAAGTTGCTTACTTCACATTCATTTTTCTGGAATGAATCTGTAAAATACGGGCTCTAGCTTCTTCATTTGGTTGGGGAAACTCAATTTTCCTGTCAAGACGACCAGATCTGAGAAGGGCAGGATCTAAAATATCCACTCTATTAGTAGCTGCAATAACCTGAAACAAATAGCATCAGGTCAGAGCTGATGTGTCAGGGTTTAAAAATTTCCACCACATAACCTATTATTGCCTTTTACTTACATAACTAATTAAAAAAGTAGACAAAAACCAAAGTTAAGGATAAGTTAAGATAATCAGGAAGTATTTTAAGAACTAGGCAAATAATTATTAGGCATTGCAATGTGTGATTTTCTCAAATGAGTAGTGAATTTTCTGGAGTCTATAAAAGATATTCTTCCTGGTTTTATACCATCTCTAACACAGGATACGAAAGAAAACATATTTTATCGAATACATAAAAAAGAAAGCACTGTTTTAATTTTATCAGCACCTTGATCATTGAGTTGGGCTGAAACCCATCCATTTGATTAAGAAGCTCTAACATAGTACGCTGAACTTCACGATCACCTGCTTTTTCACTGTCAAATCTCTTTGTGCCTGACAAAAACAAACCATTTATACATACATATGTACACATGTATTGCTGGTAAAACAGTCAACATCAATTCAACGTTGCTGGTGCAACAGTCAACATCAATTCAATAACTCTGAGAAATTATTAAAAGGAAACTATTATTTTCCGAATTTCAAACCATTACGGAAATTTTGGTCCCTTCAAGTACTTTTTACTGATAGCCGTTACAGTTGTCAATGAACAATTTGAATAGCAAAGTATACAAGAAATCCCACATATTTATGAGAGGGAAATTGAAATGTACACACTATTCACAAAATGAGATCTATATTCAATATTAAAAACACAGTAACAGAGTATACCTATTGCATCAAGTTCATCAATAAAAATGATGGCTGGTTGTTTTTCTTTAGCTAAGGCAAAAGCATCCCTGACAAGCTTAGCACCATCCCCAATAAACATCTGTACCAGCTGTGGCCCTGCTAATTTCAAGAATGTTGACTTGGTCTGAGCAGCACAAGCTCGAGCTAAAAGGGTCTTTCCTGTCCCGGGTGCACCATATAAAAGTACACCTGAAAAAAACATTGCTAAACTTAGTGTGCATTCTTAAATGATATAAATTCTTAGGAGTAAAGATAATAAAGATAATTTTTTTTTTAATGTCATGTACCTTTTGGAGGCTGAATACCAAGTGCCTCAAATCTTTCTTTATGTGTCATAGGCAAAACTACAGCTTCAATTAGCTGAAATTCAAAGGACAGTATATATAATTTGAAGACTATGTGAGTTAAAAGCCCTATTAAAATTAAAAATGCATGAAAACTAATACCCTAACTTAAATCCTAAGTTGGCAGTCAGCACTAAGAACAGACCCCCGAAAATGTTTCCCCACATATTGAAAAATTATATCCAGTTTTAGCCTAGCTGATAAATATCAGTTACACAGGTGAGATCACTACACTGCCATCCCATACCTGTTTATTTCTGAAGTCTTATTACTCTTCTACTGTATAGTGAGCAAATTGACACATCTCTAAGGTTATAATGCTCAATATACATTTACCTCTTGAATTTGTTTATCAAGACCTCCAATGTCAGCATACTGTTCTGTTGGCCTCTCGTCCACTTCCATAGCTTTCACACGTGAATCATACCTTTGCAACAAAAAAATCAATATAAAAGTAGCAATTATAAATGACCACATCAGTAATACTGCTTTTAAAATATACTTACTCAGCAGGTAGGGTTTCTAAAATGAGATAAGAGTCTTTGTTCACACCCTGCAATTTTAAGGGTTTAATCATCATCTGTTTCAACATTACATTTAAATAAACAGTTGTATAATAAAATGATGTGAAGTAATGATGTTTAACATGATTCTAAATTAAGAGCAATGAACCCTAAAACTAATACCATAAAAGCTTTAGCATAAAAGTTTTAGAATAGGAATTCTTAAACATAACATGCTTAACCTTTCTGGTTTGTTATGAATATTGATCTTTATTTCTATCATTTATGCACATCTGGTCTCAATAACTTTACATGGACAAACCACAAAATTACTCACTGAATCATGCCACAAGACACAGTCCATTTTTCAAGGTAGCTTAAGTTGACTTAAACTATTAAAATGATTATTATTTAAAATTTTTTCAACATACCACAAGATCACCTGGTTTGAGTTTTTCAGCATCTACTAGTCCTATTACTGGCAGGAAATATGTCTTATAAAAGAAAAATTATGAAAGTTAAAAATCTGTAGAGAATCTTTGTAACTTTTATAAATCATTTAAATACCATGACCTAGAAACAGTATAAGAGTGTATAAAAAAATAATACATATGTTAAGACATCATGATTATTATTACATGTGTGTGGGTGTATGAATAGATGGATCTACTATTATATTGTAGCTATAAAAACAAAAAAAAATACTGGTTAATTACCTGTCGGGTTGATGTTTTAATAACAGCACACTTTCCTTTCCTCTGAGAATCAAGATCAATATTTGCTCCATCTTCTTCACCTTGATCTTGTGGATCTACATCTAATAACTTTAGGGCAAATTATAGTAAATAATTAAAATAAATTAAAGAAATTTATAATATGTTAATAATGCACAATTTGAAACAAAGTGTTAGTATTATCACAGACATAAGAATGCAATATAAATTACAATAATAAAAAATTGTAACACCAAACTTATCAAGACATTTACCTCAATGACATTGGAAACTAAATATGGCAAAGTCTTGTTAACTTTAATTTTCTCTGTGTTTTCTTTAATTTTTTCTTTTTGTGCCTGCAGCTCATGTTGAATACGCATAATTTCTGATCTCATTATCTGTTTGAAAATGTAATTTAGAGACAATATTTTACACACTTGCTTACATTTATAATTCACACAAAGGGGTTAATTTTCAAAAGTAAAAGTAAGGTAACACCTCACTTTTAGCAAACTAAATTATTTTAACATCCCATTGAAAGGATAATGAATGAGACTTCACAGGACAGTATTCAGTATTAAAACAACAATAAAAAAATAAAAACACCACCAAAACAACCAACAAGTTATTTACCTTTATCTCATTATCAAGTAAACGAGTTCTTCCAACAATTTCATCTGTTGGCATGCGAAGAACTTCTTCTCCAACTGATTCCTAAATTTGAATGAAAAATATAAATACTGTTTTATATACATTTGTAATGAATATTATTTTAAAAGGCGTCAGATTCTTTATAACTTTATTTAAATTTGCATTATTCCACAATGTTTTAATAAAAATACAAAAAGAAAAAATAGGTAAAATGGACATGAGAAACCATACAAAAACAAACTTGTGTAACTTAAATTTTAAATTTCAATGGTTGCAAAGTATAGACCTATAAAAGTTTGGGCCTTAAGCTTTGTATTTAGTTAACTTTTGTAGTATAATTTAAGATATAATTAAGTAATTTAATAAAAACAATTCGGGACTGTGTGGCCTAGCGATAGAGTTGTGAGACTAAAAGTAAAGTAAAGTTTCCCTTTCAAACCTGACAGTCTATGGCGCAAGTGAAGCAGAGTTCAATTGTTTCTGTGATCTCGGCATATGAAGAGATAGTGTGTTACCTAACATGAGTTAGGTACCTAACTCACGTTAGGGAAAGTAAAGGCGGCTGGGCATAGTGAAGAGGTCACAGAAACAGGTGAACTTTACTTCCCATGGACAGTAAAGTTTTAAAAGGGAACTTTACTTTTACAAAAATGTATTATAATTCAAACAATTTTAAAAATAATAATTGAAAAAGAACAATTTTTAAAAAAATTTCTTCTACAAACATATATATAATACAGAATAACATTTGTAAGTATGACATTTATAGAAGAGTGATCGCTTGCATTATTGTGATGTATAGTATTTATTTTCTACTTTTTAGTTCAATCAGAAAACGTGGGATTTTTTAAAACTTTTTTAATGATAATTATTTTCTACTTTTTAGTCTTTGTCTGTTTGTTTGCATTCAAATCTTGCTATCGATTTGATCTTCTCGCATTCACTTTTTTTTTGGGTAAATGAAGACAACTCGTAAAAAACACGTGCCTTTTCCAATCGACGTTTCTTCTGTGTTAGATTTGCATAGGTTTGTACACAAACACCGCGTGACCACTACTCAGTAAGCCTGAAGAGGGAAAGTACCGAACCTTGTTTTCATCAAATTACAATTACTGGGTTATGTCCCTTTTTCCCACATTTTTTGTACAAATATATAGGGGTCTAAAATGATCAATAAAATGTTTCCATGGATCAATTTAGTAATAATAACAATTGAATATTCTATTGTCATCGGAAACAAAGCTTCCCTGAAAATTTCAGCGCGCTAGCTAACTGGGAAGTGCCTGAAATTTTGATCACAAGATTTGATTAGAGAACCAAACAAACAGACGCGAAAACAAGTTAAAGAAAACGTGGGAATAAAAAGTTTTAGCTTCAGTCTAGTAAAGTCTAGTTTTAGTTTTTTAAATTTAGATCTATTTAGTAATTTAGGCCTAGTCATATTATTTTGGCCGATGCTAGCCGGAAAAAGATATGCATGCGCAATGGAGAGAAACTACGACTTGCCACCAATGGTACTACGCATGCGTGTGTTTACAACCGCAGAACCCTAGCCCTAACTCCAACCATAGGTCACTGCGCATGCGCAGAACTATCTTTTGCCGACTAAGTGGAGACGTTGGAAAGAAAAATCTTTTTCCGAGTAGTCACTTCGTTTTATTTTTTTTTTTAAGTTTTAACTTTTTAAGACTTCAGTTCAGTTAGTTGACAAAGACAAGTAAAGTTAAGAAGAAATAAATACTCTGATTCTACAGACATCACATTATTAGATCTGTCTATAATGAATTTTACCTCGCCGTCATCCCAAATAGATTTATCCTCCAAAGAAGACATTATCAATCTTTTACAGACCTGTAGATCTAGATCTTCTAGTCTTATTACCAAGTTTTGCAAAAATCGCTGTATAATAAGCACCGGATATACCAGATTTCTATTATATAAAATCGTGTTTCTTTGTAGGAGAATTCCGATAAATTTACACTCAAATTGAATTTATGCAGAGTGTAGTAATGTACACTAGTTTTCTTACTTCTAGTCTCTTGAATTGAAGAAAGAAATATTAATAAACCACTGTAAAGGTCGGGTAGGTTTCTAGACTAGTGCTAGATCTAATCTAGATCTAGATCTAGACTCTAGTAGTTTCTACTTTCTAGATCTAGAAATCTAAGTCAAGTATTTCTAACTTAGTTGCAAGATCTAGATCCAATGTCAGGAGCTTAAGACACTTCACTTAAGTCTAAATTCATAAATTCTAAATTAAATACAAATGAAATAGCCATACATTGCTGATTGCATACATACATAATACATTAACATAGGCCTCCTAGGCTAGAAGAATGGCCTAAACCTAAAACTTAGTAAAACTGCCTAAAATTTCTAAAATTGCCCTAAAAGGCAGGCTAGATCAAGAAATTCAAGAATAGATGTCAGATGATTATTCAAATTAGTTAACAACTAAGAAGTTAACTTAGTACTAGATCTAGATTAGATCTAGTTTAGTAGGTTAGGTAATCTATCATCGCTTAGGTACGTAAAATCGGCCGAGGCTAGTTTATTAGTTTAAGAGTTTAAGTAATGTGAAAAGATCATTAAGAAGGTGCCTCATTCACTCATTAAATTTTAGTAATTATTTCACATTTTTAGGAAGATTTATATTTAGAAAGTTACAAAAATGTTTCAGTTTCATTAATGTACCTGTTTTTAATCATTTAATTCTTTAGGGGGGAAATACCACCCCTGCCCCCACCATAAAACTTCTAATCCTTTTGTTGGTAACATAACATAGATAACTGTTCTTTGATATCAGCCAATCAGTGATGGCATGTGTTATGTCATTTACGACCATCATGGTCCAGCAGGTAGGAGATAAAGATTAAAGAGGAATCAGTAGACCTACCACTGCCCTCACCACAACATTCATCACCTCCTTAAAACCATTAAGTAACCACCATGAAACTTCTAATCCCTTTTTACTTTTTATAGGTAACATGAATTGCTGCTTTTTTTATCTCAGCCAACCAGAGATAGCATCTCTTTTGTAATTAATGACCCTCAGGGTCTAGGAGAACAAAGGGGAAATCAGTACCACTGCTCTCCTCTCAACATTTCTCACCTCCATGTTATGTAATGTATAGCACACATGGCTTAAGTTTTTAGGGGAAAGCATAAAGGCAGATTAGTTAGTACCACCCCTTTTTACATCCAAGAATCTTAACTCTGAACAGGTACACGCTAGGTATATTATTGTGCCTACTGTAAACTACTAGACTGTAGGCCCTATGTAGACCTACAATTGTATAAATTGTGGACCTAGTGATAGCTGGTATCATTTAAAGTGTGTGTACACAGCATTAATAATTTTGGGGTTAGAAATTAATGATTTTTATTGTGGAGTTAGTCTAAACTAGGAGATAATACTTAATGCCCCATGGCCCGGCTACATTTACCCCAAATACTGATTTTGGGGCTCTGGCTATAAATGCTAAATTAAACCAATTAAAAGTAAATTTAATAGCCTTTATTATTTTTATATTGTATAAGATGTGTTAGAATAATTTTGCATTAATTTCAATATTAGAAAATACTTGGACTTCTAAAAATCTTTTAAAATGTACAGATGCTAAAAAGTGTGGCTCTTAGTGCCCTTCTTTACCCTAATGTCTAATAATATAATAAGCTTAATTAATAATAATTTAATATTCAAAAGTGCCCATAAATTAAAAATAAAATCATTTCATTATGACTGTTCTATGACATTGATTTATTTAATCCAAAGCAAAATCAGAAAAAGGCATCCAAAATTTTAAAAATATGTGTTATTGTGTGACAGCAGTAGTCTAGTTTGCTAGTAGATCTAGTAGTAGTTATTATAATTAGCCTGTGGGACTGTTAGGCTGTAGATCTAGTCACTTCTTCTTAGTTCTTAACTGAAATGGTGGAAGGGATTTCCTCCAACACAAGTATTACGTGTCAACTTATGCGCCATCACATAGAGTCAGTTGACTCTGATTTCAGCCTGCTTTTTTTTTGGATTTGCTTCTATAAATAACCCTCTGTCCAACCGAAAACAAACAAGGCAGCATTTTTTTAAAAATTTCGTCATTTTGGAGTTGTCTCTCCTATAAGAGCTACCAAGCCTCATCTGCCTGGGGGTTTAAACTCAAAACTTATCGGTTTAGCAACCATAAGCATTACTGGCTTGACCACGCCAACCCCTATCTAGTCATTGATGAGTGACAGTTAATATTGTAAACTAATCTCAAGTGTAGTTTTATGGTTAGAAATAAGTGGATTAGCCATAACATAGGATTAGCATCTAGAGTTGGAGTTAGTGGCTATGTGGCTAAGGTTAGCATTGACTGTTGTTGACATGACCAAGTTGATGAGAATCCTTCCATCATTATGGTTGACATGGATAAAAATCAAGGTTTTTTTTTTTTTTTTAAATATTTTTCTATCAAAGTGACCATAGAAAAATAACAAAAAAATATAGCCTGAGAATAATTCAGAAATTTGATAATGCTGATACAATTTTTTAATAAAACAAATTTTTTTTTTTAAGTCACATGACCTAGTTCAGCCATTTATGTTTTCTATGTTTGTGATAAATGTAAACACTCAAATTGTTTTTGGCTTTCTTAAAAAAAATCTATGTTTATTTACCGAAAATACTAAAAAAATCAATTTCGTCTGTTCTTTAGTAGTAGTTGAGTCCAAAACAAATCTAACAGTCAGATTTTTATAACCAATTTTCACTACATCATGCATGGTTTTTAAAATATTCAATGGGCCTTTAAAATAATTTTGAAACAATTATCTGTTTTCCATATGTGTATTTAGTTAACTACCACTGACCAAACCTAACTCCTTTTTTAAAGAAGATTCTATTGTTGTGCCACTATCGAAAATTGGTATAAAAAACCCATCCTATAAACTCTGTCATTGATAGCAGTGTGAGTGTTGAGAGTGTATTACATTACTACTAATAATAGACTGAACTCCACTGTAATTATTAATAATCTATTAGCAACACAACACCCCTTAATAAAATTAGGAGAATTAGATCTTATAGATACATATCTACTTTATTTTTATCAAGCCTAAATTCTAACCTGAAGTTTCACTTTCATAAGACAAACAGTGGTGGGCTGTACAGAAATGTGTGATCAATTTTCTGAAAACCCCACTTTGTAGTAATTTTTACTCATAAAATTTGTAAGTAAAAAATTTAAATCAAAATTTATTTTAAAAACTACATGACATTGTAATGCCATGTTCATTTACATTTTCAGTGATAAATTAAAAAAAACAACCACAAAATGTCTTTTGATTTTTTATTCAGTTACTGAAAATACTAAAAATATCAAATAACTCAGATAACTTTTAGTTCAAAATCCCCACTATTAAGTTTTTATAATGACATTTATTTTAATAACATTGCACAAGATTTTAAAAATACTTAAAAAACAATTTGAGACTATTCACAGCTGCATCATTGATGTTGACATAACTCTGTTTTTTTTTGTTTGTTTTTTACAGAGAAATAACTCAAAATGCCCAGACTACCTACTGCTAAGACATTTTCAATTATTAAACTTGCTCTTCATGGTTGTGCAAATAGACCTTTTTATCATATTGTGTTGCTAAACAATACATCCGATAGAGATGCTACACCTTTTGAGCAGTTGGGTACCTACGATCCCATGCCAAACATGTTCAATGAAAAAATTGTCTCTCTAGACATTGAAAGAATTAAAGTTCATCTTGCTAACGGTGTAGCCATGAGCAAGCCTGTGGAAAATCTTTTAGGTAACTATAATGTTATTTCTTTTAGATTTAAATTTGTTTATATATGTACAAAATAGTTTGATAATACTCTGCCCTAATCATTAAAATAGTTACTGATTTACATAATTTTCAGTTTATCTTAAATTCTGTTTTAACAAAAAACTTGTGAAGGATATTTCTTTTATTAGATTAAAATGTTTGGGCTTTTATTTTTTCTGAAGGGCTGAGTGGTTTACTACCTGTGCATCCAGTCAGTTATCTGAAAGCATTTCGAAAAAGGAGGAGTTTGGAAATAGCATCTAGATCTAGTGATGAACAGAATTCTAATGAAAATAATCCTGAATAAATTTTTGGCTTAATTCTTTGTGGATTTTTCAATATAACTGTAAAAATAAAACTAAAATATTTTTAAAAAATTGTTTTTAATTTAAAAAAGCTTTAGTTAATTTTTTTGGTGTGTTTTTATGGGATCCCCTCATATTGACTCGCATCACATGGGCTCCTGACTTTTAGGCTCCAGACATATTGGCTACCAACAAATAGGCATAGCCGAAATTGACGGGAGCTATTTGTTGTGAGCCAAATTGGCGGGAGCCTATTTTTGGGAGTTGTAATGACAGGGGCCATTGTGTGGAGAAACTAAACGGCGGGAGTGGCAATGACAGGCCGTCTTGTCGAGAAACTAAATGTCATGAGCCTTATTGACTGGAGCCCTTTTGTGGGGAGCCTATATGACTGGGCCTTAAGCGACAGGAGCCTATATGACAGGGTCCATAAGATGCCGGCCCTTTTGGCGGGGTCGATTTGAAAGGGCTCTTAAGTCGGGGCTGTTTTGTCATTGGCCGTTTTGATGGCGCATGCCATTTCTCACATTAGGAAAAGTAAAGGCGGCTGGGCAAAGTGTCAAGCACATTATCCCTTCATATGCCGAGTTCACAGAAACGTGAACATTACTTCACTTGCCCCATGAACCATCATTAAGTTAATACATTTTAACAATGTAATTTAATTACTAGTTGTACTTATAATGCAGTTCACAGTAAATTAAGCTCATCCCTTCCCCATAAATGACATAGGTTGCTCCCCTTGTATCAACACAAGATCCATTTAAATAGTTCATAGAATGGGGTGTATATTATAACTGATATAAGAGAAACTTAAATACATGTAAAATAAAGAATGATACTCTCTTGAATAAAATTTTCTTTATTTCATTTACTAAAGAAACAGTTTTATAAAATGTATTATCTACTTGATTTAAAAGTAATGGCAAATGGAGGCACTGGTACCCTTGATAATGGTGCTTTTGATAATCAAACAAGACATCCCTTTTTTAGAATGATATTTGCATATTGCTGATTTTCTCTGAAAAATAACACAGAAGCAAAAACATTCACAATTTTAAAGTGTCACAAGCAAAAGTTAACACACCTCAGCAAAATACTTAAATTATTTACCCAGTATGTACAATGGCAAAGGCTTTCTTAGCTCTCTCATAAAAATCAAATCTCTCAACATACTGTATTTGCACCTGGAGAAAAGTAATATTAGAATTTTTCACATCTTAAGAGTTTATTAGGCTGTTACTGAATCAATTTATTTTTTTACTGTTGGCAAAAAATGTCAAGATTTTTTTCAAAGTTTGTGGTCATTTAAAAAATATATATACTTTAATGGTTTTATTTCATGAACACTTTTATTTTATAAATACAAAGAATTTCAATGATACTTAGCAATTGGTAGTTTATTTGCTCAATAATTTACTTGTATTAGACCAGAAGGTAAAAATTACTAATTAAATACTATATAATGCATACTATTCATTGTTAAATTTAAAAAATCCAATTTTCCAAACATTCACCAATAACAAAATTTGAGATGCGGCTAAACTTATGTCAACATAATGGTAAATGACATTTTAGCAAGGCCCATTTTTTTTCAAACAAGCATTTTCTAAGCTACAGATTTATTTTGATGCTACTTATTATTATTTTGATTTACTACTTTTACATCCATTTATGACGTCCTCAAAAATTTTGGATTTTAAACACACCCCTTCCCATGTGGACGTACACAAAATTTTAGTAGATCTCGCTCAAAACTTACTATAAATATACTATTTCAATAACATGTATTGTGTATCTAATAATGTTTATTATTAGCCTAAATATCAAAAGTAGAATCTAGGGAAAAGATTATAATAATAATAATAATATTTAGCTGTGAAATACTTTCTGAGATCATTATTTGTCCTGATATCTTTTGTCAGTGAGATAATTTGTCCTGAGATCATTTGTCTGTGAGATATTTTGTCTAATATCATTTGTCCTGAGATCATTTGTCATGGAACCAGTTCAACATGTGGACATCCGCATGAGCCCTAACCCCCCCTCCCCCCAGTCCACACTCGTCCACAAAAGTCGATTTTTTTTCGGGCCCTCTCCCCTCTATGTGGACGTCATAAATGGATGACCCCTTAGCCTAAGATGGACAATAAAAATTCCTGCTATATTCTGATAAATAATCAAGACTTAACTGAAAATAGAACAAATACTCAAGTTACAATCTTAGTTTTCAGAGATACAACCTTTTTCTTTTCTGCAGCATCTAAGATTTCTTGATACTTATCCCAGATAGGTGTTTTCAGACCTTTCTCTTTATCAGAGCTAACCAGGTCCATTCTGGCAACCTGTATTAATGAAAAATATGTCTAATATTTATAATAAGACAAAAAAAGCTATACATTATGTCTGAATAATAATAAGAAAGCTTGATGTGAAGCTGAAATAATCATAATATACATTCATTAATAGACAATTACAAAATTTGAAGCTTATGTGTATTTTGCCTTGCCCAATAATTTATTCAATGCTTTGAACTGAAATTCTACCTGTTTGCAAATATTTTTATGTTGTGGTTTGTAGTGTAGGCGATTGAATCTACGGTTAATGTGTCAAGCTTAGCATATGTGCCCCGGGTTTAATTCTATTTGGTTCCTCTTCTTAAATATTCAGAGTGGATGTCCATCTTTTCTCACCCACCTTAATTATATAAATATGGCACTAATCTTATTTCATGAAATAAAACATTATCTTACAGGATAATCCACATACTGGTCCAAGGGAAACAACTGCATTATGGCTTCTAATAATACTGTAGCACTGAGTCCTTAAATTTGAAATACCATATTAAAAAATGACTTTATTATAACAATGAGATTTGGTAAAACAACAGCCCTAAGAAAAATAAGCATATATAATAAACTTTTAATTCATTGGTACATAAGATGTAATTACAACATACCATCGGCTCTTATTTGTTTAGGACCATGAGAACAAATTGAAGCAGAAGGGAAATGAATGTCAGCTAAAACTGAAAAGATGGAAATAAACTATTAGGCCTGTAGTCTTGACACATGAAAATACTCAGTTCTCACAGAATTAATAGTTAACTTTTCCCTTTTGTGCCCAGGGCACTATTATTATCAATTATATCTAGACCATGTCAATGTCAATATCCAACCAAAAAGCTTGATCTCAATATTCAATATACATTAAAATTAACTGTTGAACTAACATAATATAGGCTAATTGATTTATTGATTATTCTTTTCAAACAATAAGCTTTTTTTAGCTGTTTATTAGGCAAAGCTTAGGCTTAATCAATTGTTAAGGAGATAAATAAAGTTTGATTATTTATTTTTGGCAGACTCAGTAGTCAGTAGGAAATCACTGAAGGGTACTTAGGGAACAATTTTTGTTAGCTAATTAGTTAAAGAAAAAAAAAACTTCATTTGTATACATTAATTATTTCAGGCTCTGAATTAGTTTGTGCTTTTAATATGGTGTTTTGTTGCCTAAAATTGTATGGTTATAGCTTTCTTTTTTCCATATTGGAAAGAGTCCACATAAGATGACTACTTTAGAACCACTTATCCTGAATAGATGACCTAGATGGCATGGGCAAGAATTTGGGTATGAGTAAAGGGAATCATTTAGGGTAAAGAGGTGTAAGACGGTTGAGGTGGGTGTAGTGGGAGATTGGTTTGTCTTCTAAATGCAAATGACAGACTGTTTTCCAACAGGTGACCGAGTCATCTGCTGATAAGCGGTAGTAGTCTAGCATCAACATAACATCATTTGAACACCCAAACTGTAAAGAAAAGAACACTAACAACAGTACTAACACAGTAACACTACTGACTACACTCACACTGTTAGATCTCTTAGAAGTGCTCTACTTAGTCTATGCTTAGTCTTAGGCCTAGCTGCTGCTTCTATAAATAATATTATTAGATGTATAATATCAAATGGGTATAGACTATAAAAAGTTTGGATGATTGAAGATACTGATGTCCTATAATAGACTTATGAGTTGTGTGTTAGGTTGTTAGTAGTATTGTCAGCTCCACATTTTATTGTTAGAAATTAGGAATAGGCATATGATAGGACTATTGTTTTGCTTAGGGATAGGGTTAGCATTGTGATTACAAGTCATATGTGTAAAGTTAACTACAAGTAACCTGACACTCCTTTTTTAAGAAGTAGTAAATTTGTTAGGAATGAGTCATTTGTGCTTAGTAGGGCAAGAAGAAAAATTTAAAATTTGAATCTTAATAAATACTTTTTAGTTAAGCATAAAAATTGGATGAACTATTAGGCCAAGCTATATCTTAGTGATAATTAGGACCAAGCCAATGGAAATCACTTTAATAAGTTGTGCAAAATGATATGTTCACATTATTTGCATGTTTTAGGTATTATTGTTTACAACCACATATTGATGTTTTATATAATTTATATCATTGTAATGGGAATTAACTGTTTTTGGTGATAAGATTATTAAAATTTTAGGAGATCAGGGTAAGTTTCAATATAGAGTTATTTGGGGTAGGTTAGCACAAAATCAGTGGAAATTTTCACAGGTAAGTGCTAGAATTTGCGCAGAGTGTCATCCAGGATACTTGGGGGTAGGGTATATAAACTGGTGGCTTAGCCTTAGCGTGGAAGGAGAACGACGGCCATAGCCACTAATTTATGCAACACACATGTTGGCACTATAGTCTCCTTAGATGTATGCTACACAGGCAATTCCTCTGAGAGCAAGAAAGTACAGAAGAAAAAGATTACACTATTGAGTATTATCAGACACTGTTACAGGAAAAATCCACCATTATACTACTTAATAGTTAATTAATAATTATATTTAAAATATTACTGAGTGACTTGACTTATTTTATTTTAATTAATAATAATTAATGGTTAATTATATACTAGTTCTACCTATACCATGTTGTAGTTAGGGGTTGTCCATAAATGACTTCACATTTGTAGGGGGTGAGGCAGGTGAGGGGAGTCCTTTAATAATTTAATTTTGTGAGGGGGGTTAGTGTGATGAAACAATAGGACATAGGACTGTTATTTTTAAAATTAATTAGTAATAATTTTATTAATTAATAATTAGGCCCACTTACTACTTAGATAGGCCCTCTATACTATACTACTCTATAGTCATTAGGACTAATTGACTAATTAGCAATTAGTAATTAGTAGACTAGATCTCTGTAACAATAGTGTTACAATAGTAATAGTATAGACTATAGACTACACTATACTATAGATAGAGATTAGTATAGAATAGTTTAGATGCCCCTACTTCTTAGTTCTTAGTACTAGAGTCTAGTACTTACTAAGAAGTACTACTTATTACTTAGGGCTTAGGGTCTTAAATCTATTTCTTACAACTTAAGTTCTTAGTCTTACTTACTTATTTCATCCCCGTGTCCCATCTCAGCCAATGTTTTGAGTAATTCGGGTGACAGCTGATTTGGAATCCCTTTTAGAGGCATTTCTGTAGTGTTGGGCTTAAAAATAAAATATGTTGAATTAGAACTTTAGTAGATTTTTAGCCTTAGAATCTAGAGCTAGATCTAGACTAGATCTAGATTTGTTTAAGTCTTAAGTTGTTTATGTTTAGGTCAGCAATTTGTTAATTTACTTTTTAAGTACAATCGATTAATAATAGCATTATTACCTTTGACCCTTGAACTTTGGTTGGCAACTTATCAAACAGTAAAATAAAAACAGCCAAAAAACACTCACAATCAAATGATAACATTATTAATTTTTTTACTAATGATGTATTTGTAGACGCGTGACCTAATTTTCTGTCCATACCTATCGCTATTGTTGTAATAACACATAGATCTACATATTACATAAAAAAAAACAACAACTTCACCTTCAGTGTATCATATGTAAATCATCCTCCGCCCCACATTGACCGCCAGGGACGTCACAGGACACTCTCGTTCAGCCACTGGTTTCTTCCAGGCATCTCTTCGGGGGGGGGGGGGGGGGGGGGCTAACCCCCCCCTCGAAAAAATTCTACCGCCCCCCCCCCCCCCGAACGAAATGAAATTTATATAATTTATATAGAAAATATATACTTTTAACAGTGTCCGCCCCCCCCCCCCCCGAAGAAAGACTACCGCCCCCCCGAAAATTTCAAGTGCCCCCCCCCCCCCGGAGAAAAAAAAAATCTGGAAGAAACACTGGTTACACTACCGCACTCAAGGGCCTGGTGCGACAGCGCTAGTTCGGTTTAATTATTGAATGTGTGGCCTACCGTGTCAGTATTGTATGTAGCTCTTTGAAACGAATGTAGACGTCATAGTGCTTATGGATGAGCTCGGGGTGCTCCTAACGAACGCGCCTGATTCGGTGAATGATTATAGTAGCCCATTATAATATAATATAATATATATCCATAGAGTATGGTAGTCTTTAAGCCGAATGTAGTTCTCCCCGTAAGCCCAGGGTGCTCCGGGTCACTCGACCGCCAGGACGCTGGCTGTTGCTCCTGGTTCAGTTTGACCGTTGAATCAAGTAGGACATATGACCCCTTTGCAGGACACCTGATGAACACATTCCAAATGATAATATATAACCGTTGGGGAACTCTGGGCGCCAAATAGCAACATTCTCTGCACAGCCCCTCTGAAATTTAATTTTAGCACAAACGTTCTCAGGAGTATTCTTAACAACCCCAAAGTGTTTTGGCTATCGGATAAATGGAGGTGGGCGGTGGGGCGAGGGGAGAACTGGTGGGGCGGCCGCCTGTGCGACGATCCTAAATTTATTAAAAGCTGAATCTAAGCAGCATTATTGAATTATTTAAAGTCGAGTTTAAGAAAATAGACTGCTAACTGGCTTTATGGACTTGTTTTCTACGTCGAATATGTGACACCGTAATAGAGAATGGTTTAAAGTTCAAGGTGCAAGTTGTATTTAATAATTTATGGTATTTCAATGAACGTTTCGTTAAATTCTAGATTTTAGTGAAACCGCAAATCTTTCTTTTGAAATCACATGACAATTTATAAATAAATATAAACAAACACTGAAACCTCAGAAAATGGCATTAGATCTAGATTAGATCTAGATCTAGTAATAGTAATCCTGAATTGTCCACTAAGATACAGCAAAGTAACTAAAACAGCTTTAATTCTTTCCTTACTCAAACTTACTCCATGACACCTTAATAAATACTTATAAATAAATAGTAAATAGCCTTAAATAATAAATAACTGGATATTCTTCTTCTTCTTCGTTCTTAATTTTTTTTAATTTTGAATATGGTGGAGTGGAGGATTCAGACAAGTCCAACTTCGTGGACAAACCGGACTGTGGTCTCCAGTTTGTCAGGTGTCCCATATATAATTTTTCTCTGAGTGGGGTGGGCTGGGGCCAGTGTCTGACTCGTGCCTGGATATACACTGAGAGTACATTCCTGGAGTACGTGCTCCGTGTTTTCCGGGGCCTTGCCACAAGGGCACATTTCGCTACACTCAACCTTCAATTTTCTGTGCATGTGTTGATTTAGTCTGTTGTGGCCTGTTCTAAGTCGAAAGATTATGTATTGTTGTTTTCGTGTTAAATTATAATAGCCGTCGTCTTTAATGTAGTGAGGGTGTGTGACAGACTACATTTGCGTTTGTTTTTTATTATTCTTTTTATTTCTTTTGGGTGTAGCGAAATTTCCGGTTGTGGTTTCTTTCCCCCAATTTTTGCCAGCTGGTCTGCGATCTCGTTACCCTGGATCTTGCAGTGGATGATTATAGATAGTTAGATACCAGTGTCCGATCTTCTGTAAAAAAGGGGTGTTGGGTTGTTAGTACTAGTAGTAATAGTAGTATTGTAATCTCGACTAATTTTATGGTTAGAAATTAGGGTTAGGCGTATGGTTGGACCAGGGTTTGGGTTAGGGTTATTAGGTAATCTATCGTTTTGGGTACGTAAAATCGCCCGCGACTTGTAATGTGAAAAACAGGTGACTCCTTAAATTTTAATAATTATTTCACATTTTGAGGAAGATTTATGTTCTTTAAAATACAAACATGTTTCCTTGTGTACTTGTTTCATTTATGTACCTGTTTTTAAACAATTTAATTAAAACTTTTCCGTAATAAATGAAGACTAGCGATGTTCCAACAGATGCAACCATGCTCATTTACTATAGCAGCCATCTTGTTTAAGTTTTACTTTCATAAGCTTATAGCGAGAGATTCAGACGGAAGCCACTCTATTTTACAAATGGCTGCTGTTTATATAGCAAATCTTGCTCTCAGACACTGCTGCTTAAAGTTAATTTCTGGCCTGTATCGATATATTTAGCCATTGATTTAGGTTTATTATTCATTTATCTATCATAATTGACACAAATATATCACAATATACTTCTAATAAAGCCTTGACAATGAGGTAATGTTTTTGTACATTAATAGCCGCGGGCGAAAACGATAGATTACCAATTATTAATTTATTATACATACTTATACAGTCATTAATCTATCGTTTTAGGTGCGTAAAATTGCCCGGGACTAGTAATGTGAAAAACAGGTAACTCCTTAAATTTTAAACTTATAGCGCAAGATTCAGGGGAAGCCACTCTAATTTACAGATGGCCGCTTGTTATATAGCAAATCGGCCAAATCCTGATAGCAAACACTACTGTTTAAAGTTAATTTCTTGCCTTTATTGATATATATAGCCATTGATTTAGCTTTATTATTCATTTATCTATAATATTTGACAAAAATGTATCACAATATACTTCTATTAATAGCCTTGACAATGAGGTAACTTTTTCGTACATTACTAGCCGCGGGCGATTTTACGTACCTAAAACGATAGATTACCCATAGACCTAGTTATTCTAGTAGTAGTATAGTTTAAATAAGACCTTAAGTATAGATCTAGATCTAGTAATTTTTGGTAATCTATCGTTTAAATTTTGGCCCCGCAATGGATAGAAACTACGACTTTCCTTAGCGGCGATGTTTTCGATGGTAATACACATGCGTGTGTTTACAAACAAACAGCAGAACCCTAACCCTAACAACACTATCCTTAAACCCTAACCCTAGCGTTTAAAAACAGGTACATGAATGAAGGGTTGAAACATTTCTGTAACTTTTACAACATACATTTTTCTAAAAATGTGAAATCATTATAAAAATTTGATGAGTCACCTTTTTTACTTTCTCGTATATACGAAGTATAGAGAAAGTTTTGTAATCGTACAAAAAAAAAAAATCGAGATTTTTTTTCAGATCTCGACGTTTTACACCTCACTGATACGGAAAAACATAATTTTGCAATCTTGTCCGTATGTCTGTGTGTCTGTCTGTGTGTCTGTCTGTCTGTGTGTAAACACGATAACTTGAGTACCGTTACAGCTAGGTTGATGAAATTTCATATATAAGTATTTTATCAAAATCGTAAATCCTGATCAACTTTTGAGCGATTTCCGATAACCAGAAGTAAATCACAAAATGGCCCAATGGTTTTTTTTAAAATGAATTTTTAAAGTTTTAGGTTAAACAGATTCTATTTACTTGTAAGGTGCAAAATATTTAGTGAGTTAGTGCCCTTCTTTGGATTTATATACCATTTTTGTCATTAAACATACAATGATAAAACAATACAATTCATATACTGATGCTAGAGAGTAAGTAGACAATAGGAATAAGTGAAAGATGAATAAAAGGCAAGCTACACATAATTAAGGGGTTCATGTGTTATACAATGATTGCCACAGGTAACTTTTCAAACTGCACATCTATTTTGTTATTGATATATAAAGATAAATGTTTGCAGATAGATGCTAAAAGATGTTGGCATTACAAATATCCAAGTCAAATAAAAACTAGAAAAGAGGACAACCACAAAATATAAAGAAGTCCAATTTATACTATTATATACTGACAGACATTTTATGACTGTAATTTATTTAAAACAAAACCTTAAATATCTGTTTTGAATTTTTACATTTTTGTATATTTGTGCTCTGTATGTGATCTGTATGTGTGTCAGTGTGTATATAATGTATAAGTAACCATATCATAAGTTATTTCTTTCCTACTTATTTAGACAGTAGTTTACACACTTTAATTATTTTTAAAAAAAATTGGCTATTATAATAGAGCTTTTATTGATTACTATTAAGTAATTATTAAGTACGAGCTGACCCGCGACGTAGCATACGCCGCTATTTAGTGTAATTCCTATTTTTCAGTAATTCATAATTTGTGAATTTGACGCTACCAATGCTGTGACTGAAAATATTTTGCTTTAAAACACTATCAGTAGCTAATGAAGGACGATTATCCTCGCCCTCACTTTCCACTCCTCCCCCCCTCCCCGCCTTCTTGACCACAGTTTACAATGAAAAGAGCAAGCAGAACATGTTATTACCAATCCCCTTAATTTCAAATAGTTTGAAAACTAAACTATCTGCCCATAATAGCCTTCACTACAATTGTAAACAGCTCATCAGACTGGTGTGGGTGGGGGTGGTAACGATATGGTCTGTTGAGCTTACATCTTGGTGGAGTCTCACATGGTCCCCACGTAGAGAATTATATATATAGATTAGAATAGATGTACTAGTTCAAAAATTAGGCTGAGCCATGTTCTTATACATTATATATATATATATATATATATATATATATATATATATATATATATATATATATATATATATATATATATATATATATATATATATATATATATATATATATATATATATATATATATATAAAATGTTTACTTAAATTCATGTAAATTCATGTTAGCAATTATGACTGGGTGACTCTCATCCAACTAGGCTAATGCCATAAAAATTAAACTTGAACCCTCTTGCTTTTTTTTTTTTAGAATCTAGTTAAAACAATTTAAAAATCAAAGTTGGATTTGAATATCATCATGGAAATGATGCATGGCATTAATTGTAAAGTATTGCCTCTTCACATTTGGGGTCAAGATTACCAAAATCTTCTTTGGATTAAAAATAGTGCACAACAGGACACATTTGCAGCCAAACATAAAAAGGGTTCATTTTCTGTTTTGAAAATCAAAGATAAAGGTCATGTTTCAAGTTTTGTTTTGGATCCAAATCTTACTTGGTAAATGTTTTTACTAAGAATTTATCTTAGTTTATTAATGAGATATTTTATAAAGGGTCGTAATTTTATACTAATTAAAACTTTTAATACAAGTTCTGCTTATAAAGTATTGTTTGGTAAAATAATTGTGTAATTTTCAGTATTTTCTGGGATTATGAAGATGCTTGTGCAATAAGTCAAAGACTTTGTGCCCAGGACAAAAATGGAGACATCTTATTATACTCTGTGAGTGATAATGGAGTGACAGAGATACTTCGCCTCACAAGCTCTAAGATTCAGGGGCTGTTTAAAGGACATTGTTCAGGCAAGCTGTTTACAAATTTCAATTATTGTTTTTTTTTACTGCTTATACTGGGATGCCATAAATTAAGTTAAATTTGGTGACTTGATTAATTTATGTTTTCTTTTTCTTCAGGCCTTGAGCTGGTTGGTTGTGACAGAGGACTGTTATTTCTAGCCTGTGATTCTATGCAGCTCTACTGTGTGGAAGTAGCCCTTGGTGGCACAGTTAACCTCAAATGTAGCTTGAAATTACCTGGTGTAGCATCAGATATTAAGACTGCACTTGTGCCAGTCTACCAAATAGTGAATGGATCCGTGGTGATGTTAGATTATGCAACTAGTAAAATTTGTATCCTTTTTCAAAACTCTTATACACATCTGTAGTGCTCTTGAATGAGATTTTTTATGAATAATTAAGGTTTCCTTTACATTTTTCAAAGGTAGTGTAATTTCACATTTTATAGTTCTGTTTTTATAGTAATTTAAAAAAAAAAACTATAGCCCATAGCTTATGTCACTGTACTTTATGGTTTTGTAAGGTATACACCAATTTTAAGATCAGTTTCAAATATCACTTGTTAATTGTAAGTTATAGTACCTTAACTGTATCAAGTTATCCATTCAGTTTCAAGTGATAGTCCAGTTAATCAAATAGACCTAAATACAGTTGGCATTGCTGCCTCTTCACTGCTACACTGGAAAATTTCTTTTGATCTTTCCTCATTGTTTTTACTAACTGAAAATTGGATTCTTGTGCAGTTGAAGATTAATAACTATGCTGAGCAATTTCCACAGCATTGTATATTGAATAATTTTGAAAACAGTGAAAATGCATTTACCTATCAGTATTTAAGTTTTAATTTGTGCAGATATGGTGACAGTGCTTGGAAACAAGAAGTTGTTAAAAAACATTTAAGCTACTCTCGTCTGGAAAGTGCCACACAATTTTCCAGGACGCCCTCAAGCATCAGAAAAACAGGATTTAGTGTTGCTAGTAAAAAATATTTGCACAAAGAAAAAGTGAAACCAATGTTAGATCCTGCTTCTAAATGTACATTTTCTTTGAAGCTAACTGAGTTACAAAGAGATGAATGGAGGTTAAAAGAGATGGAGGCTTCTTCTGATGTGGTTTCTTTTGTTTTAAAAAGAAAATCTTTAGCTTTTGGAGATAGTAAACAACAGGCAATTTATTTTGCTAACTTTTTAGAAGAAAATACCCATCTTCATAGGTAAGTTTAATTAGGCCATAAAATAGGACTACTACAGTTAAATTGTAATCTTCAAGAATGGTAGCATTCTTTAAATATTTTTAGTAAAATAATTAAAGTTAACTGAGTTTGCATGTAAATAAGAATATATGCTAGTACTTTATATTTCAATTAAAAAACAAATTACAACAAAAAAGCTGTGTTTATTTAATGTTTAAGCACTTAGCTTGCAATTGACAGAGTGGTCTAGTGGTAGAGAGTCTCGAGTTCGAATCCGGGTTCAAGTCAGTAGACTGTCCCTAAGTCCACCCAACTCTGATGAGTACCCAAACTCACGTTAGGGAAAGTAAAGGCGGCTGGGCATAGTGCTGACCACACTATCTCTTCATATGCCGAGGTCACAGAAACAAGTGAACTTTACTTCACTTGCCCTATAGACCGTCAAGTTTGAAAATGGAACTTTTTACTTAGCTTGCATAAAAAATAGTTTGTTTTTTGTTTATACTTTATGATTTTAAGTTATCAAATGATTATCAAATGAATCATTTCCAGCATTGAAGATACTGTACTAGTCACACTATCTGACAAACCAACCTGCTGTCATATCCTGTTCTCTGATACATATGCACAGTTTGTTTCACCACATGGCAAGTTACATAAGGATGATTTAATTTCATGGGTAAGAGCTTTTCATTTTCTAGCTATTGATGTCAAGTAACAGTTTCACATTAGACAGATAGTAATGTGATTTAAACAATATAATGTAGACAAATAAATTAAAATATAAGTTGAAAGTATATTTCTCTTTCTGTTGGCTATATCTTCAAGCTCTCTTAAAATCTCATGTATTTGATTAATTGTCAAATTCGTTTTTAAGCTCATGTCATACAGTGGACCTAGTGCTGCTGATAGTCTGTGCCAGGCAAATCTATGGACACGCACTGCTGTACCTATACATACTCTAGAGTCTAGCCTTCAGCAGAGGCAATTAGACACTTTAGGGTTTTATTTTAAATCTAAACAAGAAGGTTAGTTTATCTTTCAAATGTTTTTAAATAGTTTGAGGATTTAATAAAAATGTATCTCCAAGAGCATTGGCATTTAAAACCACTGAAATTGTTGAGAATAATCATCAATTAAATGTGTGTAATGAGAATAAGTTACATAACTTAGAAAACTTAATCTTTGATTAGATTTTTGTTTTAAGATTATTTTGTTGTGTTTCAGTGTTTAGTTCTTACCTAAATCAAAGCCAGGGTTCACTGATGGGAGATGTTAGACAATTAGAAGAGGCTCTAAGATTAGTGACTGATACAGTAAAATCTAGCCTTTTGGAACCCCAGGCTAGAATTTTTGCAGAAAGATTACTCTCTTTGACTTTGGAATTCTTGTATGATTTACTTGAAGATGGTAGACAAGCATTACAAAAAGTTCTAGTAAGTAGACTATAAAGCAGAGGTAATAGTTATTTTGTATATGATTTTTTTAAAGGTGTTTTAAAATTTATTTAATTACAATTTAAAGTTAAAAGTCAGTTGAATTTTAAGAATGTTAACTGCTCTTGCATAATTAAATTTTAATTACACTTAAATATGAAACATTTTAATACTTAAATTGTATTTTTAAATAATAATGATACTGTTGATAATTGAATTTTATTTACTCTAAAAAATCTGAACTTTTTCAAATCTTTTAATTTTTAACCTTTTTAGATAAATAGTGATATCAAGGAGGAAATTAAAGAATCATGTGATTTGCTCATGTCTTACATGCCTGCATTACGAAAATGCTTGAAAGCTCTTCAGTATCGAAGTTCACAAGCTAGGGCTGCATCACATAACTCTGATTTAGAAGTGGTTAATGGTGAGACATTAGAAGAAGTGAGTAACTGCACACTTATTTGGTTGGTTTTAAATTTTAAATGTTTTAAAAATGGTGCAGAAAAGTTAATATTTCCTACAAAAAATAAATAAGTATAAATTTAAATATAGTCAATAACAAGTAGGAAATAATTACATATTTTATCAGGATTTATCTTGATTTTTTAATTTCTTATATATCAACTATATGCATGCTCGCATACATAACTCTATTTTTATTTTTTATTGTATTAGATGACCTTTTCAAGTCCTATCTCTTTTTACTGCTCTAGATCAGTTTTGAGAAATTTGTAAAAGAAAACAAAGTTTCAAGTTTGCAAGCCATATTGATGGCTAGAGATGACAAGGACAAGTTGCATTATCGAGATATAGTTAAAAAGCTTTTACAACAGGCTAAAATTGACTTGGAAAATAAAAATATTCCTGCTTGTCAATTAATTCTCACTAACTTGGTAAGAAAAAAAATTCTTTCATGAAATACTCAGAAAGGAATTTATAATTTATTGACTATCAAGTACAAGAGAGATTCAATTTTTGTTTTTAATAGTTGAAGTCAACATTTAAAAATTATTTACTTACAGCACACTATAGTTGTGAAATGTTGGTACCACAACAAGGTGTTGATGGTAATAATTAACACTGATAAAGATGTACTCCAACTGTAAAAACTTGTAACAATTAACCTTAGTCACTAACAATTAAGCATGTGTGCAAGTTCTTGGTTCCTAATTGAATTATCAACTACAATACACAACAAATGACACTCTAGCAAAAGGCTTCATAACTACATTACTTTAACCTTTTTGCATAATTATATACCATATATGTCTCATCCCACTAGTATGCTTTAAAAAGTTTCCCTTTCCCTGATGTTCTATGGGGCAAGTGAAGTAGAGTTCACTAGTTTCTGTGACCTCGGCATATGAAGAGATAGTGTGGTCAGCACTATGCCCAGCCGCCTTTACTTTCCCTAATGTGAGTTAGGTACCCATCAGACTAGAACCCGGAGATTCGAACTCGCGACTTACAGGTTAGCGGTCCAGCTCTCTACCGCTAGACCACTCTGTCCCATAGTATGCTGCTAGCCTATTTGTATATATGTTACAGTCAAAGCCCGAAGTGCGGCCAAAGCTAGCTTTGGCCGCCCAATGTGCGCATTGGCCGGCTCTCTTGACCAAAGCCCGAAAAGCTTAGCAATGAGAGCGTATTTTGTACATTGACCGGCCAATGCACTCACTGGCTGGGATGTCCTGGCCAATGTCCTATCTAGACTAAGTAGTGATCGCGTTTTCATTATTCTGGGTGGGGTTTCATTGTGAGTAACGTATTGTTTGGCTCTTGTTTGTATAGCATTCTATATGCAATGCGACATGGACTAAAAGGGCAGTCAGACTAAGAGACAGACATACCAGATGGCTGCCAAAATAAATAATCCTAATCCTAATGGAATAGAATTTGTGAATGAAGTTATTTCTGAACTAAAGAACATGTGGTCTGAAATTAATATAGTTCACGGAAAACCAAGACATAGCCAAAGCCAAGATTCAGTCGAACATACCAACCAAGATGCTCAAAATATGATGATGACATTGAAGTAGACCAGGGGTCTCCAAACTTTTCAGTCCAAGGGCCGCATTAACTATCAAATTTCAGTTCGGGGGCCAGTTTCTTCCAGGCATGTTTTTGATTTTTCTGCGCAAAGTTCCTCATCATCACCAATAAACGATTTTTACTTGGACAAAAAGATCTTCACGGGCCGGATGAGAGGACTTCGTGGGCCGGATGAGAGGACTTCGCGGGCCGCATCCGGCCCGCGGGCCGTAGTTTGGAGACCCCTGATGTAGACAAATGAATCAGCCCATTGTGTTACGGTCTATTTTCAATTTATGAAAAAACTTTTCTTTTCATCAAGGAATCCAACAATCGCCATGCGAACCTTTGTTTGGATGCAAAGCAAAAGTTGGGATCTAGCACTTCAAATCTACCTAGAGAGGCTCTTCGATAATTTAGTTACTGAGGACTTTGCCGGCCAAAGGCCAAAATCAAGAGCCATTTCAGACTTTGGCCGGTCCACCATGGCCAGTCCATGGTGGACCGGCCAAAGGCCGAAAACAAGTAAAGTTTCGGACTTTGACCGGTCAATGGGAGTCAATATTGGCCAATGCGTGCTTTGGCCGACTTCCGGCTTTGACCGTAACATATATAAAAACAAAGGGGATGTTACTCCTATTTTACTAAAATGTTTACATCCAATGTAATCTATGTAACACAATGATTATTTCTTTCCAGGGCTGTAATGTTAAAAGTGTACTGTGGTCACTCTCACAGTTTTATGTGAGCAGGTCCCTTCAAAAATTTATTTCTAGTCAGCTGTTAACATCAACCTCATTAAAAACTAGTCAACATGAGCTTCTTCAGTACCTTGATCTCTTGTACAAGGCTTACCCTCAAGAATCTTTTACTCTAGCCATGGAGCAAAAAGTTCATGATCATGAAAGGTCTGACTTTTAAAATTTTATGATGCATTTTGAGTGCTGTATTTTTTTTTACAGAAACTAGTTTAAAATGTATATTTTGGTTTAATTTTAGTACATTATGTTTTCATTAGTTACAAACTCTTATCTTTTAGCACTTGGCAAGATAGAGAAGATCCACTGAAAAGTGTCATAAAGGGCAATGAAATGTTGCTTTTAACTCACTGTGGTGAACTAACACAACATACAGAAGGGAAGACTAGCACAGGTCACCAAGACCAGAGTCTATATGTTGCTGTTTATGGAGCATGGGTTGCTAAATGGACACCAAGTATGAGGCAGTCTGTATTAATAGATTCTCATTTCTTGACTTCAGGTAATTATTTGAAAATATTTTTTCTCCTCCTAAATAGTTAAAAATGTTCTGCTTCCACTTTTTCCTGAAAATGAACCTTACTCCATTTATTCATCATCCAAAATTGTTTACATTGAAAACAGTTTTGATACTTTTCACATACTTTTAGTATAAGTTAACCCATATAATTTAGAACACTAAGTTGGTTATAAAAAGGGGAAAATTTTTTATTTATTTTTCTTACATCACCCTTAAAAGTGTGTTAAAAAATTGAAAAAAATTATATTTCAGATGATGCAATGCCAATGTTCAAGTCTGACCCTGTCTCAACATGGAAATTTCTTTTATCACACAATTTGATAAATATTTTATTGCCACTGATCAGATCTGCAGGAAGAGACCCCAATTTTCCTTGGCCTGACAATCCTACAAAGTATCTGCACCTGTGTTGGTCTCATATGAGAAAAGAAATAGCACGAGAATTACTTAGGTAAATACTTGCAATTCATTTAGAGCTTCTAGAGACTCTTACCAAATAACACATATACCTAATCTCTTAATTTTTTACATGAACATTTCAAGCTTAATAAAAAATTTACTATTTATCACCACTTAGTTTAAAGATTACGGTTGTTTAAATTTGAGATGCTTTAAAGAAATGTAATTCCATTCATACTATTATTCTAAATAAAATTTGCTTTGTTCTAATATACATATAACTTTTTTTATTGATGTTTTATTCAAAATATTATTTCTTGAAGAAAATATTTAAATCATTAATTGTTTTTGTTTTGTTTTGATTAAAACTAAAACATTTATATATTTTATTTTTACTTGTGATACTCTTATTAAAATTTTGATGTAGACTTGGAAAATTGGATATAGCACAGTTAAAAGAACAGGATATTGACATCAATGCTTTATTGCCAACTGTTGGAGGTATCATGAAAAAGCCACATCCTCTCTCATACATGGGATCATCCTATATGAAACAGCTCCATATTGAAACTGTCAATCAGTTTGCTAATGCAGGGTTGCTGTTACCCTTGTGGGTGTATTGCACAGTACATGGGTAAGAAGAAATTGTATTCATTATAGTAAACAGATTCTGGTGTGAGCTTGATAAAATAGCTCTAAATTTTCACAAAATAATCTGTTGTAAAAGCTTTATGAACTTCTCAGCTTAAAAAACTAAGACATATTTTTAAAGTGTATTGTAACCATGGGCATAAATAAATAGTGCAGGTTTTTTTACTAACCAGAGTTTATTATAAAATATATTTTTATATTTTCCAGTTTTAAAACAAAACAAAATGAAAATTAGATTATTATTTGTTGTATTTTTAGTATAGAACCATCAGATATAAAAATAAGTCATGGACCTTCATGGTATCCACTGTTTCAAGCTGTTCACAAAATACCAAGACATCCAACAGGTTGAAATTAAATTATACATTATTTATCTTTTTTTACTTAACTTAAAACTTATACATGATTAATGCTTTCATATTTTCTTTTTATAAACTTGTATTATTTCTACATTTGACAGACAGAAATTTAATGCTATCTGCAAGCCTGTTAGCTGCTGCTGACTTATGGTCGATTTCACCATCTGAAGTTAGTGTAGAAATGATGTTGGAGAAAAATCAAGTTTTAGCAGCACTTGGCACACTTTGTTATATGCCAGAGGTAACTATCAAATGTTTTCTAAACCGTTTGCTAAAGAATTTAGTATGTTGTTAATATTGAAAATCTTTTTGTTTACTTTTTATGCTGCATATAATAAAAAAATTAAAATAAAGGTTTTAACAAAAAGAAAACAATCTTTTTAAGAAGTTATCTTAAAATGATTGATCTAATTACACAAATACTCCTGAAATGAATGCAGATTCGGAAACATTCATTTAAGTTTTTATTTAGTATAAATTTAACTGAAACCTTTTAAGTGACAAACACATAATTTTTCATCAGAACATTCCTAACCTAAGTTCATCATTGGTGGAGAAACACCTTCAGAAGTACCCAAAATTAATGGCTGCCTTGATGCCAGACAGGGGCGAGAAGTCATCCAAACAGGACATCTCTGTTTACCATTTACTTATGGTAAGGCAGCAGTCACCCAAAAATATTTTATATCTCTTTTAATTTTTTTTTGAAAAGACATTGTTTTTATACCATTACAATCCATTAAAACAAACACATTCCAAAATTTGTAGATTATTGCAACATTTACTAATTAGCGTAAAAAATTACTTTTAGGGCAGTACTCCTTTTGATGTAAGGAAATTATTTGGGTGGCAGTCAACAAATATTTTTGCTGGCGAAGGTTAGTGAAAAAATATGTGTACATAAACAGTTAGGTAAACCATATGTTTGATATACAAGTGATTGTTAATCTGATCATAGTTAAATTAATTTATGTTGACAGATTTTTTAAATAGCAAAACAAAATAAGTAGTTAAGCACTTGTATCAATAAGTGGTTCATCAGTGTTACATTGAACACAGTACTGCACACTACTCAATTTTTATTCTTAGGATTTAATAGTTGTATTATGGAGTAAAAAATGAGTAAACTAGTATATTCATAAATCATGTTTTTCATTTTGAAGATTTATCAAACAACTCTTTATTTCAGATAGTCCCAAAACAATGCCTCACTTTTCTGATCCAGCTCTAACTGCAATTTATAGTAGAAATCAGAAACTTCCATTCCCTTATTATATTAAAAAAGGTCGTCCAGTGTATGCATATCTGACCTTTTTATCAGAAGAGTCAGAAAGGAGTGAAGCTCCACTGTCCTTAAAAAGGTGTGTAACCATTGCCAGATTAAAAAACAACCAAGCACATGATTGAATGTTTAAATTAAATAACTTTATTTGTTTTGTAGCTAGTCATTTCATTTATTCTGCAGTTAAGTTATTCAAGTTATTGTGCTATTACATTAAATGTTAAAAAATTATTCCTTTATTGAAAATCTCCTTAGACTACTATTCCTATTAAATTTTTTTTCCTTTAAATATGTATCCCATTTTTAAATAACCAGAATCCATCAGGCCTGTGGTGCAGCTCTGTGGATAGCATGTCAAAACTTCAACGATCCACATGTCAGTAGTGCATGTGTTGTGTATGTTGAGCTTCTAGGTCAGGACAGTGCCCTTGTTCGCACTATGTTGCATACAGGCCGTGTCCTGCTTTCACATAAACACAGGGGCCTTAGTGGGGCAACAGAGGCAAGACAAGAACAACTAAAAACTGTTGTTGCAGACATTGGTAAATAAACATCCACTTAAAGGTTATAATAATGTCTGAAATTAACTGAGATATCTTTATATTAACTTTGTATCATTACACTTTTATAAATATAACAATTTCTAGAAAATAAAAGTAAAAAAAAAGTAAAGTTCTCCTTTTTGAACTTAATGGTCCATTGGGCAAGTGAAGTTGAGTTCACCTGTTTCTGTGACCTCGGCATTTGAAGAGATAGTGTGGTTACCACTATGCCAGCTGCCTTGTCTTTCCCTAACATGAGTTAGGTACCCATCAAAGCTGGGTGTACTCAGGGACGTTCTACTCACTTGAACTCCAGATTTGAACTTGATACTTTCAGGTTAGCAGTCTAGTGCTGTACTGCTAGGCCATGCCATCCCATTAGCAAATTAAAGCTGTTACTAAAACGTTTTCCTTTGAGTGTTAATGAAATAATGTTTTTAATACAATATTAGGTGGATGAAAAGTAATCTAAAAAGTATTCATTAATAAACACTGAATTATTAGTCACAGAGATGTTAGCTTGTGTGAAAAGTCGTACACGTCATGGCCTTACACTGTTGAAGTCACTGGAAGAGGCTATTGAAGAAGAGATTAAGCATGAAGTCATTGACAGGTATGTCATTAAAATATTTATCTCTTTCAATACTAAAAGTACCTGTAATTAAAACATAACCCTAAAAATAATTTTTACATTTATTTTTGTTAACGTTAGATGTAGTAAATTTTTACATGTTGATGTATGTTGACTTATAATTAGATGCAGTTTTGATGCCAGTCAAAAATGGCTGCTAGCCATAGTATTTTGCCAGCAACTTTCCCTACCATTAAGTACCTGTTTCCTGAAAGCTTGTGCAGAAAATGACAATTGGTTAATGTTTATCTGGTTTGCCCAGCTCCATCAGTACCCTACTCATCAGGTAATCTATTTTTATGCTAATAAAAGGCAAATGTTTATAATTTCACCCCTAGTTTATCTGTTTTTGTGTTTAACCAGATTTTTCTTCTTCCTTGTTTGCTAATTAACATTTAACATTAAAAAATGTTACAGCTTCAGAGTCTCCTAAACACTTTTAAAAGTCCACATCTAAGAGATCACCTTCACTATGTGATCAATAATGCAGACAGCAAATGGTTTACAACATCTGCCAAATCTTCTACTAAAAGACAAACTTCCAGTGATAAAACATCCAGCCAATCAAAACGGGCCTATTTATACAGCAGGATGGGTCTGCAGGGATCAAGAGAAAGAGGTGATTTACTTACATCTGATGACTATTTTCTCTTTCTTAGCATTATAAATATTAAGTTAACAACCGATTTGTATAACTTAAGTATTTTACTTAAACTTTCAAAATTGAAATTTTTATTCTACAGTAAGCTCAAGCAGTGAAGAGGATGAAGAAAAAAATCAACATGCTGGAATTTCTTCTTTTTCATCCAGATTAAAGCAGACAGAAATTAATGGTATGTAAAGTTTTCAGGTACCCAAAAGCAAATTTAACATGTAATTCATCTGTCATTTTTTTTTCTACCTTTGTATTATTGATACACTTGTAAGTTAACTTGTTTTCAATGCATGTTTTGTTAGGCAACTAAATAATACTGTTATACAAAAGGGAACCACCTCACTTTTTAATCATACCTCTTCAGAAGACTTGGTATTAAGTGGCAGTCCTTCACTGCATTCATGCTATTCTTTCGGTTTTTATTTTATTTTTAGATAGTCTGTTGCCTATATTATATGTAGGTAAAAAAATTACTAGAGGATAAAATTTGTTTCCTAGAATGTGAAATGGATGAAGCAACTGCACCAGACGATGTGTTCCGCATGTTGTTTTACAGCCAGTCAATGCCATCACAGTGGAGATGTTTACTCTCTGCTGCAGTTTGTTTGAGAAATCCTCTTTTTGCTGAATTGTCGGCATGCTGTGTGAGTTCAGATTGTTTTTTTTTCCTAAATTGTTAAATGGCCAATGAAAATATTATGTATACATTCTTTATTATTGACAGGTGAATAGAATTGTTTTAAATGATTTTGGAGTGCTTCATAGAGATTTTATTTATATAAGATAGTACCAGTTTTTTTAAATTGATTGAATGAGTTTAAATATGTATTTTAAAAAACAAAATGATCATAAAAATGTTTCTTGGTCTCCAGGGATGTCCAGCTTTGGCCTGTGTTTGTGGTTGGCTGCTGGCTTCTCTTTCTGCTGAAACCAAACAAACTTTTCTGAATAAACATGGCCATCAGGTAACCAAGTGGACCCTTGAACATCTGGAAGCTCTAATTGATACAACTTTGTCATGTCGCCAAGAGGATTCGTTAGCAACAGCATTTAAAATTTTACAGCCTGTAAGCTTTATTATTTGCTTTCTTTTTACATAAATAATTAAAATATTTTGGTTTTCCAAGATCTCTTTTTCTTGTGTTGAGCTAGGTAGTAATTGACTGCAGACTTGACACAGTCCTCAATATTGTTTAATGTGTATACAGTGATTGGTACATCTGTATAAAAGATTTTGTGATCAAAGCCTAATAATAAATTTTACATAATCACTAATTTTGATAGTTCATTTTTGGGCATTAGCTGCAGCAGTATAAAAAAATATGAAATGAAATTCAGTCAAAAAGAACAAATTATTTATATAAGTTCTGTAATAATAGTACTAATAGATAAATTATTCTAAATTAATTGTTCATAAAACTTACTATATTTTTACCTGCAGTATTCTCCCCTGCTACCATTTCTGTGTTTTGTGAATGAATTTGTAAACAAAAGAAATTATGCATCCTGTCAAATTCATATTGATCACTTCAAGGATGCAATGGCAAATGTAAGTATTTTGATATTCCTTTTAGTTCTGCTAAGAAATATTCTTATATAATAAAAATAAATGTTTTTTACTTTCTCGTATATACGTAGTATAGAGAAAGTATTGTAATCGTGCAAAAAAAAAAAAAAATCGAGATTTTTACAAATCTCGACGTTTTACACCTCACTGATACGGAGAAACATAATTTTGCAATCTTGTCCGTATGTCTGTGTGTGTGTGTGTCTGTGTGTCTGTGTGTGTGTCCGTGTGTAAACACGATAACTTGAGTACCGTTACAGCTAGGTTGATGAAATTTCATATATAAGTATTATATCAAAATCGTAGATCCGTATCAACTTTTGAGCGATTTCCGACAACCGGAAGTGGTACTTTTTCTTCTTTGAATTTTTCAAAAGCCTATAACTTGAGTACTATTTCAGATAGATAAGTGAAATTTCACATGTAAGTAAAAGATCTAATTCTCTACCTTCTGTTAAATTTTGAGTAATTTCCGTTGACCGGAAGTAGTAATTTACGCTACTTCCGATTTCTCAAAAAACTAATGTAAATTTTAAAATTACTAATAATATTGCGCACTATTATGCGCTTTTTTATTTCGCGTTCACTTGGTGTGCAATTAATTTGTCTACGAGATTTTATTCTATTTTTAAAACTTTAAGTATTTAAAATGGATTAAAAATCATGTCTATAGCCCGAGTTCCCATCCCCTGTTATTTTATATAAAAATATTCGAGAAAGTTTAGGGGAGATCACTCCCGGTTTATTTAATGTCTGTAACCTTACTTTCAGAGTGAAAGTGACACAAAGAAAGAAAAAATTAGTACAGATATTGCAACAATTGGTGAGAGACCGTGGTGGGAGAAAGTAACCTATCAAGTGATAAAGCATGAGTTGAAGTCAGTGCCCAGCCTTTACCATGCCAAACATCTGTTGGAAATTCTTGTCAAGCACAATTTGTGTCTCATATTTAGCTTTGATGGTGATTACATCTGGGTTTTTTTACATACATTTTTAATGAAAATTTTATCTTTTGAACAATTGTTTTCAATAAAATATTACTTCTCACTTAATAAATTTCCAAACAATTGAAGTTATTACATACATTTTTCCCCAGTTCTCGACTTTGCTGTTTTATATAAAGTGGTAACCATTCTCCATGGCAACGATGTTCCCAATATTGTCATCAGTTCTCTCCTAACATCAGGAACAAAATCTGATAACTTTCTGAAGCAGTGTGAAGGAGCTGTAAATTATTTGATAGGCTGTGGCAAGTTTTCTGAAGCACATGAACTGGCTACTTTGTCAGGGATTAGCAGAGAGGGAGTGGCCATTAGCCAGGTAGTCATAGTTTACCTGAGAATTTTATCTGTTGTTTTAAAATTAAAATATTTCATAACAATTATTATTTATCAATCAGCTGAAGAAAGAAAAAGAGCGTTTAATGTCTTGCAACATTTGGGCAGCAAAGTATGTAAGAACTCAGTACTGGGAGAAATGTAAACAGCTGATGGATGAATCTAAGTGTAGTCCAGAGACATGTGCTTTCTTCTTCCAGGTAATTTTAATAGACAAGAATGTTGCAATAAGTCATTTTAAAATTCTGTATTAATCATGAATATAAAAATTTCTGCCTGCTTTTGGATTTTTTTTACATTTTCTATCATATTATTTTTATATGTAAAAAATATAATTTTGCACAAATATTAACTTGAAATTTTTTTAAAACTAGGAAGAGATAGAAGGAACCAACAGCGAGTTTGAAAAGGCTTTGTTATGTCAGCATTGGTTGTTTTTATTGGAAAACAACACAGAGAAGGAAATTATTGCTGTAAAAGACAGTGTCTTCAGAAAGATGTGGAAGCATCGCATTGCTGCCAAAGTGAAACTTTTTTTACAACTAAAATTTACTAAATTAATTTAACAAATAAATAAATGTATAGGCCTAACTAAAGTTTAATTTTGTCAAATATTACATATGATTAAATTCAAAGTGATACTTTTTAAAATTTTAAACTGTTTCAATTTTACTATTGTAGGTGACATTTGAAGAGCATCACCCATTAGACAAAATTTTTGATGAGATGGATCAAAGTGTGAAGAAACAAGGCAACCTGAAAGTTGATCTGGTAGAAAAATCTGTGATTCACCACAGTGGACCAGATGTACAAGGGGACTTAAATGCAGAAGTGAGTTTTAAACAGTGATTTGAAGCAGTGACAAGACATCTTTGCTTTGCTGTGAATATAATACTTCATGAATATTAATCTAAGTACTATGAGATAGCATTTACAAAATCTTCTACGGATTGTGGATGATCTGATCTCATAATTTGTTTTTTTCAGGAGTTAGAAATTTTAGATACCCTAATGGGCAACTACTTAGACGATGGCCGTGTCTGTGCTTGTGCCCATGTAGCTGCTGTCTTTGGCCATTATAACCAGGATCTGGCCATCATACAGGTAATTTTGTTAATGGATATTTTCTGTATATAAATATGTACTGATAGCTCACGAGCATTTTAATAAATCTCCATAAAAAAATTGTGTATTGTATTTTATTTTGTTTTCTGTTTAAAAAATATTTATACAAATTTGTTTTTGTGGTTTAGACCTGCATTGCCTTAGCAAATGGACAGAGCAGCATTGATACCATTGAACCTGCAATGAAACGCCTCATTGCTAAATCTTCAACTCAACGTAATAGAAAAATTTCCTTAACCTTGAACAGATCCTATAGTAGTAAGTACACTCATTGATAAATATACTTTTTAAATTTAGAGTTGTTCACCTTGACTAGTGTTCCAAAATACTCTCAAATATGCAGTCAATTCTAGAAAATGGGATGGTCAAATAGTAGAACACACATTTGCTAATCTGAAAGTCTGCTCCTATACTACTCTATCTAACTCAACATAGTCCGATTTAGTGAACCAGTTCTTGTAAAAAAATAGCTAATGTACAAATATTGAGCTTATTTAAAACAACGCACTCAAATTTATCCATTCCTATTTATAAGAAATTATGAAGTCTATATAAATCAATATAATTACATGTTAATGAAACCTATTACTCTGATTAATTAATGAATTCATTCATTGGTTTGTATATATTTTACACTCATGCATCATCTGGTTTGTTGTTTCCTGTCTTAAGTGATTGATACCAGATAACAATCATATCATTTGGCAGCATCTCAAGCATCAATATCTGGTTGAACCCATCTGATTTGTTGTTTCTTGAACTTAGAGATTGATATCAAGATACCAATCATTTCAGTTGGCAGCATGAGCAGTATGTCACCTACAGTAGCTGAGACCAGCACAACAGAGACACCAGATGTCATAAGCTCAATGGAAAAACTTTATTCTCATTGTGTCAAGGGGGCTCAAGTGTGCCTTCGTATAATCACCTGCTACAAGATTGCTGAGGTGAAGATACATTTCAAATACATTCTTAAATTATTGTGTTTAATTAAAACTGAGTAAATTGTAAAATAAAGTGCTATTTGGACCAAATTCAGAAGATGATATAAAGTTCTGTTATTTCTTTGTTTCGCTAAAGAATTTGAATAAGTTTTCATTGTAAATAAAATGAGTGGATTATACTTGGTAGATTCACCAGTTTGAAAATTTAAATTATAGACAGCTTTGAGTTTACCAACCAGAGTAATTTCTCTTGTGTTGTCAATCCCTTTCAAACCTGATGGTCAATGGGGCAAGTGAAGTAGAGTTCACTGTTTTTGTGACCTTGGCATATCAAGGGATAGTATGGTCAGCACTATTCTCAGCAACCTTTATTTTCCCTAACATGAGTATATGTAAATCTAGCACAGAAAAAACAGGTTATACAATACTTTCCTCATATTTGTTTTAACTAATTTCTCCAGATCACACTATCTCTGATGCTTTTCCCCCTAGGTGTATGATGTCATTTACGGACAGCTCTTAAAGAAATATTTTTTTAATCTAAATTTTTTTTTTAAAATAGATACTTGGACAAAGTTATGAAAATGTGGTGATGTCTTCAGAGTTTGACTCATTAAGGAAACTATTGAGAATAAATCATCCAAACAAATTTAGCATTGCCCGTGATTTCCTGGCAACAAGTGGTCTCTCAGATGATGAGGTACTATATTATAAGCATAGAGCTAGGTTCTCCTCTGGGTTCTTTACAAACATAAATATAAAACTTTTTCCAAAATTAGCTAGCATGCTTTAGGGCTAAAATAAAACAAACATAAATCAATAAAATATTTCAGATTGCTAGCTTCTTGGCTGATTCTATTGTAGACCTACTGAAAAAATGTGTGAAGGGAAATACAAAATCAGGTGAGAATTAGCTCTGTGGTGGGTTCTTAAAATGAAACACTTACAGCTTCTGACCACAAAGTAGGCTCTATCCTGCAAAATATTTTTCTCACCATTTCCTGCGTGCTTCTGAGGAAGAAACAGCTTTTTACCTATGTAGGCTTACATGCTAAAAAGTAAAAATATAAAAAACATATTAATAACAATCTTTGAATGTACTGAAAATAAGAAGATAAGTGAATTTATTTCTATAGTAAAGTAAAACCATTGGTCATGAAACCCCTGACACGTTTTTTAACCATCACTTTTCCTAAAGCAGGAAAATTTGTTTTATTTTCTTATTTTTACTGCTCACAATATTAAATAAGTCAACACTCGACACAACTAAAGCTATTTGCTTCAAAACCTGATAAGTAGTTTGCAATCCTAATTAACAAAAATTATCTGTCCTTTATTAAAGTCTGTTGTCAGCTCTGGAGTATGTATCAATGAACACAACTCAACACTGTCAAATGGCTGATTAGACTGCTGCTTGTATATGATTATCTCCCTTTTTGTTATTGAATATAATCATTTTATTAAAAACCCTCCCACACACCCACAGTTTTTGTGACCAAAAAAGGAGTTACATTTTTTCAAATTTAAAAACATCCCAGAATTAAAACAATTAAAGCAGTTCTAAGTATTATTGTGCAGTGTTTAAACCCACTTGTAATTTATTGTCACTAACTTCACCTTTAGTTATTATAATCATGACTTCATTTATTTGTATCTGAGTTTACATTTGGCTCTAATTTGCCTAGTAAAAGCAAGCAAGGTTGTTGAGCAGTGTAGTAGACATTTATATTTTTTGCTGCAGTAACTAAAATAGCTTTTCATGGGTTTTATAGCAGTAGATTACAGCTTAATGGACTGCTACAGTAAAAATGTCCTCTGTTTTAGAGCTCGTTGTACAACCCACTGAGACCTCAGAAGTGCTGAGTCAGTTTGTCCATTTATCAGAAAATACTGCTCTACTTGGTAACCATATTCTACAATCTGTTGCAACTCTATCACCTGCTAATCAGAAAGAATTGTCTAGCACAGGTTAGTAATTTAAAAACAAAATTATCATTTAAAGCATTTTCTGAAATAAAATAATACTCTGCAACTCTTTAAAATTGATTTTGCATTTAAAGTTACAATTGTTTTTTCAGTGCTTAAAGTTCAGACCGAGCTTATAGTCATGGCCCATGAATGTTTCACTATCTCCTCTAACATGGAGGGAATATCTCACGTACTTCGAGCCGCTCGATTGTGTTGTGAAAATCTTGCAGCAGCTGGGGAATTTAATTTAATGGTTAGTTTTTTTAATCTGCTGGTAAAATTTTTCTTTTATTGAAAATGTTTGTACACATGATACAACTACAAAATGAAGCTGTTTTATTCCCAAATTACTGTTCAAGGAGGCCTAAAAGTAAATGTTTCTGTAATAAATGTAGAATAATGAATGTCTCAAAATATTTACAATAACAGTAGTAATAAATAATGTTTCATTTAATTTTTAGATTCGGCTGTTGACAGGAGTGGGTAGATACAGTGAGATGCCATATATTTTTCACGCATTACAGCAGCATCATCAGTTTGAACTGCTACTTCGTAAAGGCATGGACAGGGTATGAGTATTGATAACTTACTTGATTATTGAGGATATTTTATATCAATTAACTGTAACTTCTTGAACAAATTTCAAACATTGCAATCAGAAATGTGTTTTTATTTCATTTAAAGAAAAACTAACACTTACTGAATTGTTACAGGAAGACAAATTGAAGGTTGCCATCCTAGATTATTTGAAGCATTACCAACCAGATGATAATGATGCCTACACAATGGTAGCTCTTAAATTTACAATGTACAGAGATATTGCAGGGATGCTGGAAGCTTGTGCTCACAAGTCACTAAAAATTTTGAAAGACAAGCCCCTAGGTTTGTAATGTTTGACCCTTTTCTGTGCATTTTTTTTTACTAACACTCGCTAGATAATATAATATTAACATTAGTAGTAGCAACATGGAGCATTTGCATTTCTGGTGAATTGAGATAAGATTTCAGTTAAAGAGTAGTGTATGAAAACATTATTATAATACATAGCGATATTGGTATGGGCAACAACAGTTTGACAATGTACTATTTTTGTATTATTTTGTTGAATTTGATAGAAAATTCTAAAGAAACACAAGACTTGTTGAAGAAATGTTTACAATATTATCAAGATGCAGCTGAAAGCTATGTGAAGGTACACCTTTATTAAAATGTGACTATTTTATTTACTTAAAAGCTTTATAACACACTTCTGTTAGCCCTTTTCTTATCATTACTACATTTTACTGGTATATAAAAGATACTTTAAGCTTAAGGATAAAAACTTTTTTGCTTTCGGAAAAAATATTCAACTGCACAATAAGTTCTTCAGTTCAGCATCAAACTCCCAATTTGGAATGGTTTTTGTTACTTTTGAGTAGCTTTATGTGGCCCAACTAGATAGCATAGTGGAGTAAGAGAATGAATGCAGCAAATTAGTGTAAGAGCTCTATCTGTCCCATAGTTTAGTAGACTGTTTGGGTGTTTCAAACCAATTCTTTCTTTAAAGTTATCTTCTCATTTCTTTTGCCTAGTACTGTGCCTTGTAGGAATATCTTTGTTTCCAGTTGACCATTTGATGTGACTGCTCTGAGCTTTCATGTTTTGATGATTGTCTAGAAGTTACAACTACGTGTTAACTATTTTACTGGGTTTTTTTAAATGTAAAAAGTGTAAATGCTTCCCTGTTATATACTACCTTATAGTTATAGAAAGTAATGGCAGTGAAAAATTATTTTGTGTTTATCAGGACAATAGTGTAAGGAAGGCACAGCACTGTGTTAAGCAAGCCAGACTTCTGTCCCTTCAGCTACAGTTCCTTGCCAATGGCTTAACAATTATTCACCTCAGCAGAGAACAGTTGAATAACTTCATCAACACACACAACAGATTTATTGAGGTAAAAATGACTTATAATCAAGTATATCAATTTGTGTCATAGTGTTAAAAAATTTATTGGGAGCATAATTAATTGTTAGCCTTGTTGACATTGACAACAATCGAATATTCTAAATTGTTTGATGGAAAAATAATCTCCAGACAAGGACTTAAAATTAAATGTATTTAATTTTGCCCTATGAAAATACTAAATGCATCTTAACATTTTGTCACATTCTCATACTTTTTAATTTAATAAAAACGCCATGCACTCCCACCACAATTTCTTTTGTTTATGTAACTACAAAATAGTCAAGAGTCCACAAAATCTAAACATACACACATAAAACCTGTTAGTATTTCAAATCATGTTTCATAACATACTGTATTGATTTTTTTGTTTTGTTTCATTAAAAAAGTGTAACAGTCTTTTATCAATTTTAAAATTATAATTTTTAAAAAGTGTGCTGGTTTCGATGTGGTTGATATGTCAGAATTAAGACATCCATTAAAGAGGGATTAAAAACCATGAATTATTTAAAAATAGAAAATTAAAGCAGCTTTAGTTATTTTCTTTTGTAAAATTATTTGTATTGATTTAATTTTTTTTTCCATCATCTATTGTGTTGTAGCAGTAGTTTCTGAAAGCTCAATTTTTTTTATGTGTATTGATATTTGTATATTTAAATAAATAATATTCAGCATGCTTTAAATATTTAAAAAAAAAGGTGTGTTATGAAACTCACAGAAGCTTCCCTTTGTTCCCTCCCCTCCTCGAAATAAAAACAAAAACAACACACTTTATATACAAAGAGAGTTAATAATACTATTAATAATTATTTTTAAAAAAATGTGTTTGCTAAACAAATCAATTTTTCAAATAGGCTATGATTGTTTCTGATGCTTATGAAAAAAGAGCTGACTGGGCAGAAGCTGTATTTAATAATGTTGTGATGAAAGGGGATATGTGCTACTTGCAGGAGATGAAGCTGCATGTCCACATTACACCATCACTTGTAGAGGATGTTGTCAAAAGGTAACATTTACCTACATCTAGCCCAATTCACATCTTGGCTTATTATACTGAAGTTCACCAGCTACTGGCCTGTTTCACATAACATAACTTACAAAATTTAAAAACAGAACCATACCATAGCATATTCCAACTAACAGCCTCGACCATTCATATCAAATTCATATTTGATTTCAAATAGTTAAGATAATAAAACAGTAAGGTTTAGATTTATATTTCTTTTAAAAATCACTCATTTCAAAAAATAAAAAATCTTACAATACAATAGTAATAATCTAAAATCAAAGTTTGAATAAAGTATTAAAAATAATATATTTGTAATGTTTTAAAATAATGTTACTAATGTATGTCTTTTTAAAATCTTTTATAAGGGGAAAAGTTTATAATTTCAACCCTCCTGTATTCACATTTACAACCATCACCATTTAAATAACATTTGTACTAAAAATAATTTTTTATATTTTCATTTTATATTTTCTGTGACACAAATTTGAACTGTTTATCCTTAGTGTTTACAAATATATTTGAAAAGCTGCTTTTACTTTTACACACAAAAAATGTACGTTCAGTGTGCCACTTCTACTGCATCTTATTATAGAGTGACCACCTTTTGCCACTTGCATTTTTAGCAGCTCCAATACTCTTTATTTGATACATTTTTGTTTTAACATTTTAGTTATAAACTGTCACCCGTGAAACCCACATCAGCTCTTCAACCTATAAAGAAACTTTTGAACCTTTGCAAAGATATACAACTTCAATACCGATTGGCCAATGAACTTGGACTACAAGATGTTGTTACAACCCTTTTGAATGGAGACTCAGGTTGTTATCTCAAAGATGTTGCAACAATTTAAATTACAGCTCTGTGAAGGGATCCATTAAATGTCATTCATGTTTATTTTAACTAATTTAAATTAATGACATTATTTTTTAAATTGTCAGTCAATAGGCCATACACTATTTGATGTTAAACAATTTGATTTTAGATATTAAAATTATATAGAATCTAGGACTGTGATTGTTTTGTAAAAATACAGAACTAAGTATTTCTTGAATTGTTTTTTGATTTAAAAAAAAAAAGAATTCAATGAATTAGTTTACTTGGGATACAAAATAAGCTTTTTTTTTTAAAAAAAAAAATGATAGCTTCATTTTTTAAGTATGAAATAAATTTCCAGAATAATTTTAATAGTTCAAAGATGCAACTATGATAATTTTATTATGATTTTTAAATGAGCTGTAATAGTTGTACTTGTATTATATCATCATGACACATTGTTTTAACTCCATGTTTGTTATTTTATGTTTTTTTTAAAAAAAATGCACTTTAGTTAAATTAAAAAATATTTTAAATTTATATATTTTTTATGTTGATATCTATAAAAATGTGTTAATTATGTGATTCATGTATGCAATAACTTATTAACTGCCTATTTTTGTACAAATTAAATTTTTGGATTTACTTAAAATTCTGTAATTTAAAAGTCTATTAAAAACCCAAACTCAGAAATGTATAAGAAAAAGTTTATTTTAATTTTTTTGTATGAGAAAATCTGATAAAATCTACTTCAATATCGACAACTTTTTTCTTGTGAAACTTGAAAGTGTTAGCCAAGTCATACCTCAGCTCAGCTACAACAGTAGCCTCTACTCCCCAACTTGATGCTTTTTTCAATATATGCTACATCAGTGAAGGAAAAAAAATGTAAATAGCTTAATGTACACCTAAGGTATTAAAAAGGATATTATTCTATATAATAAATGTAATAGCTTAATGTACACCTAAGGTATTAAAAAGGATATTATTCTATATAATAAATGTAATAGGTTTTAAATTATTCATGCAAGAGCATGTTCTTTATATGGGACTCACATTGGTAAAACATTTTTTTTTAAAAACATACCTGGCATACTATTCCAGATAAAATAACTTACCTCTCTTGTAGAAGTTTTGTGTAAAGAATAAACTGAGTTGTTAGACAAATTTAGACCAGCCAGCAGAAAATCCATATCTATTCCTGAAAGGATAATAAAATTCATCTAAAATATGGAACTTAGAAAAAGGAATGGTTTGAATTATAAAAAACTGTTATTTTAAAAACTAACCTTCATTACGTTTGGTACCAAAAGGGGGATTCATTACCACGCTGTCAAACTGTTTATACAAACGACTGTTTTCAGGGTTAGAGCCAAACAGATATTTTACATCTGCAGCAACAAGATCGATACTTGTCATTTCAAATTCTTCTAAATTTCCTGAGCATATCTCTAAGGCATCTTCATCAATATCAACACCAAGTACATACCTGCATGAGTATTATAAACGTTACAATCATTTCTTCTTAGCAAAAAGGATAATAAACAGATCGAATGTTTAGCAATATTTAAAATACAAATCCACATATAACTATAAGAATTCTTTTTGGTCTCTGTAGTGCATACTAGTAGGCACTTCAGAAGTGTAGCGAGATCGGGGGTGCGGACCACAACTGGTGACATCATTTATGGGGGTGACACCAAGGCAAAAAATTGCAAAATGTACAGAAGAAAAATGCTTTTTAGCCAGTTCCATTAGATATTAAACAAAGTTAAATAGTCTTTTAAGTACAAATTGACAATTATTACAAGGGAGGGGGTGACATCTGACTTAGTTACACCACTTAGGCACTTAATTAAAAAAAACATAATTAAAATAGAGCCTGGTACATACATTTTACTTGCATATTTTACATTTATTTATATAAATATATGTATATATTTATATGTGTAAAATACATATATTTATACAAAACATTAAGCAAGTACCAAAATTTATATAAAAATTAGTTTTAAAAAGTTAAAATGTCTTATAAAGTAAAGTTTAGAAGTTTTTAACTGTACATCAGAAATTGCTTTTACCTAGCTCCTAACATAGTTGCCCCAATACTTAGCACTCCACAACCTACACCAAGATCTGCTATAGTTTTTCCAGCCAAATCATCATACGTTGCAGAAATTGTGTGCAGCATACATGCTAGGAATATTTTAAGTTATATTCAGTTAAAATTAAAAGTACTTTGAAATAACTGTTAACACAATCACCCTATAATCTTTATTAAAACTTTTCTGGTCCATTCTAAAGCATCTTTTTCATTTTTAGTAAACTGTCTGTCAATAGCTATAAAGGTCACAAAAGAAGCGGCTATTGTCTTTTGCATGTACAATAAGTTATAAATGTTACACATTTCAGTCAAATTATTTAAGGTCAGATTATTACAAATTTTAATTGTTGAATACAAAAATAATAACTTTAAAATTACTTAATACCCCGGAAGTTACTAGCATGTGTCATTTGTAAGTTGTAGGAGGTGCTGAAAATGTTCAGACAAACTACTTTACCATTGATAAGTTGTGATGTTTTTGTTTTATATATATATATATATATATATATATATATATATATATATATATATATATATAAGTATAAAGTAATCACCTGCAATGTGTGGTGTTGTGGGGTATTGTTCAAGTTTTATTTTTGGATTATCAAATACATCCACATCTTGCAAATAAGATTCCAGCTCTTTTCGTTTCATGCAGGTCATCATATTTTCAGCACTCAGTCATGGAATCAAGTTTTACTGTTTAAGAAAAAAATGTAATTACATTAATATAAAATTTAGAAGTATGGGCCCTAAATATTTTATAGTTTTTTGACATTGTCAATTTGTAGTGACCAATAAAAAAACTTCTTTATTACTGAGATTCTAGATCTACTAAGTATGACTATAATTATAGACATGTCATAGGACATAGATTAAGATAGACAATTATTATTTTTATATCAATTAGGCCTAATTAACATTATTACTAATAAAATAAATAATAATCATTATTATAAGATTATTTATATTTTGTATTAAATTAATATATTAAAGCCTTTTTAGGCCTATATAGATAAGTGATAAGACATACAAAGACATTAATTATTTTGGTAATCTATCATTTTAGGTGCGTAAAATCAACCGAGGCTAGTAATTTGAAAAAAAAGTTGCCTCATTTTTATGGCTTTAGTAAAAGTAGGCCTATATTGTGATAGTTGTTTCAAATATAATAGATAACTTAATAATAAACAAAAAGCAATGGCTAAATATATCAATATAGGCCAGAAATTAACTTTAAACATTAAACAGCAGTGTTTGCAAGCAAAATTTGCTATATTATATATATAAACAGCGGCCATCTGTAAGTTAGAGTTGTTATTCAATTGAATGTCTAACTATAATTTTACAAAAATAAACTTAAACAAGTAAATGACGTGCTTGGTTGCATCTGATGAAAACATCGCTAGTCTTTTTTTTTTACTGAAAAGTTTTAATACAATTGTTCAAAGACAGGTAGACCTACATTAATGATTAATGAATAATGAAACTTTGAAACATTTTAGTTTAGTAACTTTCAAAACTTAAATACTCCTAAAGATGTGAAATAAGGTAAAACTCCAATTTAGCATATTTAATCACCGCACCACGTTCACCACCGGTTGAGTGTATTTTATTATAAACACAGCCAAAACACACAAAAACATTAGGAAAACACTAGGATTAGAATCATTAGATGATAGATATAGATCTAGAGATCTACTTAGTTTTTTATGAATGTGTTTTGATTAGAAAAGGTAAAAAATATTATAAATAGCATTACAGATCTAATTCAATAGCGTGTGATCGTCGGCGTGAGAAAATCCCTACATGCCGAGTACATGGTCAAAGGTTCACTGTGAGTTCACTTTGACTTTAATAAAATCAGCATACGTCATAGCTTAGGGCTTAGGGCTTAGGGTCATTGTGCGTTCATGTAAGTTAATTTATAGTATTAGGGATTTTGGTAAAAAAGCACTAATCATCATATAAAAATAAAAATTACATATTCTTGTAGAGCTCAACAAAATGAAAACAAAACAAAAAAAATTTTCTGTCTAGCTCAAATAGTTTTTTTTTTGCGAATTTTTTTGTGAGGGGTGGAATCCCCTTGCTTTTGCATTGGCCAATTGTGACAAGTCATGGTATACCTTAATAAATTGAGCATAGTTATTTTACTTGCAGTTGTATTTTGTTCATATTTGCAGAGTTTAACTAGAATGATATATAGAACTTGTAAATGCTGTTGAAATGAATAAAAATAATACAGAACTTATATTTTTGTGTTGGCTTCCTCCCATAACCCCAAAAAACTGTGTGCTGCGCAAATATGAAAATGTTTCTAAAGCCATATTTTATATAAATACAGCAAATGAAAGAACTACAAAGTTAGAAATCTAAAGTAAATGACTTGAACACTGTTATGTGCATATAATTGCCTCATTATTTTGGGCAGGTGAAGTAGAGTCCATCTTTAAGCCATTTTGTTATAAAACTGCTGCGCAAATATGAAAATGTTTCTAAAGCAATATTTTATATAAATACAGTGAATGAGAAAACTACAAAGTCAGAAATCTAAAGTAAATGACTATGACTTGAACACTGTAATGTGTCTATAACTGCCTTGTTATTTTGGGCAGGTGAAGTAGAGTCCATATAAAAGCCATTTTGTAATAAGTGAAATGAAGTTATCAGATCAATGTTTTTATGTGTGAATTGTGTATGGATTCTGATTTTCAGCATATAACTATATCTAAGGGTAAGTAGAACTTGAATACTTAAAATTACAGTTAGCACAATGCTAGTGTATAGCAACAGACAGGTAACCTAGATCTAGGTCTGACTCTTGTCAGTCTAGTCTGACAAAATTGGATTTTTAGGAAAAACATATTCTGCAAAACTAGAACTAGAGCTGAAAAAATTAAAGATGGGTATGTAAATATATTTTGAAATAAAAAATTAGATTTGTTTGCACATGCCATAAGAATGCTGTTATTAGTTGATCAAACTTAAAGGCCGGAAGATCGGGATGAAAAAATATAACAATGGTGGCAGCGTGACCTACATACAGTGACTACGTTCGGAGGAGTATAACTAATGTCGGAGTCAAAATATCCAAAAACAAATTTCATTTCCAATTACTTAAGATATGTCTGATCAGTAATCTACTCTCATCTAGAGGAATCCTTTAAAAAATCGAGATTCCAACGTATTTGAAACTAACCTTGATACAGAGGGAAGACCAAAGCAGAGACAGCATGTAATCAGGTCGCAAAGCCATTAAAACTAAGGGACAACCACTCTACTTTTTAATTAACCTTAGGAAATGACCTTTTAAACTTAATTAATTACCATAAATTAAAAACTTATTAGTATGCAAAACCAAATCTCGTGAGTCCGGTATCAGAAAGTAATGGGCGATTTCGGGTCATGTTTTTACTGCGAACTCGGCGGATGCCGACAACCCTAATAGTATCCTCATCATGCCTTGCAATTATGCGTTTCTTTTCTACTTTACTCCATTGCAAAGAAAATCTTTAATAACACGTAGATCTACATATTTCAAAAAAAAAAAAAGTTAAATCTAGATTTTTGTTGTTGTGTGTTTCAGTGGTAGTTTATAATAAAATAAAAAATACGCTCAACTGGAGGTGAATCGGGGAATAAAATACGCTAAAATGGAGTTTGACCTTAAATAATTACTAAAATTTAATGAGTCACCTTCTTTACGTAGATCTACTTAAAACGATAAGATTACCAAAAATTGTATTAAAATGATTTGATTTTTATTTGATTACGAGTGGTACGAAAACAAAATCTCCTTATCGATTGTTTCGACTTACTTGACCTAAGCTAATTTCATTTTTAAAAGAGTTTCTAGCGTTTGAAAAACCCTGAAAATATTATTTGCCTCTAGATCTAGCATCTAGATCTCAATGTTTAAATTTTTGTTGATGTAGCCTAATGTTTCAAGACATAAAACAGTATACCTAGATAGTTGGAATATTTTGCTTTAGATTCTACAAAAAAAATATCAAAAGCATATGCTCCCACTGTCAAATGCAATTTCAATCTGTATGCAAATTAATTTTTTTTTTGAAAACCAAACTTTCAGAAACGCTGGCAAGCGGCATAATACAGTAAAAAGTAATTGATAAACAACACGCGAAAACGACACCGATCCGTCGTAAATACGTAAATAGCTAAAAAAGATTGTTTTTAATTTTAAGTTTGGACGATTTAGGTCATTTTAGATCTGGAGACCAGACAGTATTATACATTATAGGCCCTACTGGTAATTATATCTTAGCTTTCGTTAGTGTCTATTCTCAGTCGATTGGGAAAAGCCGTGTCGTAGATTTAAGCCAGGGCTATCCCACTGACAACTGTGTTCCAACAATCAATACTCCTACAACTTAATTTTAATAATTTAGAACCAGTAGTGCAATTCTTACAAACCTAGTGGGCAGGTTCCGTTGAACAATGTGACTATCAGACCTTGGTATATGATTTGGCAATTTTGAATTTTGGACACTATTTTGAGTCGACCCTTTGAATCCTGGACAGAACGTATCCCCCTGCCTAGGCTCAGCCAACAGGCAGGCTTGTTGCATTGAGCTAAATGGCTAAATAAATATAAACTCAAAACAACAATATAATCAATCTCCTTTCAGACGGTCAGGCCACATATCATGCACACACAGTAATGTTTGACATGTTAGCCTAGCCTAACATTCAAGTTAGTAACAACTTACAAGCATTAGGCCTATTATTGTACGATTGCTTGGCGATGCGAGTTTCAAGCTCAGATTGCAAATAAGGTGAACTATTGGAATAATGTCTTGCTCTAAGTAACAGCTACCGATAGTAACATTATATTTTAATATTAATACTTGGCTGTACTTTCGATATTACTAAAATGTGTCTCCAAATATTTTTAGGGTAACGACATCTACATATAAATAAACAAATTCAAATACCTACCCATTTCAGTAGATCTAATAGGCTTTTTTGCAGTACCTTATGTACATTTTTGAGACATCGTAACGCGTAGCCTAGTTCCTCATTAAACTGGAATAAAGGACTGTAGCCAATAATAATGAAAATAATGAAATGCCGGCTTCCAACTCTGCTTTCCTGGGAAGTCTACCCCCTAAATAAAATGTAATTTATGTAGATAATGTATACTTTTACCAGTGTCACCCTATTCACCCCCTACCCCCTGAAGAAAAAAAGCCTAGTCTCTGGAAGAAATATAGCTCCATAGTTTGAATGACTCCACCTCTTGCCTAGTTGAATATAAAGTTACACTTTGAACCCCGTTAAGATGTGTTATCTATCGATGACCTAATAATTAAAAAATTATTAGGTAAATTACTGTAGACAACTATAAGATCATGCGAATTTACTCACAACACTAGGCTACACACTACGGATGAAAGCAGCAAAACTTGCATTCTGTGGAATTTTATTCCTTATTTATTTATGCTTCAAATTATGTTTCAATATTGGGATTATATTGATATAATATTGGAATTCTCTAACTTTGTTAATTAGTATGTAAATGTCATGTAACATCAGAAACTAAATTAATAACATAGCATCATTCACAAGGCACATGTTGGCTAATGACCTCTAACTGAAGATGGCTGGTTGACAAATTTGGTTTTCATATTTCAATGGTGTGCATTTCTCACTTTTATTTTTGTGTTTTCTTTGGGATTATTTTTTGTGATGTGTATATTCAAAACTAATTCGTAAGTAGTAGGATTTTAACAATAAGCCAATTTAACAGTCTGCAGGGGATCTGTGTCAGTGCAGATTAATTAACCTTTTCCAAAACTGCACACTACACAGCAACCTATGGCCATTATTTCATACTGCCCTTTTTTATTAGGTAAATTACTGTAGACAACTATACGATCAATACTTATACATGAACCCAATGCAATCATTTATTTAATAATCTTCAAATTCCATTCCGCTAGGGTCGTAATTGTCACAAATTTATTGTCTTCCGGTTTTGTTGTCAAGAAACTGGTATTTAGTTCATGAGAACGTACGAAAATATTTATGCGTGACCAAAATCATCAATTGCTTCACGTGGTTTGACACCTGTTGACATGGCCAGTTGTTAATATCCAAACATCACACACAAAAAACAGCCCTACTTTGAAAAATGGCTGTCCAATTTTTTAGGGGTCATTTTTCAGCCAATTTTGAAAAACGTAAAAAAAAATCAAACTACACTGCCCTATTTAGCTAGAAAAACGCATCACATGATGTCAGCCACCAACCAAAACGCTGAGAATGCGTGCGTTTGATTGGTTGGCAGCTTATTTCATCATAATATTAGTATAGTGTTATTTTAACACAAAAGGTAGGCAGGCTAGAAATTAAAATATGCATATATTACCTATTAAAAACGCTCATTAAACATCCATATACAGCAAGAGACTTTTTCACTAGGTTACTTAAAACAAATTTATTTATGACATTCCGGAAAATGAAATACACATGGTTTTCGGTTTGCACTCTGAAAATAGAAAACAAATGAACAAATTCGAAATTTAAGGTTACATAGGGACTAATAATTCTGTTACAAAAAACTCTGCAGCTCATTTCTAAAGATTTTTTTTTTTACATTCTAGACAACAAAGATGGATGCAGATCTGTATGATGAATTTGGAAATTATATTGGCCCAGAATTAGACAGTGATGATGCAGAGGAAGAAGAAGAAGACCAAGATGATGATGATGATGACTATGCTGATAGAGATGTAAGTATGAACACATAAACCTAATTTTTTTTACCTTTAAACTAATATATGACTGCATATAAGTTTACTGAATATAAATTATCAATGTCTTGCCACTAAATTTAAATACACTCCATAACTATTAAAATCAAAAGGAGGAAGATGATATGGATCAGGATGATGCAGATCATCAAGCTGAAATGCAGGTTGTTCTTCATGAAGATAAAAAATATTACCCTACACCAGAAGAAGTGTATGGACCCGATGTTGAAGTAAGTAGCTAATTTAGTATCTTGAAAGTGTTTTTTGTTTTACTTGTATTTTAAAATTATTTTGTTTCGAAAGAACTCCTGATATCATCAAATTGGAACTAAATACAATAAATTTAGATAAACTAGATGGCGCCAGTTTGAATTGTGCTTTTGTACATTTGAAATGAATACCCACTATCATTTCATGGTATAATTTTATCTCAATTTTTTTTTCTTATCAGACCATCGTCCAGGAAGAAGACACTCAGCCTTTAACAGGTGACATGAATAAGTTTAAAATCATATTTGCTTCACAATTTTATGTGTATTGAACTGTGTATTGAAAGTAATACTATAATCCAGTGATTATTGGGTTTTAAAGTGTATTTTTTTTGCAGAGCCCATTATTGCACCTGTAAAAAAGAAGAAGTTCAGCATGGTGGAACAAAATTTACCAACTACAATTTACAACATGGAGTAAGTATTTTTGCTGTAAAATATTTATTATCATTTCTTTCCTCTTTTTCATTTGCTCTAATTCATTTAATATTTTTGTTTTAGATTTCTTGCTGACTTGATGGATTGCCCTAATCTTGTTAGAAATGTTACACTTTGTGGTCATCTTCATCATGGCAAAGTAAGGATCCTTTTATGCTTACTCTATTTTAGTGTGGAAAAACTATTATTGACATATAATGTAAGAAATTTTTTTTACTTAAGTTTTTGTTTATGATGTCTTTTTAAAAAAAAATATTTCAGACTTCATTTGTAGATTGCTTAATGGAACAGACTCACCCAGAAATTGTTGGTGATTATGATTCTGATGTAAGATGATGTGCTTTATTATATTAGTACTAGCTGTATATACTTTTGTTTTAATCATTTTGAGTTATTAGTATATAATTAAACTTATGGGATATTCTTGTTCAATCCCATCAGCCTGGTATTTGATTGGGTATCTATAATATCTGTATTAGGATTTTAAAGTTTTTATTTGCAAGATTATTGCTTCTTTTATTTCATTCATATACAACTTTTTATGCTGTTTATGTAAAAAAAAAGGGCAAATAATCTATACATATTAAAAAAATAAAACAGGCCAACGAGGTAAATTGATAGTAACATTTTTCCATCACTTCTGATCATGCTAGACAATTAGATCTGCCGAACAATATAATTTGATTTTAATTATAAATAAAATTGATTTAATTGATGGCTAAAATTTAAAAAATATTTTCAGATGAGGTACACAGATACTCTGTTTACTGAACAGGAGGTAAGCTGTCTACTTTTAACAGTCAATTTAAATTTAAACAATTTTTATAATTTAATTGTACAATTTAGTATATTAACTAAATTACAAATTTTATTCAGAGAGGTGTCAGCATCAAATCTACACCTGTGACACTAGTACTACCTGACACCAAAGCAAAATCTTTTTTGCTCAATATCATGGATACACCAGGTAACAAGATACAATTTATTTGCTTATTTACACAATTGTGAAAGGTGGAAGAAGAATTTACATTTATTTGTTGAAAAAAAACCCACAAAGGTTAACTTTTGTGAACTAATTTTTTGATCATAAAAAACTGTCAGATAAAATATTTTAGTTATTTTTTTGCACATTAAAGATCTACTGTTTTTTTTTTTAACTCTAGGCCATGTCAATTTTTCTGATGAAGTAACAGCAGCTTTTAGGCTGAGTGATGGTGTTGTTGTTTTTATAGATGCAGCTGAAGGGGTTGGTCAAACTTTTGGTTTAATTTATGTATATTGTTGCAAGTGTAAATTAACAAATAAACTGTCCATTAATAGTGTTCCTGATCTCTAAACATAGATACATTTTGAACTAAAGTTTATATACATAGAGCAATTAGTTCTATTGTTTTATTTGCAAAAAATTAAATAAAGTATATTCTAAATTTTAGATGATGTTAAACACTGAGCGCCTGATCAAGCATGCTATGCAGGAAAGATTGTCTATGACAATTTGCATCAACAAAATTGATAGACTTGTGCTGGAACTAAAACTTCCACCAGCTGATGCTTATTTTAAACTTAGACAAATTATTGACGAAGTCAACGCCATAATCAGGTTTGCGTTTAATTATAGCACAGGATAAGATATGGTTAATGGGTGTTATAATTTTAAAGAGTTTTGTTCAAATTTGCAACTAATGAGATACTTATCTAGAAATCATTAGTATTGATAATTTATTGTAACAGTAATATTTTATTGTGTGTTAAATTTTACTTTATCTTTGTCAGTCTCTATGCTGAAGATGATCCAAATCAAATGGTTTCTCCACTGCTTGGCAACGTCTGTTTTGCTAGTTCATACTATAGATTCTGCTTTACACTGAAGTCATTTGCAAATATATATGCAGAGACATATGGTGAGTATAGTGGCGTTAAAAATATAGGAAAACATTCTTTACAGTATTCTTTAAATAAAGTTAAAAATAAATGTTTATATATAATAATAAAATTAAATCTTATTTATTGGTTTTTTTAATATAATAATTATTATTGTAGAGTATATTAAATAGTGTATTGTAAAGAAGTTATATTCAAAACAGAGGGCATTAATGATAAAGAATTTGCAAGAAGACTGTGGGGTGACATTTACTTCAACAGCAAGACGTAAGTGTATCTTAGTATTTTAGTAACTCTTCATTATAACACCAAACTCAGGGCATTTGAAGTGTCCCATTCCTCTCTGGCATTTAAAAAAAATTGTTCTTCATGGTCTACCTTGATTTCAGAAGTTGGCTTTCACTTGTCTTAAACTTATAAACCAACAGGTTGATTATAATGATGATCAGTGATGATTTTAATTAACAGTGTATATCAGTTTATCTTTTTTTATTTTGTTATAGGAGGAAGTTTTCTAAGAAACCACCAACTACTTCTTCTTCTAGAAGTTTTGTAGAGTTTATCCTTGAGCCACTTTATAAAATATTTTCGCAGGTAAAATTAGCATTATCTTTTAATTTGCTCTCAGCTCACACATTAGGGAATTTTCTTTTTTACTTTAATAATCCAATATTTATCCAAGAACAGTAGTATTGTGCCTAAATATTATAAGAAAAAAAAGAGTGATGCACTTTAACTATGCAACCATTATTCATTTATGGCCAGTACTTCATTCTTTCTAAATTTTTTGTTATAACTCCAGAATAAACAATTCATTGCAGATTGTTGGGGATGTAGATGAAAGTCTTCCAAGAGTGTGTGATGAGTTGGGAATTCATTTGTCGAAGGAAGAACAAAAACTGAATATAAGACCATTGCTAAGACTCGTGTGTAGAAGATTTTTTGGCGATTTTACTGGTAAACTTACAATTTTTTTACCTAGTAGTATTTCAAATTTTTTATTTTCATTGCTAGTTATAAAAAGTAAATAATTTTTTTGAAGATAAATAACAGCATCAAATGTGTTATATACTTATAGGTTTTGTAGACATGTGTGTAGAGCACATCCCATCACCTGTAGAAAATGCCAAAAGAAAAATTGAACACATCTACACAGGAGCAATGGACTCTGATTTGGCAGAAGAAATGTTACAGTGTGAAGCTGAGGTAGAATGTTTTTTTTTTAATTTACAGGCACAGTCAGCAACGTTAAAAATAAATAGTCCTAATTTAATTTTTGAAATGATGAAGCTCTGAACCTGCCTGGTGTTGCTTTACAGGGACCTCTGATGGTACATACAACAAAACTTTATCCCACTGAAGATGGCACAAGTTTTCATGTATTTGGTAGGGTCATGAGTGGGACCCTGTATGCTAATCAAGAAGTTCGTATTCTGGGTGAAAACTATACATTACAGGATGAAGAAGATTCTAGGCTTGGTCAAGTTGGGCGACTTTGGATTGCTGAAGCTAGGTAAACAAAATGCTATTGTTCAACCTTAAGTTTGCATTAGTAATAATAGTAATGATTTTAAAAAAAAATGCTTTTAGCCAAACTGAATACATTGTTTAACCAATGAATGACAGGTACAAAATTGAAGTCAGTAGAGTTTCCTGTGGTAACTGGATTTTGATTGAAGGTGTTGACCAGCCTATCGTTAAGACATCAACTATTGTAGATGTATCCGGGCATGAAGAGGTAACATTGCTGTTATACAAATATCACTTCATTCTTGATCTAGATCAGGGGTCTCCAAACTACGGCCCGCGGGCCGGATGCGGCCCGCGAAGTCCTCTCATCCGGCCCGCGGAGATCTTTTTGTCTAAGGAAAAATCGTTTGTTGGTGATGGTTGAGGACCTTTGCCCAGAGAAATCAAAGACATGCCTGGAAGAAACTGGCCCCCAAACTGAAATTCGATAGTTAATGTGGCCCTCGGTCTAAAAAGTTTGGAGACCCCTGATCTAGATCAATCAGAAATTCATGAATGTTACAAAATATTTTATGAAAAGCTTTTAAAAATTATTTTATATCACAAAGCTGAATACTTGTAAAGTAATTTATTTATTGTAAAAACTCCACTACCACAACAGGTTTACATATTTCGACCTCTGAAGTTCAATACTGCTAGTGTCATTAAAATAGCTGTTGAACCTGTCAACCCATCAGAGTTGCCTAAAATGTTGGATGGCTTGCGTAAAGTAAACAAAAGTTACCCACTGCTCACTACTAAGGTAAAATTTCAATCTCTTTTAACTAGACTACTTTATATTTTCTTATGTTTTTCATGTTTTTGCATTAACATTTTGATTATGAAAATTATTATTATTCTGGATTTTAATTTTGTTAAAGATACAATGGATTTTATAATTTACTCTGCATTTAATTTATATTTAAAAAAAAATAGTTTACACAGCTGTATACAAATCTTCAAACCTAAAATAATGAAAATGTGCTTACCTTTAGGTTGAAGAATCGGGGGAACATGTTGTACTTGGTACTGGTGAATTGTACTTGGATTGTGTCATGCATGATTTGCGTAGGATGTATTCAGAAATAGGTAGGCAGCAAATAATTTTCTATTGCTTAAAACCAATGTGGGGGAAAATTCTGAGGTTGTTTTCTAGTATTTTAGTGGACACTTTCTACAAAAAATGTAACTTAAAAAAAAAATACCCTGCTAATCCACACCTCGCTCTCCCTCTTGTCTATCAGACATCAAAGTAGCGGATCCTGTGGTTGCCTTCTGTGAGACAGTCGTGGAAACATCATCACTCAAGTGCTTTGCTGAGACTCCTAACAAAAAGTTAGCCTATTTTTTTTGTTGAATATGCAAGCTTTTAAAGTTTAGCAAGCTTAAATGTTCCTGAGTGTTAAACTGTATTTTGTTGTTCGGCAGAAACAAATTGACTATGATTGCTGAACCTCTGGAGAAAGGTCTTGCTGAAGATATTGAAAATGAAGTTGTTCAAATCACTTGGCCAAGAAAAAAGTTGGGTGAATTTTTCCAGACAAAATATGATTGGGATTTGCTGGCAGCTCGTTCTATTTGGGCTTTTGGTCCAGATTCAACCGGGCCTAACATTCTAGTAGATGACACCCTGCCCTCTGAGGTAAGTCTTTCTGCCCTATGATTTCCAAAATGTTTCTTTTTTACACTGTGCAATGACATTAAGAGGTGAGCACTTGGTTGCTAATCCATCCCAGGGTACCTAACTCTTGTTAGTGAAAGTTGGATGAATAAGCATAGTGCTAAGCTTACCGTTATACCATATGCTAAAGTCCCAGCATATGTGACTAATTCATCTGACCTTTGTTTGGCAGGTCTAAAAAGGTAATTTAATTTCCTTTGTTTTTTTTACCCTAAGTATAAGTTTTTAAAATTTGTATTCTAGGTTGACAAAAATCTTTTGGTTACTGTGAAAGACAGTATTGTACAGGGATTCCAGTGGGCAACGCGTGAAGGACCGCTGTGTGATGAACGTATGTTGGTTTTTTTTTATTAATGAGACATTACAATTCTTTCTCTTAAAACATCTTGTATATAGTTTTTGTCAATTCTAATCAATCATCCACAACCGTTGAAGAAATATTTGTTTTAATGAAATACAGCCATAAGAAACGTAAAATTCAAGATTCTGGATGCTACAATAGCTCAAGAGCCAATACACAGAGGTGGAGGACAAATCATTCCTACAGCCAGAAGAGTTGCTTATTCAGCTTTTCTTATGGTAAGTGAAGCTACTGCTGAATATCCTATAGTCCATGACCTTTTTGTATTTCAATTAACTTTTTATTTCAGTCTAACTTAATGTAATTATACCACTAGCTGCCTGTTTAGTGTGTTACTTGTTAAGATATGATCATTACAATTGTTTACAATTATGATTTCTCTAAGGCTACACCTCGTATGATGGAACCTTATTTATTTGTGCAAGTTATGGCACCTGCCGATTGCGTATCTGCTGTTTATACTGTTCTGGCTAAAAGAAGGTTTGTATTATTTGTTTATAATTCTGATAAAAATATCTCATAACTGTAGTACTTTCTAAAGTAGTTAAATTCAGTTGTACATTGAACAAGGTGTTTTAGTTCTTGAGGTAGCACTTTTTTAAATTTAGAAAGTTGAATTACAGAAAAATAAATAAAAATTATAAATGTGCTCTATTTTTAGAGGTCATGTGACTCAAGACGCCCCAGTACCAGGTTCACCACTATACACCATAAAAGCTTTTCTCCCAGCAATAGATTCTTTTGGTTTTGAAACAGATCTGAGAACTCATACACAAGGCCAGGCATTCTGTCTGTCTGTTTTCCACCATTGGCAGGTAAAGAATGCATTTTGTCCATTGTATTTTCTTGTCCAGTTCAGCAAAAATTAATTTCAATATCATCCTTTTAATCAAGGTTATTGAAATGTGTTTGTTTACAAAAAAAAATGTGCTGTAAATGTTCATTTAGTTAAATATTTTTCAACCAACTAGATTGTTCCTGGAGATCCCCTTGATAAATCTCTCCATATTCGACCATTGGAAGCACAACCTGCGAATTATCTGGCCCGAGAATTCATGATAAAGACACGCAGGAGAAAGGTAAACATTAAGTATTTTACATAAGCTTGCCATTCAGCTATTACGTTTCATTCTGAGGGTAGATTTGACATGTTTTGGTAAAAGCTGAAATCAATTTTCAGAAGTATTTACAATTGTATTTATCAATGAAAGAAATAATTTGAAAATGATTGTTTCAGGGCCTGAGTGAGGATGTAAGTATCAACAAATTTTTCGATGATCCTATGTTGCTGGAGTTGGCTAAACAGGATGTCATGTTGAATTACCCTATGTAAAAATGTACATTTCCATTGTTTCTGTCCATTTTTGTAGGTTAAAATTTTTTCATATGCTACTAAATAAAGGTCTGGTTAATTAAGTATAATGAAAGATCAGAGCAAGCAGTTTGATATTTTTTTATGAAATGACTATTACTGTATTATTTTAAGTTGTTCACTTGTTGGTACTTAGTAAAGATGTGCTTGATAAAAAATGTTGAAAGAGACATTAGGCAACTCGATGTTGACTTCTAATGGTGTAGAAATTAGTAGGATGATCATTTAAGCTGTGTTTTAATAGTGTTAATTCTTTCATGTATTTCTTTGAACACTTTATTGTATTACACCTATTTGAAGCAGTTACTACTAAAATGTTAAGAATGACGATAAGTAAATCCATCATAGTAAATATATTCCAAATCAGTTATTATAATTCTTTTCATTAAATTTGTATCATAATAAAAGGTTTAATATAGAGTTTAGTTATCTTTTAGTTGAATAGAAAAACGCAGAGAACATAGTAATGGTAATTGTTTAAATTGTTTTTTTTTTAATTGTTATATTTTTAAATGCAAATATTGTTTTGTACTTCTTCTTCTTGAAAATAAAAAAAAAAAACCCAACCTCTACAATTACTTCTTTGACAAATTATTTAGTATTTTATCTTGCATATTTATAAGAAAATATTTTTAACAAACCACACAATTATTCTTAATCTCTACAAAACAATTTTATTCAAGATATGAGAATACAATAGTCTAGTGTTAACTAAACATCAAAAACTAGAGCTCCGTATGGCCAGAACTGAAAGTCTCCTCTGGAATGCTTCAATCCTTAGCATAGAGTCTGTGAGATCCAACAATAAAGAAAGCCAATAAATAATTGTTTATTTACATGAAGAATTGGACATTCTTTTGATCTGTACTTTAAAAAAAATATTTAGCAACTTCTCTGAATAAGGTTTAAGAAAAAACTTTGTGAGTTTCAGTCTTTGAAACTAAAGTTTTGATTCATCGTCATATGGAATAAAATGTCCGGAGCAAATCTACAACAATGCTTAAAGAGTAGTCAAAATAGGTAAAAGCAATAAATAAATCAATGGCAATTTTACAATTGAGGTAGAGCAAGATTTGATATTTTACATGTAAATGAAGGAAAAAGCTATGTAAAAAGTGAACAATCATCAATAGACATCCCAGCTTTCTGGATGAGTATCAATACTTGATCTATTGTGCTCTTAGAGATGCTAAAGGTAACAGTTCTTTACATCCTATCAACCAATCATCTTTTTTATTTTGATTGTGTTCTGTGGGTTTTTTCAATGATGCAAGAGCATTGTTTTCGTTAAATATTTTAGAGAAAAATTGTATATAGAAAAGTTAAGTATAAACAGTCAACTTTTTAAAATCAGCTGAAGTCATGTTAGTGTATGTTTAAAATTTAACAACTCCTACATGACTCCAACAAACATTGCTACTTTTAATTTACAGGAATAACATATTCTCTATGTGTATTTATGTAGTCACAAAAATAAATATCAAAGTATTGTTTGGTTCATTCTGGTGAGGTATTGACTTGGTTGAACACAGGTAAAATGCAGGTGGGGTACATGGGCTAACAGTTATGGAAAGACAACCTGAACCAGGTCAGGAAGAGGTAGTGTAACGCTATCAGAACACGGGTAGTTTTAAAAATTTATAGACCAAAGGGTTAGTTTAAAAAGGGAGCAATTTTATTTTGCTCGGACAAACACATTTTTAGTTACAAATTTGGGCAAATAACATCACTTTATTTAGAATGTATAAAGCTTATGCACTTTTGAATTTTAAGTTACTCTTTTATTTTTGTACTGCTGAAATTTAAACTTTCATTTTTGTAACGAATTTTAGAGAGCAACTTATAAGATTAATACTAGAAAACCACAGTTATTTTGACCTTTAAAATTGTTTTTTGACCAATCTCTGGCCAAAAAATAAATAATTGCCAGTTGGCAGTTTTAAAACATTTCGTTTCACAAAAATTACTAAGTTACACAAGCGCTACATATATTCAAAATCATTTGCAATAATCAATTTATAAAATCAAAAGGGTAAAACGCAACAATTAAAGTAGACATCGCAACAAACCTAACATCAATAATATAATTATAACACTATAACTATCATAACGACATGAATACGTGTAGGCTAAATACTTAAAATATGTAACACGAAGAAAGAAGAGAAAAATAACACGTAGGCTACTAGAGAAAGTGCAATGTACAGACAATATGTATTATGCTCACGATGTAATTGATCTGTATTCTATAGAGATAGAAAATCTACTCCCAGACCTTAGCATGATCAATATAAAAATAAACAGCTCAATATATTATGAATGGAAGCAGATAAACAATATGCTAGATGTCTAATGATGTTACCATTTTAATAAAAGCATTCACGCACGAGACATTTCAAATGAATTTTAATTATTGGACGTAGTTCAACCTGTTTTGCTTGTTGGGCCAAGTAAAAGTACGGTTACAGATGAATTGAAAAGAAGCGGGCTTGGAGTGGGTTGTGGCGGACTGCATTGGTGTGTTTGGAGGGGGGGGGGGGGGGAGAAAGGGAGGGCGGATATTACATAAGACAGAGCGGCTTTTTAAGTTTTTAATTAGTAAAACAATGAAAAGCTTAAGTTTCTGAACCTATTGAATGATTATATTTTAAAAAATCAAGCTCCACCCTGTCTTATCGAAAATTAGATTTATTGTTTTTCTATAAGCTAACAAATTAACGAAACGAAAAGTTTAGTGAAGGAGGCGGTGCATTTGTATACCAACATGCTAGGCGCAGAGGCGTAGCGACCCTTCCCAGCGCCCGGGGACAAACTTTTCGATTTGCACCCCCCCCCCCTCAAACTCGATTTCCACCCCCCTCAACCTTTCAATTTATTTGTCCAACCCAATTTGGCGCCCCCTAAGGTCGGCGCCCGGGGACATATGACCCCCGCCCCCCCCCCCCCTCGCTACGCTACTGGCTAGGCGTACACAAAATAGTTACGCGCAACAGAAGTTTTAATTTTTAAGTTCTCGTTCATTCTCGGTTTTGGCGCGACCAAAAACCAAAAAAAAAAAAAAAAAAAAAAACCCAAAAAAAAAAAAAAAAAACCCAGAAAAAACAAACAACAACCCGGCATCGCCTGCTTGTTTGCTTTACACCCCAAAGCAATTAAAACAACTAATGCTCATAAGCCTATAGATATACCCCTCTTTACCTTCCTTCATTTAATCTATTCAAGCGACCTGCACTTTTACTTTAAAGATTAAGGGGGAAAATGTGTTGTGGGTCAGCAGGGACATTTAACATTTGTTTGTTATATAGCCTAATGGCGACACATTGCAGACATTTAGGCCTACGTGCTTTTTAAATTGTGGAAATATTGTATTTACCGTTGTGGGACTATGCATTAAATATTTAAACCATACTTACTTATAACGTAACAAACACATACAATTTTTAGAAGCCCAACAGTCATCCAGCTTTTTCAGTGTCCGTGGCTTTTAACGAGCGACTTAAGCTTACACAATGTAACACTTACTAGCATTAGCTGACTGGTTGCCATTACATTCGAAATTATTTTTTCTGTATTTCGACAGTTTTAGTCTGTGCCAAACAGGTCAGTGATATTTACATACACAAACAAAAGCATGGACAAGCAAACATTCGTATATACATTTTTTCAAAATATGCAGAAGAGATCTACATATGTAAAACACATTGCAATATCCTTCATAAGTGTCGTTAAACAGCCATATCACTGCTAGGCTTGATGAGTTATTCAATATAACATACCTTTTAAAATATCTAAAACACATCTTAAAAACTAAATATTAGCCTAATTAATTATATAAAGTGAATGGAGCTCTCACCGATTTACTTTAAGTCGTCATTCGGTAGCCCCACGATTTCAGACAAATTTACGAGGGAAACTGTTAAAAATCTATTAATAGCGTTGTGTTATAGTGAGGAGGAGCTAGAGAACATATGAAAGTCACTCTACCATCTCAAGGTTTGTACGAGGTACATCTAATTAATTTAATTAAGTGACAGTTTTCCAACGTTATGTTAAAATACATGTTAAAACAGTATGATAATAGATTCTGATATTTTTTTTTTGTCTTTCACATTCTTATAAACTGGCATACTTTTAGAATATTTTAGCACATCTTCTGTATATTCTAACTACATTTAACTATAAGCTATATTCAAAGACTTAAGCCTGAAATTTGTAGTTCAAACAACCTGAAATGTGTAGTTCAAACAATATCACATAAATATTTGGGGCAAATTTTTTTTTACAAAGAACCCCTCCCCATTACTGCCATTTATCAGTTTAAGTTCGTTTTGTAGGCAATTTTCTTATTAGATATTTTCAATCATGTGCCTTAAAATAAAATTGCGATATAATGCTTAGCCAACAGATTACATTAGTTAGCCCTAACATTGCAATTGTTCAATTTGACAAGTAACGTGAAGTAACTGAATGTAAAGTGTTATTCAGCATAAAAACATCTGTAGACTCGGTCTGAAAGTAGCCTTTTCATGACCTACGTAGGTAAACACCTCAATATGTACACATTTCCTAACGGACATCAGGGATACACAGTAGGAAGACTGAGATCCGCTCAGGGACGTCCGATTTACCAGTTTTGAGACGTCTCTTCTAGGACGTCTGAAATTTGGAACGTCAGAGTTCTGCAGTGGGACTTCTGAGATCCGAGTTGTAGCGGAACTGACTATATACACAATGTAATGTCAAGGAATCAAGAAGAAAAACCACTTTCTGGGAAAAAACATTGCACCACTGTCTAAATGCCATTTTATTCATGTCATTGAAGAGAGGGTAGCTGACCGTCACACCCGCAGCGTGAGACCAAAAAATTTGGTATTTGCGACATCACTAAGTTCTGATCGTGAGAAAAGTGCAACAACACCAAGTTTTCTGTTTCAACTGGTGCGCATGCGCGACCCACTTTCAATCTGCCCCATTTTGGATTCTGCAAAACATCGTCATTTTTTGTTTCTTGACCTTGAGAATGACGTTTTTCTCTGGCAGACGATGGCGTGACGCTTGGAAACTGCGTAGTTTTTGAGCTGTGACGCAATTGCTGAATTATCTGTGAAGTTCTGTGCTGAACATGTTTAGAATGGAGCTTTTTATGATGCGGCAGCGATAGAGCGGTTTTGGAGCAGGTACCCGTACACGTCACAAAATCAAAGCCAGTTGGAGCCACGATGACGTCATCAAGTTTGAGATCACTAAGCTCGATGTAGGATTTAACCGACATGCAACAGTCCGCACTGCCATTGGCATTTTCTAGTGTTTGAGCGCCTGTCTCATTTGTACAATCTGAAAAATGGTGGTGCGAAGCAGCGCTTGGTTTTGAGGCTCTTTTACGCCTACCGCCGCCGAAAATCGTCTTTTCTTCAATGTAGATAAACGGCACTTTCTTTTGATCAATCACCGGATTAGCTCCCTTATCGCAACGTTTCTTTTTCTTCCGGAGCCGGCGCTGGGACTTGCAGGATGAGCCCGTGCTGTTGGGTATGTACAGCTGCGCGCGGTTTTTACAGCGTTTGCATTCGATCTTCAGACGAAACGTGTTGTCTCCTTCTGGCTCAGCCGCTGCGTTGATCAGGTACAGCGGCAGCGGCATTTTCTCCCAGTTACTGCCAATGACCGTCCTCCGCAAGGTGCCAACACTTTGCATACGATTGCCCTGAGAGTCTACCAGAAACCCTTCAATTTTGATAGTTTTACTTTTGGCTTTCTTCCCGTTTTTCTTTTTGCTCAAATCACGTGACGCAGGAGCAGACGGTTCCTTCATCTGGACGTAGATGTAAAGATTTATTTTCGTCACGTTCGGCCTGTTGTTGATCGTTTCATTTCTCAGGCGAAACTTTAAAACATTTTTCGCTGCAAGAAGAAATAAAAGAACACATATACAATGGTGAGTTATAAAACAAACATGGGACTTGTTTAGTAAACCAATCTTGTAAGCTTAGTCTACATTTCAAAATATGTAATGGCTAGTTTTCTTAAGTAACGCACCAAGCACAAAGTTCATTATTTGCTTTTAAAAAAATCAGGATAAAATTTGCAAGGCTTTTGTAACGTTGTAAAAAGTCTTGGAATAGACATAACAACATGAGGGAAAAGGGAGAATAAAATACTTAAAAAAAACTTTTTAAAAAACCACGTTTTTCTTGTGGACTAAAAAGTAGAAAATAACTATTTACATACATTTGATGACAAAAAACGTGGGTACGTTCACCATCAAATTTCCCGACCCATCTGCCCGACCCACGTTTTTTGTCATCAAATGTATGTAAATAGTTATTTTCTACTTTTTAGTCCACAAGAAAAACGTGGTTTTTTAAAAAGTTTTTTTTAAGTATTTTATTTTCTCCTTTTTAGTCCGTTGCTACACATGAAAAACGTGGTTTTTAAAAAAGTTTTTTATATAGTTTATTTTCTACTTTATCTAATGACTTGATTAAGTATGAATTGACTAAGTGTTTATAAATACACGGACTAAAAAAATCTTGAGCGACCAGGATTCGAACCTGGGTTGTCGCGGCCACAACGCGAAGTACTAACCACTATACGATCACGGCCAGCGCGCTCACATCGATTGGGGCCGAAGTAACTGTGTCAACAAGCCTCCAGTCTTGTCGGTATCTTTAGAAATCATGTCCTCAATTTTATGGTCCTTTGGGCGTAATTAAATTAAGCTAATTACGGTCTCTAATTGCTAGTTTTTATGATTGCATCTGAAATTGTTAGGCGAAAGTAACCTGCATGCCAAATTTCAGATCTATAGAGCAATCAGAAGTGGGCTAATTTTCGATGTCAATTTTAACAACAAACACATCCACACGAAGCTGAGTTAATAAAAACGTGTTAAAAAGATAGCATGCACCAAATTCATCTCGTATGCCTGCCTGGACAACAATGAAAAGTCTTCCAGCATTATTGTTGACATGGATAAAATCGTATGTTTGTCAATTTTGCCTTTAAAAAAAACACAGGCCTGAAAAAATTCAGAAATTTAATATTTAAAAAAAATCAATAATATAAAAGTTGCCAATGAAGAGAACGTGAAAAATATTTTGCTCTGGAGATACATTTCAGTAAACAAATAAATTTTCATGGTAAACTTGTCTAATATCACTATTATGAAACTATTACTTCAACGTGCAGCATTTATTTATGATTTATGTTAGCCTATCTAACTATAGGATGTCTATGTTTGTGTCTCCATTACCTTAGAGAAACCAAGGAAGAAACGAAGTTGTTTTTGTCTTTTTTAAACATTTTGTTTAGTTGCCGAAATTACAAAAAAAGTGAAAAACGTCAAATCTTTAATAAATTATGACAGAAAGCAAACGGTCAAGTTTTTATAGCGATATTTATTTTAATAACCTTGTAGATTATTTTAGAAATATTTTATTAACCTTTCGAGACTTTTCGCGAAGGGGTCCATTTAAAAAAAGCTATACAATATAATCTTGTAACCGCACAAAATTTGTATTTTTTGTCCTCATAAATGTTTAGCATCAAATATATCGGCACATTTTCGTGAGAGGTTGAAAAGATCTGTGGTAAAAGTATTAGTCTATGGCGCAATGGAAATATGTGTAGACGTAAGACTAGGGAGAGATAACCTTCCTGACCAACACTATTATAGATAGAGACAAATGGTCCATTGTCTGAGACACATTGTCTGGGCCAAATGGACCATCTGACAATTTCTTGAGAATATGAGCCTAAGATTAAATCACCCAGCATTGTTTTGATAAAGGGTATTGGGCGATGTACATGACACGAAATAGGTGAAATGTGGAATCAATCTAAACCCCATATTTTTATTTTTTTTACATGAAAGCACCTTGAACCCAATCAATGACACCACTAAACGACTGACGTATGGCGCAGCCGGAAAAATGTCTAGCCGCTATGTAAACAGCTGAAAAAGTAGGCGAGGATTAGCTTCAGAGGTTAATACAGCTCCGTTAGGTCATGAGTAATGGCAAGTTTTATTTGCTACTTCAGTTAGGTCATGGCTACCTGTAGCTATCAGGGCTCTAGGTTAGGTCACAACTAGCCTGGCTAGCACTAGTGTAATGAGATGGCTACTGGGTAGCACTAGTGTAATGAGATGGCTACTGGGTAGCACCAGTGTAATGAGATGGCTACTGGGTAGCACCAGTGTAATGAGATGGCTACTGGGTAGCACCCATGTAATGAGATGGTTATTGGGTAGCACCAGTGTAATGAGATGGCTACTGGGTAGCACCAGTGTAATGAGATGGCTACTGGGTAGCACCAGTGTAATGAGATGGCTACTGGATAGCACCAGTGTAATGAGATGGCTACTGGCTAGCACCAGTGTAATGAGATGGCTACTGGGTAGCACAGGTGTAATGAGATGACTAATGGCTAGCACAGGTGTAATGAGATGGCTACTGGCTAGCACAGGTGTAATGAGATGGCTACTGGCTAGCACAGGTGTAATGAGATGGCTACTGTCTAGCACAGGTGTAATGAGATGGCTACTGGCTAGCACAGGTGTAATGAGATGGCTACTGGGTAGCACCAGTGTAATGAGATGGCTACTGGGTAGCACCAGTGTAATGAGATGGCTAGTGGCTAGCACAGGTGTAATGAGATGGCTAGTGGCTAGCACAGGTGTAATGAGATGGCTAGTGGCTAGCACAGGTGTAATGAGATGGCTACTGGGTAGCACCAGTGTAATGAGATGGCTACTGGGTAGCACCAGTGTAATGAGATGTCTACTGGCTAGCACAGGTGTAATGAGATGGCTACCGGGTAGCACCAGTGTAATGAGATGGCTACCGGGTAGCACCAGTGTAATGAGATGGCTACTGGGTAGCACCAGTGTAATGAGATGGCTAGTGGCTAGCACAGGTGTAATGAGATGGCTAGTGGCTAGCACAGGTGTAATGAGATGGCTACTGGGTAGCACCAGTGTAATGAGATGGCTAGTGGCTAGCACAGGTGTAATGAGATGGCTAGTGGCTAGCACAGGTGTAATGAGATGGCTACTGGCTAGCACAGGTGTAATGAGATGGCTACTGGGTAGCACCAGTGTAATGAGATGGCTACTGGCTAGCACAGGTGTAATGAGATGGCTACTGGCTAGCACAGGTGTAATGAGATGGTTACTGGCTAGCACAGGTGTAATGAGATGGCTACTGGGTAGCACCAGTGTAATGAGATGGCTAGTGGCTAGCACCAGTGTAATGAGATGACTAGTGGCTAGCACCAGTGTAATGAGATGGCTACTGGATAGCACCAGTGTAATGAGATGGCTAGTGGCTAGCACCAGTGTAATGAGATGGCTAGTGGGTAGCACCAGTGTAATGAGATGGCTAGTGGCTAGCACCAGTGTAATGAGATGGCTAGTGGCTAGCACCAGTGTAATGAGATGTCTACTGGCTAGCATCCGTGTAATGAGATGGCTACTGGGTAGCACCAGTGTAATGAGATGGCTAGTGGCTAGCACCAGTGTAATGAGATGGCTAGTGGCTAGCACCAGTGTAATGAGATGGCTAGTGGCTAGCACCAGTGTAATGAGATGGCTAGTGGCTAGCACCAGTGTATTAATGAGATGGCTAGCGGCTAGCACCAGTGTAATGAGATGGCTACTGGGTAGCACCAGTGTAATGAGATGGCTACTGGGTAGCACCAGTGTAATGAGATGGCTACTGGGTAGCACCAGTGTAATGAGATGGCTACTGGCTAGCACCAGTGTAATGAGATGGCTACTGGGTAGCACCAGTGTAATGAGATGGCTACTGGCTAGCACCAGTGTAATGAGATGGCTACTGGGTAGCACCAGTGTAATAGTCAGCCACAGACCTGGACAGAGCAAGTATTAGATCAATGCACAAACTGGGCCAAGGCTTAGAGTCTAGACGGGCCAGACAGTCTGACGGCTTTGTTTACTAACATCTACCCGCAGCTCCCCACCCCACGGTTCCCCACCCCGCGGTTCCCCACCCCGCGGTTCCCCACCCCACGGTTCCCCACCCCGCGGTTCCCCACCCCACGGTTCCCCACCCCACGGTTCCCCACCCCGCGGTTCCCCACCCCACGGTTCCCCACCCCGCGGTTCCCCACCCCGCGGTTCCCCACCCCGCGGTTCCCCACCCCGCGGTTCCCCACCCCACTCCATTTTTTTCAGTCCTGATCAATCATCAAGAAAAAAAGTTGTGCTGGTATGAGGGTCATCTATTCATGACGTCACGCGATTTTGGCAGACCCTCCCTCCCCTCTTCAAATCACTGGAAAGAAGTCGGACAACCTCCTATAATTTCTCCCGAATTTTAGGATTTGATCACAGGACTGTGGTTGGTACTGTGTGTAGTGTAATATACACGTTTTTAATTGTAGTGTGTTTAAAAAACTGACCATTTTTTACAGTCCCTTAAAGGTTATCCTAAACAGACTTTGATCCGAATATCGGTTTGACAGAAATAATACACATAAATCTTGAAGGTAGAAGAAACAAGTGATAGTCTCTCAGCAGGGGCAGGGGAACGTGAATACAAAATGACATCCACTATTTTTCACGTGTTCTCTTTAAATCTACGAGCGTCGTTTAAAGTCATCTAAGCGCACGTATTCATTAACTTTACGAATGATATTGCTCATTAATTTATTTAATTGAATATATTAGCTTTATAAACGTTGTTAATTTGAAGAGGATCACCGTACTTGCATAGATTAACCTAGTTCAACGACTGTTTGGTCGTAGCAAACAATTCTGCTGTCTGCACACTTGTCACAGGTAGCGATGAGACGGTAAGCAGACGACAGAATGTAGATGGCGCTGTATGTTGGCGTGTGGCAATGTTTAGAGTGGTCAAGTCTATGGTTAAGTCAAACTT